TTTGAGAATGAAGCAAATGGCTACTCCCAAGTCATTACAGTGCTGCTTCTCTTTAAGGGGGGAGGGTGCTCCCAGACCTTGTTATATATTCCCCCTGCCCCGCACATGTGCAGCACTTTGCATTGTACATTAATATAATTGCTGTGAGTAGCTTTGGGACTAGGTTTTGGCTGAAAAGCAGGATAATATGTGCAGGATAATAAATAAATGTGCAAATGAACAGAGAGGGCAAAATTGAATTCTGAACGAAAACAGGCTTCAGTGAACTGTGAACTACTTACCTTGCCTTTTCATTCACATTTGTGAAACAATAATGAATGACTATGACTCAGAGTATTATCCATCTCTAAGGTTTATCCTGCTGTCTTTTAGCCCATCCATTTCATTCACACTTCGTTCTGAATTGGGATCATCATGTTCCATTTTCTTACAAGTCAAGAAGGAAAGGTTAATCTGAAATCAATTTTGCCCCAGTTATCTGCAAGACTGAAAACAGAGTCAATTAGCAGGGCTTCTTGTTTCCAAGAGAAATCTGTATGTTTTAGCTCAGTCTAGGTTGTTTGCTCCTGCCTTTACAGGATTTGACACTAGCATATTACCAATCTGCAAGGATTCGTTGGGCTGGATGTTCAACAAACTGGATATGAACTATGACCTTCTCCTCGATCACTCAGAGATCAATGCCATTTATCTTGATAAATATGAGCCATGCATTAAACCGCTCTTCAACTCCTGTGACTCCTTCAAAGATGGAAAGCTTTCGAACAACGAATGGTGCTATTGCTTTCAGAAGCCTGGAGGTGAGTTACTAAATTTTGTACTAGAAAATTGACTCTGTGATTGCATGTTGATACTAAAATATTTATACAGGAAAACTAGCTCCCATGTAATATTAAACGGCAATTGCGTTATTAGGATTTGTATAAGGCACATCAACATACCTCATTTCTAATAAAGTTGGCATAGTTTTAAATTGATTAAATGAGGAGACATGCTTGATTTTCATACGGTAAACAACACTGATATTATTACCACTCCACTTACTTGTTATGTATTGAGCGGCATTCAGCTAAGTAGCATTAGATGGCTAGAAAAGCCTGGGTGTGAAAATCCAAGCATCAAATAGACACTGACACCTAAAAGGTTGAACCTAGTGATTAGCACCTGCTTACTGAACACAGCAGGAAGCAAGTTTCTTCTCCCATATTTACAGAACTTGGCCACTGACACTTACTTAGTCCCTGCTTCTCCAGACCAGTTAGTTCCCATGGATCCAAAATACTTTCATTACTATGGCTTTCAGTGCTCTCAACCCTTTCAAGATAAATTGGAGGTGGGTTAGCAGCAGATCCAGTTGTTGCCATCCCCTTATCTTCTTTAAACCCTTCTAGCACTGGCGGAGGAAGAGGAGTGCAGGGGGAGCGCACTGCCCCTGGCAGCGCGATCCCGGTGGGGTGCCATCGTGGCTGCCCCCCAGCCTACACTGGGCTTCACGCCCCTGCAGGTGGCGCACCACAACCCCAGGACACGTGCCAGCCCTCACCCCGCCTGCTCTCCGTCCCCTGGTGCCGGAACATGAAGCTCCGCCACTACCTTCTAGGCCAACTGTATCCCATCAGCAGTGGGCCCAGAAGCAGGTGGGCTTTTGCCACCTGTGACTTGGAAATGGCTCTTCTCCAAGTAGATGACTGAAGGGTTAGTCATCATTCTATGGTTAATTTACTATTATGTACTTTGCTATGGTTTCTGCAAAACGATTGCCCTTCCCATTTCTTCTCTCCCAAAACATAACAAAACAATACCATCAGTCATTCTCCCCTTGTTCTCATTATCTCATTAAAAAAATGGAATTAAACAGAAACTGCACAAAGAAAAAAGAAAAACGCATCCGTACACAAAGTTATTTTTAGCAATATCAGCCAGATAGTCCTCACTGCCTAGAAAGACAAGTTCAACATTTACTTTCCTCTTAGATTCCTATTTTTTTCTTGCTTCTCTTTTTCTGTTTCTCTCTTCTCTCTTATAATTTGTTCATTCTTCTTTTCTTTCCCAACATTTTAGTTTTCCTTTTAAATTTCTTTCTAATCCTGGCATCCTTTAGTTTGCTTTTTCCATGTAATTCTCTCCCCTTGTCATTCTTATCTTTCCCATTTTATTATTCTTTGTCCACAATTTTTGTTGTTGCTTCCTTTAAACATCTTCCTTAGACCCAAGCTTCCTTCCTCCTCTATTACTTACAACAGCAGACCATGATTGTGCATAACAGAAGCTATTCAATTAAGTAGGCTTAACTCCCATTAAAATTATGTAAGTACATGATTTTATGTGAAGGCTGCAAACTTCTTGTATTTTTAAATGCACTCTTTCGGGCACTCTCATGCCTCCTCCATATCCATCTTTGGACCTGTTGAGAGGAATAGAGATCTTCCATTGTTATATCTGGTATACATTTTACACACAGTGTAGCAAGGTCTCGGTCTTCCTGCTCTTCTATCCCTTGGGGGTGTGGAGTAGAAGTTGGTGGTGTCATGTACGTGGCATCCATTTAAACACGCCAAAGTCTCTGTGTCCTCTTTTCCATATATAGGCCAAGGAGTCTAGATTAGGTTCATGGCCTCCTACTTGCTGGCTAAAAAATGCCTGTGAGGTTCCTTTCACATGGTGGCCTCCTTGTTCCATTGGCTAAGGAGCAGTACGCCCCATGTGTGCTCTAGGAAATCTAGACTATGATCATGGTTTTCAATCTCAAAATTTGTTCTATTGGTATTAGCTTATTGCTTATGTCATTGCTTATAATGTGAAAATTAGTCTTTTAGTAAGCAGTAAATTAGCATCCTAGCTTTGGATCAGGCTGGAGAAGGAAAGGGAAAACTGTCGTAACAACCAAAATGGCCCCCAAACACACTTTTTAAGCAAAGCATGTTGTGAATTTTTTAATTAGTAAAGCTAATGGCATACATTTGTTCTGCAGTACAGTACAAGCATATGTGGTTCATTCATTCCCAGGTGTGCAATAGACTACCACTGCCTGTCAATTGCAAAGCTAATCATTAGAGAATCTGTCCCTTACCATCTGGAAACTACTCTCATGTATTTTGTTTTAGGTCTCCCTTGCCAGAATGAGATGAACAGAATTCAAAAGCTGGGCAAGGGGAAGAGCCTGATGGGTAAGTTCAGTTACTTGCCACTCACTCATTTAAGCTGCTAATTAAAGCTTCTGTTATTACTGTGACGTTACATGCTGTAATAGGGTCCCAACTGTGTGCTTGTGCCACTTCAGGAACTCATATAAATAACAGAACATCAGCCTGTGCTAAATGTGTTCCATGACTTGGCATACTAGGTAACATTATGCAGAACAGAGACTGTCTGTCTACTAAAATCTCAAATCAGTGCCATTAAATTGACACAACACATAGATTCAGTGTAGATTTATTTCTTTATTGTTTGACAAATCCAAAGTAAGAAATAGGCTTATTGGATCTTCCCCTCCCCTAAAGTATAAATTGCACTTTTAAATGTGCTGTAATGATACACATATTAAGGTAATTTTGGTATGTTGAGCACATAATGCCATTGGGAAGTTGAAGAATCCATCTGTTAAACAGTAGGTGTATAATACTAACAGCTTTGGACACTCTATGGACTTAAATCTGTGAATTTCAGCGCATTTCTCTTCCACATTAAATAATTCATAATTGAAATCAAATAATACTTCCAATAATGCACAGTGAAATTAATACAAACATTATTCTAAAGCAGCAATACTGAAATGCATACATAAATTGAAAACCACGCAAGTAGAAAAGGAAAGAAAAATCATTATGACACACAGGGCATGTGCGCAGAGGCAGCATTTGTACTTTTTAATGCCTTGAAGTATCTGCACAAATATACTTTGCCTGGGGATTCTTATTGAAGGTGAGGCAACACAGCGTGGCAGGGCAAGTTCCCCCTCCCTTCAAGAATATTATTTTCAAGTACTCCCCTCCCCCGGACACATTTGGAGGTAGTAATAACCCTGATCTGTGGACAGAAGGTAGTTTTGCTTTTATTCCGTTGTGCTCCTAAGAACAACCCGTTTACCCTTGTACTACATAGCTTAATGGACTCCTTTAAGGACTGAGTTGGTGCCATGTGTATGTTCCTGCTTCCTTATATGAAAGTATTCCTCCCACAAAACAGAACTTAACAATGAAAATAGTGTAGAAAGGTATTCCATTGCTGTTACTAGGAAGCTACATTAAGCCCATGAGGCATTCCCATTATTCATGAGATCAAATTTATTAATCCATATAGCCCAGGGGCAAACTTTCTTAACGGTCATTTGCAACAAATTGGTAGATGAGTAACTAATGCATGCATGATGTGATACCTAAATGAACTGCAGTTATAGCTGTCATGACTCCTGCACCTGGGGCCCTCACACTACCATGAGGAAGATAACAATGAGGAGGAAATAATTTTTGCTAAGATCATAGAATCATAGAGTTGGAAGAGACCACAAGGGCCATTGAGTCCAACCCCCTGCCAAGCAGGAAACACCATCAGAGCACTCCTGACATATGGTTGTCAAGCCTCTGCTTAAAGACCTCCAAAGAAAGAGACTCCACCACACTCCTTGGCAGCAAATTCCACTGTCGAACAGCTCTTACTGTCAGGAAGTTCTTCCTAACGTTTAGGTGGAATCTTCTTTCTTGTAGTTTGGATCCATTGCTCCGTGTCCGCTTCTCTGGAGCAGCAGAAAACAACCTTTCTCCCTCCTCTATGTGACATCCTTTTACATATTTGAACATGGCTATCATATCACCCCTTAACCTCCTCTTCTCCAGGCTAAACATGCCCAGCTCCCTTAGCCGTTCCTCAAAAGGCATCGTTTCCAGGCCTTTGACCATTTTGGTTGCCCTCCTCTGGACACGTTCCAGTTTGTCAGTGTCCTTCTTGAACTGTGGTGCCCAGAACTAGACACAGTACTCCAGGTGAGGTCTGACCAGAGCAGAATACTCATCCCCTTCCCTTGGGCCATCCTAACCTGAGGATATAGCTCTTCCACATTCCTTAAACCTATTCCTTCCACAGTACAGGTCAGCACCTGCAAAATCAGACAAAATCACCACAGCCAACTCCTCAGAAAGGTGGGCCAATGGCTGTTAATGCCAGTGTACATAACGCCTCAGATATTCTTCATCCATGTGAAATGGAGTAAAATAGCCCTTTTAATGTTATGTGTGCACATTGCAGAGATGCATTGATCTACAGTACTGGTGAAGGAAGCCTTTTATTTATTTTGAGTAGTAAATCAAGTAGTATCTCTCTAACAAAGGTACTAGGTATTTTCTCAGATATAGCCAAACCCAGTAAAAGTCTGCTCTTCTGTGCCTGTAACAGAAGCAAACAGTAGATGATGGAAACTGCTATATGAAACCCATGCTCAATATTCTTCTAACTGATCTTCAAGTAGACGTGGTTTGTTTTAAATTTATGCAAGTACATTTGCACTGAATCCGTTGAAGCTGATGGCAGAAATATCAGCTTTCGTGAGAGAAGAACAGAGAGCCACAATGATAAACAGAACCAGTTGTTGTCACTGCACTTCTTATAAAATGAAGGCACTTTGTTGTTGTTTTTCTTTATTTCAAGATAACAATTTGAATTGCAGCCCTTTTGCACCCTCACAATCTCTTCTAAATGCTATTTGTGTGGAAGAACCTTACTGACAAAAGAACTGATGGTGGTGGGCGGGGGGAGGGAGAGCGAGAAACAGTATGCCTGACCATTTCAACCTGCTGTGCAAACAGTCAAAGAAAGCCCTCCTTGAACGTCAGGGCCAGACAAATGCAAGTTTATCTTCCTGCTTAGCTCTACAAGTATTTGTATTATTGACAAGGGCACCATTTGCTATCCCTAGGAACTTTCATTCCACGGTGCAACGAGGAAGGATATTACAAAGCAACTCAGTGTCATGGAAGTACTGGGCAATGTTGGTGTGTTGATAAGTATGGAAATGAGATAGCTGGCTCAAGGAAGCAAGGGACTGTTAGCTGTGGTGAGTAATGGCATGCTTTTCTCAGATAAAATAAGAATGAGTGTTGTGAGAGCCCTTGCCTGCTGCTGCAAGCCTGACTATGAGTCTACAGAATGGCAAAAAGAGAAACCTATTAGCCATCATGACAAGAATCTTCAGGCCTTCATATTTATAATACAAATGTGCTCATACAAGTAAGCTCTCTTCCTGAATAAATGTGACAATACGAAATTGGCAAAAGCATTTGATTTTTTTTTCTCACCAGCTTACAAACTGCAGTAGTTTGTACTGCTAAAAAATATATGCTGGTTAGGAAGTTATTGCAGGCTGATCATTTAAAAATCCAAAATTTAAAAATCAACATGTTGCTCCCTGCAACAGAAAGCACAAAATTAAGGAGTCCTGTTCATCAGGGCTGCCTTTTGAAAGAAAGACTTATCTGTGATATAGATTGCATTTTTCCCATGGAGGTTGAATCTGAACAAACAATTGCTGCTGAAATTACCCCACAAGAAGCACATGTACACATAATATAAATGTGTGCCGTATATGGCAATCGCTACAGCTCTTTATACAGCTCTTCTAGTGGAGAAAATGAGTTTATAATGAAACACCTTGGCATAAGAAAAATGTCTTTTTGGAACTTTTAAAAGCCAAGTGCTACAAACATGTAGGGATGGAGAATTACATTTGGTCTGCATTTCTAAGTGAACTGACCGAATTTGTACCTCCAGGAGAACTAATACACAGGTCATAATGTAATAAGACTTCAGATTTTGCAGTTCTTTGAATTTTGCAATGCCGTTCTCAGCTCAAAACAACCCAAATGGATTTTTATAATGCATATTTTTAGGTAAGTTTCTTTAGAAATGTGTACATTGAGATAATATACACATTTAAATATGAATATGGATTTTTGTACAATTTAAAAACAACAACAGCAACCCTACAGACAAATGCAGAAGCAGGATAAAATAGAATTAATGGAAACGTGGAATTGATGTGGAGTGGAAATGGGCAGATTCATCCAGTTTTGATAACCCTAATTTTGATAGCTATAGTCTTATTTGAAGCCCTGAAGTTCCTATAAATAAAAGTTTCAGGCGTGACATTTCATCTTCAGAATTCAAGTACTGAAAATTATTCTAGTGGTATGCTCTTCCTTCCCAAAAATGCTAGAGAAAAGAAAGGTAGTAGCATTCTAACTTCCTTTTGAGAACCCTTTACACATCCAATTGTCTACAAGAGAAGGGATATATGTGTATCTGCCATGAGACTCCTTTGTACTTCAAAGAATTATGGGGCTCATTACTGAGGCAGAGCACATTTCAAAGGGGCACAGCACAGGACCAGACCTGAATAGTTGCTCATGTGCCCCATAGCACATTCAGCACACCTCTACAGGTTCACAATGCGGGAGGAAATCGGCAGTGGTGGGAGCACCAAGGAACCCATTGTTTGAATGCCAAGGATCTACCAAATTTGAAAAAAAAAGTAATCTAGTAGACTCACAGGAGTATATAATGACATCAGAATAGCAAGGTGTCAGTTTCAATAGCCTTATTACGACTTAAGTCAACATTGCACATGAAAATTTGCCACCTAATCGCCTTTGGCTGCCCAGAAAGAACATTTATTGTCGCCTATTAGCAACACCAAGCCTTTTATATATTGTATGTGTTTGGATTATTAATTCGTTTGGATGACTTTGTATGATTTTATTGTTTAAACTTATACCAATAAAGGTAAACAAACAAAAAAATCAAAACACCGAGTTAAATGAACAAGTAAAGTGACAAGCAAATCAGTTTTGAGGCAATAGAAATGGACCTTTCCAAATGTAACCCCCTTATTTGTCTCAGCTGGCAGGACCACACCGGGCACTATGAGATTTTCTAGGCCAATTTACATCCCAACTTTTTCTGGACAATATCAGGACAGAAACAAAGATATCACTTGGTGATGTTTGTGGTGAGGTTTTTATGAGGTACGCAATTTACTGAGACCACCAACTCATTTCAGATCTCTTCGAACACTCATCAGATGGTGGTGCCTTTCAGTCACCATTGACCTGGAATGGATTTGAACCAACAATTTAGAGATGTAAGGTTCTGTCTTCAGCTATTGCTTCCTCCTGAAAACGTGTGGTTTTGTGGGTGTAGTAGAAGACTGTATATTACTCTGAGCACTTTACTGTGTTAAAATGTTTTACTGTTTATTTTTTTATTTTATTTTTAGAAAGCAGACATGTTAGGGGGGAGGGATGAATTAAATAGTTTAAATAATGAGAACATTGACATGTTTTGATAGAAAATTGGGCTTAAAGTATAACTGTGAATTCTTCCCGGTTGCAGAAGAGGAGCAAGAAACCTCAGGGGATTTCGGTAGTGGTGGATCAGTGATATTATTGGATGATCTGGAAGAGGAACATGAAGCAGCAAAAAAGGACCAAGAAGGGAAACAGAAGATCCATGTAAGAGCAGCTAATGATGATGATGAAGATGAAGATGACGACAAGGAGGATGAAATTGGCTATATATGGTAGTTCCCATATCTCTGAGGACTCATGTTTTGCACAATATCACAAGTCATTTCGTATCTCTGCAATGGTAACTGAAACATCAGGCATTGCATATGGAGCTCAATTTAAACCCGTTTGGGCATTCCAATATGCACACAGGTATCCCTTACAATTGAGCTTCCCTTTCACTTTACTGCTGGGCGTAACTCCACAAGCACAATGGAGATGAGCATGCAGAGCTGAACCTGACATTGAAGTGAACTGGGAAGACCTTTCACATGTGGGAGCTCCTTGCACATGTGGGACTTGGCACACTCATGTGCACTGGAGCTCTTGTGGCCAGCAAACTGCTGGACGGAAGCAATTATCTCTCCACTCAATTTAATTTAGTACACTGTGTTTAATTTGGAAGACAGCTTTCCCACCTGACTAGCTATTTTTTGGCATAATTGTAAGCATTGTTCTATTTTACTGACATGGTGACTTTCATAGCTTAATCTGCTCATATGAGTCTTTTATAAAAATGGAATATGGAACATAGCAAGAGGGTCAGCACATCCAAGCACTGGGCTCTTCTGATGTTACCAGAACTAAAGTTTTCAATTACTTGATCTTTTTTAATTGTGCCATTTGTTGTTACTACTGTGGTTTTGCTACTTTAATGTTAAAAGCAGGTAGGGTTGGGGGTTTTTCTGTCTCGCCATCTGGAACTTGTTTGAAAATATCAAAATCGCCTTAACATTCTGATTTGGTCACCCACTGGCTTTAAGTCAGAAATAATTCCATTTTAGTTCCTCCTCATTTTTCTTTAACATGGTTGGCAGAACCACTGTCTTATTTTAGCAGAACTCAATGAAAGTTCTCCCCTGCACCCGGAGTGCAGGATAAGATCTCAGATGACTGTTTAATCAAAATTAGTTCACTTTAAGTTAAGCATCATGATCTTGATGATTGGTATAGTATGCACACAACTTTTAGCAAAGGAAACAAGCCTGGAATGGCCTTTTAAAACATGTGGAAAAGGAATGCTTTGCAAATGCATTTCTTTACAATCGTTTTTGCAGGCTTGCAAGTCTTGGATTTTGCTTTGATCAAGTTTGCACTAATGCTATGCAAGCTGCCTCTGCTTCCTGGATAGCATACCACTGGTTTTGCTGAAAACGCTTTTTCTTCATTTACTCTAAATGAATCCTCATTTGGAAGTGCTGAAGCTGTCAGAGGCACTAACCATCAGCAGTAATAAGCTGTCTTCCCTTTATTTTAAATTGTTGATATTTATTTGCTCTGTTTTAAAAAAGAAAACATCTTTAGGCAGTTGCGTTTCTGGTTAATAACACTTCTGGTTAATATGACATGTAATACTTACACATATGAACCAGAAGAGAATGTGATTAAAATATTCCACATAGTTATATCTCCATAGCAGCATCTCATTGTTCCCCATTGCCATTCAGTGTGGGGAAATGAATTTGCCATTGCAGACCTTTTATTATGTTAGCTGTCCACGCAAGGACAAAACATGATGAGCATCTATGATTGGTTGGGAGGGAAAAGATGGATTTGTAACAAGCCCCATCTTTTTCTCATTAAATGGAAGGAAATAAATGCCAGATAGGTCTTAAATTCTGCGAACACTAAGGACCATACCACTTTTGTTGATCAGGGCAATTATAGTGCTGTTCTACCAGAACTGAACATGGCCTGTACACTTTAAAGAAAGCTTATATTTCTGTGAGAAAGTGCTAATTTTTTAGTGTGAATTTCTATACAGTTTTCAGGCGGCTGCACAATGGCATCTATCCTCAGACTATTGTTTGCTATGTGTGATACTCTTGTTTGTTTATGCCTTTTGCTTCTAGTGTGATGAAGTCTGGGGTTGCTGTTTTTTAACAATTCATTTTAACACAAGGTCTGGTTTGTTAATGAACCCTTCAAAATGCCAAATGTCATGATGTTAATATTACATTTCAGTTTGTTTTAATATTCCCAACAAGTGCATCCTAAATTTACTGGCTTTGTGAAATTATAATATCCAGCTGAGAAGTTACCTCCCTGATATACAGCCTTAGCCTGAAACCCTGAGCTCAATGGATTCCAGTAATTAAGTAAGCTGGTTGTCCTTTGACTTTTAAAGGTGCCACTGCTACAATCCATAAATGTACATCATACACACTTAAAAACTCTGCAGTTCCACTGAAGAAAATCCACACAATTGCTTTGGCCTTTCTGTCTTCTTTAGCCATAGTGATGCAAATTGTGTCCTGTGCTGTTGTGCTTAAAGTAGGATCCAATGCCTGGTGAATGAAGCCATTGGGCTCTGCCCTAATTGCCACTTGACCTCTATCCCAATCCTCATTGAGGAATGCACTGCCCCATTCCTTGCTATTGTAAAAGGACATAGGCTGTCATGCAAGGAAGCTGTGGATGCCCTGCTCTTCCTCAACTTTGCCCGTCTCCAAGTAAAGCCATGTAGCTATCCTTAATAGGCCAGCTACAACACATTAAGGGGTAGGGAGCAGCTGCCGGTATACGACTACTCCACTCCTGTGAGTTACCATGTTCACAAAGCACCTCAGAGTCCAGAGCTCACACTTGAAAGTAAGTTACATGAGATTAATGGGGATTAATGTTTTAAGAATATGGGTTTTCTGGGGTGCACTATTAAGCTGTATTTGAACACTGGCTGGACTAGTATACAATAAAAGTCACCTACTGTAATACCGTCCAATTAGAAGCTGCAACATAGCTATCATTTTCACCATACTGCTTACCTACTTAAATTAATAAAACCTGTAGAAGTCAAATTCACTGTGGTTGCAGAGAAGTGCTATTATCTTTTATATACTTACGATAAAGTTTCCATTTAGCCTTTGTTCTTGTTATGCACGCAGAGCAGTGTGAATGCAGCTGCTTTCTGGTGAAGTCCATCATTGCTGGGGTGTGTGTGAAGATTGAAATCACATGGGTGAGGCCACTCACATGGGTCTTTCCCAACTGATCTGCCTTCTTCAGCTCCAAAACATAGCCAAGTCCTATTGAAATCAATAAAAAAGACTTAAATTAGCCATACCATACCTAACCTATTCTACCGATTTCAACAGGATACAGGAGACATTTAATTTCTGGAGCAGGGACATTTCATTTATGTGAGTAAAAAACAACAACCCTGCAGATTAAATCTTAAAGTCAGTTGTGGTGTTAATGATGGAATTAATCTCATTACACATAAACACACACAAAACCCCATAATCCCTGCCTCCTCTGATGTTGCTTAATTGCTGGGCTCACTGTCTTAAACACTATGACTTTTGTTTATATGGGGTTTGTATGTATAAAAATTAACCAACACAAAGTTTCTGGTTGTTTTTTCTTTTAAGAACCATTTCAAATTCTTTCCCAACAATTCCCACTCCCAAGCAAACCCATGATAATATAGATTACTTCATACATATCGGTATAGAATTCAATAGCAAAACTGAAAACAGGCAATGTCCTTAGATTCAATAATCTCCCTGAGAGTTAGTACATTTAAAAATAAGCTCTTAAAGACGAATCAAACTGAGCTTTGTCTGCAGACTATAATCATTCTCTAAAATTCTTACTATTTGATTTCCTGTTTGTCTGGAGAGAAAAATATTAAAATCAGAAAAGGGTGAGGTACAAAAATACCATTTATTATTGTAACTAAAGGTGGAAAACCTGAAGCAGCAGCAATTGGAAACACACCTACAATTTTGTCAGATTCTCAATAGCATTTGAAGGAAAAATGAATCCTTTGTAGTAAAGCCCTTAGAAAAATACTAGAGCCATGCCAGAGAAGCAGAATGAAGTGGTGCCTTCAGAGGCAATGAAAAGTTGCAGTGTCATCTATTTCATGATAACTCAGCTTTACCTCCTGTTGAACCATTTGTGTCCCCGTCCCCCCCATTGCCCATGTAAGATTCAGGAACTAGGAAAAGATGGCAAAGCTACATGAAATTTGACCAAGCAAGTCTCACAAGCTTTTTTGTTCCATTCTGCAACAGTGCAGAACTAACACAATCCAAAGCCACGACAGGTTCTCTTGAGTTCTCTATCAAGACACAGGATAAATGCTGTAATTCACTTCCCATTACATTTTCTGGGGGAGAAATAATAAATGTACCTACAATGTTGGCTGACCAAGACATTAATTAATAGGCCTCCTGTCCTCACCTCTGTGAAAATTACTTTGTTTATAACTTCTAATGGCTTTAAACTCTACCGGATAAAATATAATGATTAATATCTGCTATGCCATATAACAAGAGCATACAATAGGTTATTTTATACAATAGTATATATAATTTTGATACAGTGGTATGCGTCAGCAGTAGGCTCAATCAACAACAGTCTGGACCCAGCCTTATTGTGGATTTGTCTCGGAAAGTGCAGCTTTCCATCTCTGTTTCATTTAAATCATTTTTTTTAAAGATCAGTAAGCTACATACAATTATCTACTAATCTTACTCCACATACTAAACTGCAAAGACTGCAGGAATTTTCGTATCAACTGACTTTATCCTTTTAATTCTAGTCAGAGTATATATATTGCAGCCAGCAAAGGTGACCCATGCATTGAATCCAGCTTCCACCTTTTTGGATGTCATTGCATGTATACATAATGATGGTGCATGAGAAAGTAAAAAGCACACAGAAAATCCAATGCCAAATTTGCAAGACACTGTGAAGCACAGAAGTAGCTAATGTAGCCCCCCCCCCCCATCTGTTGCTGGACTCCATCTCCCATCAGTCCCAGCCAGCATGGCCAATGGTTGGGAATGATGGGAATTCCACCCAGCATATATATTTCCCAAGCTCATCAGATTCACCAGTTCCCTCACAACAAAAGCAGTAAAATTAAATAGCTATGCACATTTATGAAGGGCTATGCTCTCCTATCCAAACATGAATAACCTTAATGTTACTTCAAGATGTTCTTAACGTTTATCTGAACAGAAAACAAGGCACAGCATATCTATTTGAGCTCAGAGGCTGGGGAAATATTGTTTTCCAATATACATTTTTATTAGACACTGTTTAAAAGTAATGCAAGAATCTAGTATAAAGGAAAGTAGAAAAGGTGGTTAACATGGGGGGGGGTTCACTTTCAGTTTGGCAACCCCAGCCTCCTTAATACTTCCCCAGTTCAGTAGCTTGCACTGCTGAACCAAAAATAAAATGTTAAAAACTCAAGTGCAGACGTGGCTTTCATCTTAACATTATTTGGGAACATGAATTAGGCATGCCATATCACTACCAACTGGTGCTTGAACTGTGGAATACATGCCATGGTTCATCCTTACTACTTCTGGTGAAGTATGCATTTCCACTTCTCAATATTAGTAATATAAAATGTGAATTCAAAGGGTTTACTATTCCACCAGTGAGAAGGGTCATAAGAAACCAAATGTAACATAATCTAATACATTATGGATCAGAGCAGAGATTTACTTCATCTAAATCAGTGGCATTCAGTATGTGCATTTGATTACAGAATGTGGCCATAGTCAGCTCATGCTATAGACTGTTGCATGATATTTGCCTTCATCTGATAAGTTACGTTGTGCAAAGCTCTCAGCCTAAGTGAAAAAGCTCAAGTGCTTATTGAAAAAGATTCCTAAAATCAATGCCAAGCAAATGGTTGCATATTTCTACATATCAGAAACATCATTTGGAACAGCATCTTCATTCTTTATGTTAGGGTGGATGGTTTTGACCATTTTCACAAACTACAACTCAAAATAGTGTTGTTGTTTTTCAGTCAATCACCATGCAATAAACTTACTTTGTTAGCTCAACAAAGCATCCAGTCTGCAATTCAGCATACATTAATCACAACAGTGTAATTCAATGTTGTGGGAGCAGGGCCCTGTTCAGACAGCAAGACTTCCCCTTCCTCTCCTCCCACACCCATGTTCCCCCAAAATCTGCTCCAAAGGGAGATGGGAGGTGTGTATGATTTTATGCTGTGAACCTCCCTGAGATCTACAGGTACAGGGCAGAATACAAATTTAATAAATAATAATAATAATAATAATAACAATAACAGGTGACTATGGAGTGGGAGGAGCAAAAGTTGAAATCCTGTTGTGCAAGTGAACATCTGTTGGAGTCAATCCAGTATCTTTTCAAGGATTAAAAAATGACTTGAGTACTTATTCGAATACATGCTGTATCATTTTCAATTCTTCACAGCTCACTGAAAAGGGACAGGTCTTGGGACTATCCATGATTCAGGGGCATGTCAGGCTTCTTGGAAATCTATGTATTCTTCAGATCGTAAATTCCCTTAATTTGCCCCAAGCACAGCTCCAATTCACCTCTAGCACACACCCTTTTCAGCCCTACGGATCAGTAACATTAGTGGAGCAAGTACCACGGAGGTTTCTGCAATGGCAGGGAGAGTGCATCCAACATCAGTTCTCCCTCTCTCAGAGAAGAAGGTCTGATGCCTCCCATGGACCATGATATCGCGGGGTTGATCTTGCTATTTAAGAAAACAAACAACCCTCGCCATAATTACGCCTGTTGGTTTTCTGGAAATGCCTATACAATAAAAAGGTTGATTTGAAAACAAATCTTGATAATCCAATGGAACTATTTTATAAACCCGTAAACCAGAATATCAACAACACTGGTAATCAGAATCTTTGTCAAATTCTTGGCCACCATATTTGTTCATATTTAATACAAAAGTCAACATGGTTAATGCAAGTATCATTATATTCATATTTCAGAGTTCTTATTGCTTTCTCCCCACCCCATTTCACAGCATGCCTCAAGAAAAAAAAAGTGATACTCCAGATCATTAAAATGTTAAAGAAATAAGGCCTTTAATGCAGTATAGAGTAGAGCCACTGGCTCTTATATCCCACAGCAGAATTACCTATTCTATTTCTCCCTTATGACAATCTAAAGCTTTTAACTTGCCTACAGCTTGACTTAAATTTCTGGTTCCATTGGAAGCTAAAATACTGCATTTCCTTCAAATTACTGACCTTCCAAAAAGTTATGGGCAATGGAAAAAAAACCCCTCCAGCACCAAAAAGAACAAGGTTACTCTGCAGTCTTCAAGCCAATCATTCCCTGTATTTAAATGACTTTCAAGGAAGTAAGCTTTGAGGGATGCATCCTATTCTTTTCATGATACTTTACAAAAAAATATGTATTTTGGAGCCTTGTTAGGTTTTTGTATTGCGCTTCAGTGTGTTCTTTTTACAGATTTCACAAAAGGTAACATCTGTTCACTTCTAGCCTCCATTGTGCTTTGAATTCTTTCACACCTGATTTAAAACTACATTGTGTCCGCAATCCAGCACAGAATTAGGTGAGATAAACCCATTGATTTCAGTGGAGTTAAAACATAGCTAAGGGACAATTCTATGCACACTAGAATATGTTGCATTGATTTAGTAGGACTTCCAAGTGAACGTACGTAGGATCAAACCTTCGCCTCTGTGTTGAATTGTTGCCTATGTGTTTATATGTAACAGTACTTCACATGCAAGTGTCATATAAGAAGCAACACAATCTGCTAGTCAATACTTCAATATTAGAAATTTCATACCATTTTCTCCAGGTAGCAAATGACATAGAACACCAGCCAGCCAAAGTTAAGATGCTTAAGTCACACTGATGTTAGTTAATGGCAGTGTTAAGCATGTGGTTAATTTTCTCCCACTAAAATCAATGGGAACTCATTAAATTTGGCCGGATTGTGTCCACTAAATCTAGGGTCATTATTTGCAACAGACCACCAGAACTCCCAGTATTAGACTCTCTTTTTTTCCATAGAAATTTGATGGCTTTCACTGCAGACTCTTCTTTCTGCCATTCAGTTTTCTTTTATTGCACAGACTGCTTTGTACTGTTAATACACATCAAAGAGCCCTTTCTACAGTAGGTGGTATTTGGTCTTTTTATACTTTTCTCAATGCTGCTGATGTCCGTTACTGTTTAATGTGTAGCGTTGTAAGGAGAGATCCAGATATTAAGTGTTTAAGTTTTATGTCCCTACTGTAGATGGAATGTACAATATCATAGTTAATTAGAGTAGCATAGTAAATTATGAATGCTTTTTCCCCCATGAAGATTTAAATGGAATGTGAACATGTTGCTGATTTCCTTGGTTAATTGTAAATGCTGAATTGTAGTACTAAGTAGTTGCATTTTTGTCTGTCTCAATAAATTTTAATTTGTCTGCGAGTCCCCATTGTCTGACTTCTGTTTTGTTAAATTTCTGGAATATAATGAAGTAGCATTCACCACTTTGTCTAGAGTGAAAAATATGCTCTAATGTAGTGGTATGAAGTAAAGATAGGCAAGATCTGGACCAAACTACCCTCCAAGTTATAGCAATCCATGCCTCGCTTAACCTGGAAGACAGATGGAGAGCCTGTTACTACCTCTGCTACAATTTGTTGGCACTTTGTGAAATTGAACATATCTACACTGGCCTTTATTTAACTATGCATACCAACATCACTAGAACTGCTCCATGCATGTAGCTCTGGTGAAACAGACTGGGGGAACCCCCTTATACTGAGTCAAACCATTACTTTATCAAGCTCAGTACTGTGTACAGTGGTGCCTCGCAAGACGAAATTAATTCATTCCGCGAGTTTTTTCGTCTTGCGGTTTTTTTCGTCTTGCGAAGCACAGTGTCGGAAAAGTTTTGGAAAAGCTTCAAAAATCACCAAAGTCTTCAAAAACCTCAAAAAAGGCTACCACACCGCGTGCTATGAGTTGCTCCTCGAAGTCAAGTCGCAACTGTATTAACGGTTTTAAGAAAAAGGAAACAAACTTGCAAGACGTTTCCGTCTTGCGAAGCAAGCCCATAGGGAAAATCGTCTTGCGAAGCAACTCAAAAAACCAAAAACCCTTTCGTTTTGTGAGTTTTCCGTCTTGCGAGGCATTCGTCTTGCGAGGTACCACTGTATAATGACTGTTCTGGCAGCTTCTCTACCCACAAATAGGGCTGATAGTTTTCACATCCCTCTAGCTTATACATAAGGCTTTCTTTAGCTGGACTGAAGTTAATGCCTTTTTTAAAAAAACACTTTAAGAATCCCCCACTAGGAAGATTAGCATTGCAAGGGAAAACCTATGCTGCATTACCAGCTTATAATGAAAATAGTATAACTAAAGTACTGGGTGCTGCAATGCACATGAACTGCACAGAATGACTTCGCGATCTGTGCTGGAGAAAGCCAATTCCTCTCACCTGGAAATTAATTGCTAGTGGGTAAAACCCACCCACCTTGATTGATAAAAGGCATGTTATTCAAAGCAGGAGGAAAGGGCTCTAGCTCAAGTGTGTGATTTGCATGTAAAAGCTCACAGGTTCAATTCCCTTGGCATATCCAAGTAAAGTTGGGAAAGTGTATGACTATAACCCTAGAAAGCAATTGCCAAACACTCTGAGGGTTCTCCCGATCCTCCAGAGTGCTGTGCATTCTTGGCTAAAAATTTTAAAGCTTGCTGACATCTTTCACATGGCGGCTTTTTCCCTGTTGCAGGTTGTTACAAGCCTCCTTTACAGGTTTCTAAGAGGTCTTACAATGTGAAGCTATCTAAAACACTGCCTGCAGAGTTCTGAAGAATTTGGGGAGCAGCGTAGGATTAAAAAGAAAAGCTTAAATGAAATTTTGAACTTAAAGCACAATGATGGAGGTTTTTGTTTTTTTAACAACGAACAATTTAGATATCCTCTGTGCTCTGCAACCAACATTTTCAACAGCCTCACTTTTTGCAAAGTCCATGGACAAAAAGGTAATACAGGGAAATACAGAACAGTTTTGACACAGAAAAGTACAGAAACAGAACAATTGCTCTGGTCAGGCCCCAATCTGACCAAAAACTATCCAGTTGTCAATGGGTTTTACATGCATGCTCACCTACATGTACAGAGGAAAAATAGGTAAAACATATTTACCTCCTATTAATAATTACAAAATATAACTGACTATTTTGCTGGCTGTTAGTTTGTTTGAATATTTGAAATCATTTTATAAAATTGAAAAAACAAGTCTCAGCACTAAGCAGTTTAGATCTGTGGTGGACACAGCAATGGGAAAGACAGGATTTATTGCAGGTCAGGCCAGCTCTGCAGCAACAGCCCCACTGCTTGCCAGCACCCACTTGATTCTGCTCCTCCTCAGAGAAGCCTGGCTTGCTGCCCACAGATCTTAGGTTGGCACAGCAGTGCTAAAAACATAAATTCCGGCAACTAATGAAGAGCTACAGTGGCCTGGCTAGTGGTTTTGATAGCAGTGGTGGCAGTTGCAGGTAGGTAACAGGCTATTCGGCAGACTGTTTCATGGGTCCCTTGTGTGTGTTTATGTAGGAGACAAAGACTGAAGCCCTTTCCAAGAATTCTATACTTGCCTCAAACAAAACACATGAGGGAGGAAGTGGAGACATGTGCCTAATTCCACTCCACCATTCTTTTGGTTGCCCTCCAACTCAGGGAGTGCGCTGCTTCTGCCCCTCTTTCATCGTTCTGGAAAACCAGAGTTTTAAAGCATGTGGGGAGCTCTCAGGAGTACAGGAGGCTCCCAACTTCAGAATTTTCTTCACTGTGATTTGGAGAATGACCTAAACAATGATGGAGGCAGACCTAACACACTCATCCCAACATGGTACCTTCCATATGTTTTGAACTACAATTCCTATTAGCCCGACTCAGCATGGCCAATGGTCAAGGATGCTGGGATTCGTAGCCCAAAATATCTGGAGGTCACCACACTGATGACCTCTGCTATAGTCAGTCCTTGTTTCTTTCAGGGGGCTATTTTCTTGATTTCATCACACTGGGATGTATTATAAGCACAAAATTAAAAATAAATATTACCTTCTTGTGAGCTTCATTGATAAAACTTAGTCATAAACTCACCTTCAGTTTTGTTCTTAGCTGTTTTTCAGCTGTTAGTAACAAAATTACATGTCAAATATATGTAAATTGCCAAACTGTAAGAGCATCCAAACTGCTCCCCAAAGCAAAAACCTGTCAAAGCTGTTCAAAATGTTTGTTATATTGTACTAAAGAGATTTGCTACTCTCACATTCTAGAATGATTCCAATGGAGAAGCCCAAACCACAACAATTGTGAGAACCTAATTAGGGATTAAATAAAGGTTCTTTCAAATACATATAGTGAATTTTGTTACAGGCACAGAGCCTTTAGGGGGAATTAAATGTTACACTAAGGCAAATTATTCTGTCAGGGCAAGAATTTGGGCTTGCCAGACAGAGCGATCCCCCCTTCTTCCCTGCCATGCTCTTCCAGCAGTTGTCCTCACCCTAGTCCTGGGGGGCACAGGGGGGCACCAGGAGGGGGAGAACTCATTAGTTGAATGCCATCCTTTGTCATGAAAAGTGATAGAAATATTGAGGTTAGTTATGCACACAAAAGCCAGCATCAAATGAGCAGTCTATACTGGTTGTCCATACCACCATACCACTAATTACAGTGGTGCCCCGCAAGACGAACGCCTCGCAAGACGGAAAACCCGCTAGACGAAAGGGTTTTCCGTTTTGGAGGCGCTTCGCAAAACGAATTTCCCTATGGGCTTGCTTCGCAAGACGAAAGCCCATAGGGAAATCTCCGGGGACCTCTTTTAAATGCTAGCGGTGGGGTGCACAGCCGTCCCCCTCCGGCCTTCAGAAGAGGTCCAGGAAGGCTGGCGGGGGCCTAACGGTTGTGCCCCCCACCGCCAGCATTTTAAAAGCAGTCCGGGATAGCAGGGAGCGCTTCCCGCTATCCCGGACGGCTTTTGAAGGCAGGAGAGGTCCGCGAAGCCTGAGCGCGCTGATCTCAGCGCGCGCAGGCTTCGGCATGCCGGCAACTCTCCGCAAGCAGCGGCAGCGCTGCCGCTGCTCGCGGAGAGGTCCGCGAGCCTGGGCGCGCTGATCTCAGCGCGCGCAGGCTTCGGCATGCCGGCAACTCTCCGCAAGCAGCGGCAGCGCTGCCGCTGCTCGCGGAGAGGTCCGCGAAGCCTGGGCGCGCTGATCTCAGCGCGCGCAGGCTCGGCATGCCGGCAACTCTCCGCAAGCAGCGGCAGCGCTGCCGCTGCTCGCGGAGAGGTCCGCGAAGCCTGGGCGCGCTGATCTCAGCGCGCGCAGGCTTCGGCATGCCGGCAACTCTCCGCAAGCAGCGGCAGCGCTGCCGCTGCTCGCGGAGAGGTCCGCGACGCCGGGGCGCGCCGATCTCAGCGCGCGCAGGCCTCGGCATGCCGGCAACTCCGCAAGCAGCGGCAGCGCTGCCGCTGCTCGCGGAGAGGTCCGCGAAGCCTGGGCGCGCTGATCTCAGCGCGCGCAGGCTTCGGCATGCCGGCAACTCTCCGCAAGCAGCGGCAGTGCTGCCGCTGCTTGCGGAGAGGTCCGCGAGCCTTGGCTGGACAGCTTTTGAAGGCAGGTGGGGGGACAAAGACTTTCGCCCCCGCCAACCTTCAGAAGAGGTCCAGGACCTCTTCTGAAGGCTGGCGGGGGCAAAGTCTTTGTCCCCCTGCCTGCCTTCCCAGGGGCTTTAAATTGCCCCGGACAGCGGAGAAGTCCTCCGCTGTCCCGGGGCAATTTTAAAATGCCGCCCGCCAGCATTTTAAGATCGCCCCGGACAGCGGAGAAGCCCTCCGCTGTCCCGGGGAACTTTAAAATGCTGGGGTGGGTGGGAAGAAAAGCCCTTGTCCCCCCCCCCCAGCCTTCAGAAGAGGTCGGGGGACAGACTGTCCCCGGACCTGGTCTGAAGTCGGTTTCCCTAGGAACGCATTAATTGATTTTCAATGCATTCCTATGGGAAACCGTGCATCGCAAGACGAAAAACTCGCAAGAAGAAAAAACTTGCGGAACGAATTAATTTCGTCTTGCGAGGCACCACTGTATATACTGGGCAAAAACTACTATGGGATCAATACAAGCCCTCTGTGCTACATGCTGACTAATGTTTGCCGCCTTCCACAGATGTTTTTGTTAAAAGAAAAAAATACTCTTTGGGAGATGGTAACATGCATCTATTGTGTAAGGTCTAGTTTGCCTAATTAGCAATGCACTCATATACATGTCTACTCAGACGTAAGTCTCACTGAGTTCAAGTTAGTAAATATAGGACTGAGGCTTCGTTCACTTAAAGCAGCTGCATTAGAGAGACTAGCCAAAGCGCCAATCAATTCTTTCTCTACCAACTACTTTTCATGCAGAAACTAGCAAAAAGCGGCACTGATTGATTGGACATTGACAGAAGCAAAAGGAACTGACAGCACCTTTGCTTTTATTATGCAAGCTAAGTTATTTAAGGAGAGACGCCAAGGGCTAAATCAGACACTTGCCGGCTCGTGCCTGACATTTAGAAAAGCCCACAAGAAAGTTCCCTCATTCTTATTCTCGTCCTGAATGCTCTTCCAATACTTTTCCAAGCTGGGGTTTCCCTGAAGGAGCAGCATGCCTTAGCTTAACAAAATGCACTGATTATTTCCAGCTTGTCAGTCTGTAATTTGAATTTATTGTTTGTGGGTTTTATTTACAAATGCTCATTACTCTCCCATTTTCCTCATCTATCCTCTAAGTTCCCTTCCAGCTTTTTCAATTATTTCCCCATATTGTCAGTTTATCAATTATATCACTAAGATTCATTCTTGGTGAACACAATTTGTTCCTATTGCATGAATTTTGACAGCATGATTCATTCTGGAGCTCAGTATGGAATTCAAAGACATGGTGCTTTTAGAGCAAAACAAATATGCAGGAAACCTTTTGCCCCTGAATGAAACATGTTGGCAGGATACATCAGGGGGAAAACTGTCTACATTCACACCACACTTTAAAGCAACAGAAATAGAGTAATCTCTGATCATATTCATTTCATTGCCATATCTAGCTCCCTTTAGTGTAGTAGGGTTGTGGTTTGGTATGCAGCATTATGCTAAAGTGCAAGTCCCACAATCTATTTGCCACCCATCTCCAGGTGAAAAAGATAGAGAAAGCATCATCAGGCTCTTCAAGAGTTCAGAACATCTCCCCTTGAAGTATAGGAAAAGCATTTGGTTGGTTGGTTGGTTGGTTGGTTGGTTTTTTAAAATTTTGACAGACTAAGGGAGAACATAAACAGAAGTTTGAAAAATTAAGAACCGTAAAAATAATAGATTTCTTATTTTCTCTCAGACTACTACAACTTAGGGTCACTCAATGAAAATGATTCTCAGTCTTGACCTTACTGTCAACTTGTCAGTCTTATTTCATTTATTTTATAAATATGTGTGTTTTCCCTTCCAAAAGTTTAAAGCAGCTTACAAAATATTTATTTAAAATCTATTGAAGATGAAAATACTCTTGTCATTAAGACGGGTTACCAAAAAGAACCCAAACAGCTGTGGGAATGTGGCGAACTCGATCTACGGTTGGAAAATGAGAAAATTGGGAAAATCAAGACCAGCAGATTTGTCCACCTCTGTTGTTGTTGTTTAGTCGTTTATTCGTGTCCGACTCTTCGTGACCCCATGGACCAGAGCACGCCAGGCACTCCTGTCTTCCACTGCCTCCCGCAGTTTGGTCAGACGCATGTTTGTAGCTTCGAGAACACTGTCCAACCATCTCGTCCTCTGTCATCCCCTTCTCCTTGTGCCCTCCATCTTTCCCAGCATCAGGGTCTTTTCCAGGGAGTCTTCTCTTCTCATGAGGTGGCCAAAGTATTGGAGCCTCAGCTTCGCAATCTGTCCTTCCAGTGAGCACTCAGGGCTGATTTCCTTAAGAATGGATACGTTTGATCTTCTTGCAGTCCATGGGACTCTCAGCCACCTCTAGGGCAGAGCTAAAGTGCTCCTTCTCATGTGGTCACTTCTCCTGTAGTTTTCACATGAAGAGGGTATATAATACCATGTTCAGTTAACTAATGCAATTCAGTAGCACAAGATGTGAAAATAACCATTAACTTAAATTGCTCTTTTTTTAAAAAAAAATCATTTATAGGAAAAAGGTATATCACTGGCTATTGGTGATTTAACCATTATAACTAAATGGAGCCACCAATATCTGAATGGTAGATGCTGGGGGCAGCCAAAAGAGTTCAGCTCTTCATCCGAGGATCACAGGATGGTTTACAAAATAAAACCAAAAGTATATATAACATAGTAACAAATAAAAACAATACCCATCCCCAAGTTTAAAAGTCCATAGGTTGTTTAATTAGCTAAATGCCTGGGAGAAGAGGGATGTTTTTGCCTAGCACCTCAAGATAGGCAACCAAGGCACCAGGTGAGCCTCCCTGCAAAGAACATCCCACAAATGGAACCACCACAGAAAAGGCCCATTTTCATATTGCTGCCTTCCAGACCTCTCACGGAAGAGGCACATGAAGAAAAGCCTCAAATGGTTATCACAGGGTCCAAGTTGGTTCATATGGGGGGAGGTGGTCCTCTGCTGTTTGACTTCAGTCCCTATTCCCTGACCATGCTGGCTAGGGCTGATGGGAGTTGGAGTCACACACCACATTGTCCATTCCTGGACTAGATGGACCTTAGTCTATACAAGCAAAACATGCTTCACTGGTTGCTTTGACAAATGCTGTTATGCTTTCTAAGTAAGTTTCTTGCGTTATGACTTCGCTTACAAACTAACCCACACTTCTATAGTTCAGCTTTATTTCAAGTTACCAAAGTAACAGCCCAATAAGGTTTCACAGGGCTGAAAAATTATCCAAGCCTTTGAATTTCTTCAGATCAGATAAAGTTAAGATGAAGTGTGCTCCTTCGTTTAGTTATTCTCAATAAGGAACACCCAAGAGGATCTTTGTGTTTCATAACCAAGTGCTTTCTTTACAAAAGGAACACAAAAATGATGAGCTTCTCCTGCATACACACATTTTTTACATAGCTCTGGGTTTCAAGTGGGCTGATGACAGAAGTGCTTCCTAGCCTTGCATGTAACAATGACAATCGGACTTTTAGAATCTATCATTTCCTTTCCCCATATCATGGGGTGTGTAGAACCTGGTAATTTGCAAGGATCAGGATGTGAAGGACTTTATCTTTCCCTGCTGCATTCATTTCCGCATTTCAAGTGGTTCAAGGCACGTGCTCTCTGCCTTTACGCATTTATTTAGATGGTGTGCATTTCTCTATATAGATCTTTCCCCACAACATTCATCCCAAGGCTGTGCAGTGTCTGCAGCTGATCTGGAGCTTGATGAAGCACAATAGGGAAAATCTTCAAAATGACTGTCGTACATGGCATCAGAGAAGCCATTTGTTAAGCTTTACATAAGGCTCTGGTCTCATGGCCAACTTTGATTGCTTTCCAGATGGGAATGAAAAAGTAACCATTGAAATTCTCAGAGAAAGGGTGGGGAACACTTCAAAGGGCTAGCCAGTTGCATTTTCCTCACTATTTCCTGATTCAAATCTGTCCTCGCCTCAAAGCTTCTCCTCTAGGTATTGCTGAAGAATGCTTCAAAACCTCTCTGTGTGCAAGCCCCTTTTATGTCCACAGAGCCTGAGCCAATGCAAGGCTTTGAAGATCACACTGCTTGGCTATTCAGAGGGAAATTGGGGGGAAATGTTTAAAAAATGAGAAAACAGGTGATCAGCTGCTCTTTGCATTCGCCCGTCTCGAACGACTTGGGAAAAGAAAAGATAGAAATATACGGTTCTTTCCCAATTCTGTGACAGGCACAACCATATACAACCCGAGTGGCTGCTGCTATTGATTTTGTTAACATTTTAAGAGGTAAAGCTCAGTGTTTGATTGGGATTTAGCATTTGTTACCTTGTTTCTTGGCAAAAAAACCCAAAAAATGCACACTGAACATTCAAATCCTGTTCTCAACGCATCTAAAACAGAACCTGCTTCTGACTGCTCAGCACATGTACACATTAAAAAAAAAATCCCTGCCAGCTATCGATATCTGATTTGGTAAATTTAAGTTTCATCTGCAGAGTCTGTAGTTGAAAATACATTGTTCAATCAGCGCACTGTAGTCACCAAAAGCATCAGCCCTGTCATCTCTCCACCATAATGTTTAGTTCGTAGGACTTAGAAGACCCAATGTGACATTACTGCAGCGAGTTTCCCTTTCTCTGCAAGCAGTAGCCAATGAATTGGAACAAGGGCAGACAAAGTTGGAGTGTGAGGTTACATCACACCATTTGCCGCTTCCTATATTACAGGGAAAACATGGAACTGGTGCTTACAGCAAGACCCATAACGCGCAGCTGCATTTTTCACAACTACCAACCAACCATGTTCTCAAAACAATATTTTATGATGGCAACAAGCAATGGGGGAGTCATAAAACTCAACCCTGAGATTTATTTTACTTTTATTATGTTGAGTACATTCACTCCTACCTATGAAAATTCTTCTAAGGAAGGCAATATTTCAGAGGAAGAAGAAACAATTTTCTTTTGTGATCCATTCTGCATTCATGGTATGAAAAGTTCATTTTATTCTTGTGGCTGAGGACAGTGTCAAAATATGTTTAAAAAGACATATGGGAATGAATAATAGAGGCAAACACATTTCTGAAAGAATTTTCAGGCAACACTAAGAACATTTTACTATGGAAACAATAAAGGAACTTTATGTCACTCTGAATTTTTGTTCAAAGGTAGAAAATTGAGAGGTGGGTACCATTTGGAATGGGTTTATTATATATCCCAATATAAGCAAATCTCCTTGCAAAATGGACATTTTTTCCAACTAAAAATGCAGTTTTAGAAAATAAAAGTTGAATATATGATATAAAACATTATAGTGTATCATATACTTGGAGGTACCCTGTAAAAACTAGTCTGGTTCATGAATTCCTAAGCTGCATATTTTGTGTGTGTGTGTGTGTGTGTGTGTGTGTGTGTGTGTGTGTTTATGTTCACCAAATACTTGATTGTTCAGCTACTGCAAATCAAAGCTGCACAAACTACATGGATTCCAAGTTTGCACATAATCCTAAACCATCATTCAGTGTTATGAGGGTGAGCCTAGGCAAGTCTTGAGCTTGCATAATCCTCTATCCCTTATCCTCCTCCAGTGTTTCTGCAAGGAATAGATAGAAGATTCCTAATTCCTTTTTAGCTTAACCCCTGTTTAGCACTATGTCCACTAAACTGTGGTTAATCTTAAGTATGGTTAGTGAACACAAAATCTGCTTCCTAAATGTGTTTATGAAGAAGAGGAATGCAGTTTCATGGTTTTATTTTTCCCTACGCAGGAGCAGTGACTACCTGTACACAATTAGAGCAGTTGATGGACCCTCCTTACTCTGGCAAGAAAATGAGGTGATAATGAGGCATCTAAGATTTACTACAGTGTCTGACATATTTACATAAAGGAAGTCAGAAAATGAGGCCTATGGTTATCAGACAAACCTAATATAGAATATAAAATTGATCCAGCAAAATCTTTTAAACTCCATCTCCCTGCCATCCTAGAGGTGGGAGGCATAGAGGAAGAGAGTGCATGAGCTTGAAGCTTACCATAAGTCATCCTCATAATGCTAAGCCATTACATGCTGTAATGCAAACACTCAAGTGTTAGGCTGCACATCTGCATCAAGCATGTCAATCATCTCACAGTATTAAGCATCAGTGAAACAATTCTCATCTGATATTCTACATCTTGATCTTTTCTGTGAGGATTACGCAACCCTACTGAAAGACACCAGGACTTGTTATTTGAAATCATATGAACAAGGATTGTGCAAAGAACTAGTGGGCAAATGTTTGAAGAATGGGCAGGAGGCTCCTAGCACATAGAAAGAATAATCCAAAGCAGTGGTGGCCAAACTCGGCCCTCCAGATGTTTTTGAACTACAATTCCCATCATCCCTGACCACTGGTTCTGTTAGCTAGGGATGATGGGAATTGTAGGTGTAGTCCCAAAACATCTGGCGGGCCGAGTTTGGCCACCACTGATCCAAAGGGAAGGAAGGTGAAGAATCAAACAAGGCAGAGGTGCCAAATCCCAAAATCTGCTCTAGGGAAGTTGAATTCCCCTCCAAAAAAAAATCCTTCTCAGTGGTTCCAACAGGAGAAAAAATCAGTGTATCAGTTCATTCAGGGTACATGTCAAACATACATCCTGGAACACCTGGTTTTTGCCCTCCACACTACTGGAGCACTGATGGTGGTGAAAGGAGAGCCACAGCAGCAGCAATCAAACCTCCATGGGTGGATTTCCCTTTCTGCCTGTCAAAAAGTATCATAAGATTACCCCAACAATGTGATCCTGTGCATGTTCACTCAAAAAAAAAAGTCTCACTGTGTTTGCTTCGTAGTAAGCATGTTGGGGAAGAGAGGCCAGGAAAGCCATTTCTTATCCCATGTAATCTTTTTTACATGTCTTTATAGATAGGTTACAACCCAAACACTTAATGATTTTAAATGAAGTCCCATATGAAGAAATACAAAGCTTTCTAAATGCAGCTCTGTGGAGTATAACATTTTAAAATGATCACTGAATATGTTTTACAGAATATCTGTTCAGAAGGACTGCAATCCAAGGATATACTTGGATATTACAAGCAATATTTGCACAGCATCCTAAGGTATATTCACCCAACCATACTTGTGGTATCTTTCAGTCATCCACTGAATGTCCTAATGAATAGAATATATTTCTTCTGTCTTATGAAAAATAGGTGAAGACCATTTGCTGATTTATCAAAACTAACTAAAAGAAAAATCCTAAATGGTTACTTAAAGGGGCACTTTTTTGTAATTAGCTGAATAAATGGGATGGAAGTTACTATAAACAACGGAAAAGTGTTTACCTAGACATTGGGAAAGTGCATATCAGCTCACTAATTGGCAGTCCCTTAAGACTATGATACAAACTTTGGGTATAAAATAATTTGCTTCATGCATCTCTTAATAAGTGAAGAAAACACAGATAAAGATCAGTTTTGTGGATATAGTCACACAGGGACTTGAGAAACCTAATTGCTATTTTCACATTCATTCCCCCCACCATTTCTGTTTCTTCCCAGTGACCTACTCCCAAAACAAACAGTTGAGTTTAATAACAGAGCACCAAAGGCTTCTTTCTCAGTCTGTCCCAGGAGGACGGTGTTTAACTTCTCACCTGCTTGAAAATTAGTACTGAAAATTAGTACTGAAAGCATTATCCTCTAACTATACAAAAATGATTCACAGCCAAACAGCAGCCTTGGAAAAGAAACAGATGAGCTAAATAGACAACAAGTTCACATATAGTGGTGTCATTGAAAGCACTGAGGGTAAAGTAAGACCCTGTTCTCTTAAACTGTTCATATCCCATCACTTCACTCCTTTAGCTCAATTAAAATTGGTGGGATGGTAGACTGAAAAGTCCAACAACATTAGGGAAGGGCTTCCAGGGCAAACCCCAGTAGTGTCACCACCCAGTTAGCCTGCAGGGCCAGTGTTTCCCCTGGCCAGAGGATGTGGCACTGCCTTCCTTGGACTCAAAGGTCTCCATGGAGGACTCAGTGTGACCAGAGACTCCTTTGTTACATCACAGAAAAAACAAATTGAGGATGCTGGGCCCCTTTTAAGCAAGGCACTGTCTTCAAGAATGAGTGGAACGCATTATAAGTGGCAGTTGTGCTGCATATATATATAGTGGCACTGTGGTCTAAACCACTGAGCCTAGGGCTTGCCGATCAGAAGGTCGGCGGTTCAAATCCCCGCGACGAGGTGAGTTCCCGTTGCTCGGTCCCTGCTCCTGCCAACCTAGCAGTTCGAAAGCATGTCAAAGTGCAAGTAGATAAATAGGTACCACTCTGGCGAGATGGTAAACAGCGTTTCCGTGCGCTACTCTGGTTCACCAAAAGTGGCTTAGACATGCTGGCCACATGACCCGGAAAAACTGTCTGCAGACAAACGTTGGCTCCCTCGGCCAGTAAAGCAAGATGAGCGCCGCAACCCCAGAGTCATTCACGACTGGACTTAACTGTCAGGGGTCCTTTACCTTTCATATATATATATATATACGACATGACTGAGGAGGTGCAGTTGTTTGCTCCTGAAGCAACATACGAGTTTTGTTTTCATAGACTACAGTCTAAATACCTTCATTCAACTTGAACCTTTCCATACCTAACCCACTCCTGTCTCAGTATGCCCTGTACCCAACTTGAACCTCAGCCTGCACCCAGCCAGAGTTTTGCCTTGCCTCAGCACACAGCACAACAGCTAGCAATGATCCTGACTAAAATCCCCTCCCTCTGTGCTGCTATTAATCTTTGGTAGGTGAGTGGGGAATGCTCCCATTGTTGCCACTGGGAGTCCCACCTGCCAGGTGCAAAGCAGTGTTTTGTGTCCACAGGGTAGACTTCTGGTTCATGATTGAGCTAGGAGTTCCAGGAAACTCTTATGGGAGGACAGTCAGGGCAGTTCCACTAGGGTGGGATTATTACTTTATCTAAAAACAAATTATGGTTAAAAACATCTTATTTGAATATATTTAACAGGGAGGGATCTTCTCCCCTCCAGCTTCTCAGTCTTCATAATGGTTGGGGTATTTAAATACCACCTGATATTTAGTGACGTATGATTGTAGTCTGGTATACAGGTTTGCTGTTTTGATTTCATTCCGCAACCCTTTTTTTCATTTTCTTTGTTACTTGCCTGTTTTCTCCTATGTCTACACATTTTTGTATGCAAAAGTAAAATTCAATAAAAATGTTTTCATTTTTAAATCTAAAAACACTTTAAAACATTGTTTCAATATTAAGCAATTCCCATGAACATTGATCACTGCTAAGTTTGAGAGTTAAATAGAGTTGTGGCCTATTTTAATCCAATTGATGGTGACCATCTGCAAAGAGTCACCTGCCAGTACAGCTCCTGCCTGCACAGCTAAATACTCGCTCCTTAGGCTACAGTTCCAAGTTCCTAAAGAGCAGAACCAAGCTGCTTGCATCCTTGCCAGTGCTGCAAGTAGCCCAGCAGAATGTTTGCAAAGGAATAATTATAGCTAATGTCAATTTCGACCTTTTGTTTGATCGTCCCAAAGGAAAGCTGTGTTAATAGGTGAGAATTGCATCTCAGCAGACATCAGAGTTGCCAGGGGGCTCAGGAGCAACAGGATTGTTTCAGCTGCTGGCTCTCGGTGATAAATGAGAACTGAGACAACTGCTAGGAGATTTGCAGCATATTGGCAACAACAAGCTGATCAGGAGTGACATCAGTATAGCTGTGGCACGGTGCCAGAACGCTACAAATCAGGCACATTTAGGCCTCTTCCTTTTTCTCAATTTGCCCACTGGGGAATGACAATTATTATGGCTAGCCAGGGTTTAGAATCATCCAACTTGCAATCAATAGTAAGTTATTGTATTGGCAGTTGCCCTGTGTTTGATGACAGCCTGACAACTTTCACAGCACTGACCTTAATGAATGGTCTCCGTGCAATGTCAAGTGGAAGCCAGAGAAGTGCCTTAGCTATGCTTTGCAGCAGGAGGATGATTATCATTTTCAAGTCATTTGAGAGACATAAAGGAGCAGAACAGAAAAGGGTTGTCAGGTAACTTATAGGAAGTCTATGGGGACACACTCAAGAGCATTAAAATAAGGCTTCTTTCACCTTAGCGATCCTGACTTAAATGGGATGGTTATTGGCAAGTGAAAAGGTGGATGTTTCCCTCCCTTTCAGTGAATTTGGGACACACACACGTCACATAGATATATTTTTGAAACTGGCTAGGAGGAGAGAGGGCTGTTGCTTGTGGGCTTCCCATAGGCATCTAGTTGGCGCTGTGAGAACTAGATGCTGGGCTAGATGAGCCTTTGGACTGATCCAGCAGGGTTCTTTTGTTCTTATGACTTGAGATTGTTATTATAGAAGGAAAGGAAGTTGGATTATTCTCTTTAATTTTTCTGTACAAAAGTAGCTGTCATGTAGTTTTTGGTGAGAACCAATGAATTTACAGTACCACAAGTTAAGTAGATGAGAGAGTTGTTTTACTGTTTGCAACTTTTGTCTATTTTAATACCTATAAAATACTGAAGCAAACTTCAGTTATAAGGTGGACTATCAACTGTATAAATAAATAAAACACCTTCTAGATAGCTGATTTTGTAAAGCTGAGCTGGGAGAAGGGAGCCAGGCTGATTTTTAGTTCAGGTGTTAAAGTTTAATAATGCATTTTTTTAAATGTAGGCAGGCTATGCTGAAACTAATATTTCTAATTGAAGTTACACCAAAACACTAAAAAAGAAAAGTTTAAATGTTGTATGTAGTAAAGGCATGGGCAACAGCTGATCTCCCGCCCTCTGACTCTGATTTGTAAGACGAGAGTGAAAAAGGAGTGGATTGTTTTGTGAGCTGCCCAGTGAACTCTTATTATGGGGCACCCACATAAATGCAGAAAAATGAATAGATAAATGTATGCCTTGATCAAATCATCTTTCTAAACAACAACCTGGAATTGCTTCTATGGCTTAGGCCACTGGTTGCTTTTGACTCGTTTGCCATGTTACACCCACTTGCTATGCACCTGCTAGATCCTTACTACATACTGCCATGTGAATCAAAATTTATGACCTGTAAACAGCATTAACCTTTTTTTCTGGCATTCATTCATTTCACTCCTTTGTTAATTAACTGGGGAAGAATGGGAAGGGCATTGTTAAATACCCATAGGAAAAGGAGGGAGGGGATGGGCACAGGAGGGGAGAGGTGTGGCAAAATGGGCATGAGTGAAGGAGGCAGCATGATGGCACTTGAGGGCTGACGTACAGCCTTCTTGATGCACAGCCCACAAAAACCTGGAAGAGAAAAGCCCCAAGGCAAGCTACTAGTTTCATGGTGCAAAATGCTTCTCTAAGCTGTTTTCCTAAGATATACTTCCTCCCAAATGCTAAGAAGTTAAAATCAGCATCTAAAGATAAAGCCAAACTTTATAGAGATGCTCAACCTTGTTTAGAGAAAAATGAACCCGGATTTTGTACTTATCACCATGCTCGATAACAGCTTAATCCAAATACATTCAACCTAATCAAATTACTATCTCTGAAGGCTACAGGGATAAATTTACAGTGTTGGAATCCTATTTATACAGTGAAATCCTTTAAACTAAATAGCTGGGATTGGACAGGGTAGCTAATAAATGAAAATATGCTGTACCAAATAAAATATATAGCCTATTTCATCTGCCTTAACAAAACTTATTTAGCTGGTAGGTTCACTGGAGTATCAAAGGAGGCCTGGAAAGGTGAAATTAATCATGGAAAAGTGAAGTGTAGCAAGAGGCTTATCGAAATCTTGATGCTGTAAAAGTTGCTAGTGGGGTGTGATTTCTCTGATGAAAATTTCATTTGCATCAAGAGCTTAAACATGTTTTTGCACTTGATGTTAATATCACACATAAATGTGACTGGATGACACTGTTACAAAGCAAAGCCCACTCAATGTGCAGGGCAGTAGAAGAGAAGGATGATTAATACTGATGAATGCTGTTTTCCTGACTCTTAGAATCCAATTAAATTGCTGAAGTCCTGAAGGTGAAGAGAGAAGAAATGTCTAGTTTCGACAGCAATAGTTTTATATATCCATTAAAACTGAGGAGAAACAGCGACTTCTAAAGGAGGAAGGAGACACTTCTTTTACTCATCTTATTAAACCCAATCTCCAACCCTTGTGCCCAAGGCTACCTTCAACATGGCATTTTTTGTTGTTTGCAACACAAGGGAGCATAATCTGCACTTCCCTGTTCTTAGCCTTAGCCAATAAGATGCATTTCTTTACCTATTTATCAGATTTGTGTTCTACTCTTTCTCTCCATTCCTCAGGGAACTATATATGGGGAGGCCAGTGTGGTGTAGTGGTTAAGAGCGGTCGACTTGTAATCTGGTGAACCGGGTTTGCTTCTCCACTCCTCCACATGCAGCTGCTGGGTGACTCTGGGCTAGTCACAGTTCTCTGAAGTCTCTCAGCCTCACTCACCTCACAGTTTGTTGTGGGGGAGGAAGGGAAAGGAGAATGTTAGCCGCTTTGAGACTCCTCAGGGTAGTGATAAAGCAGGATATCAAATCCAAACTCCTCTTCTTCTTCTTATCCACAGTACCCTCAACCACTCTCTGAAAGTACTCATCTAAGGAAGTTCATGCAGCAGGGCAAACCAGAGTTTTGAACCCTATTCAAAATCTAGCATTCAATCCACTATACTTCACCAGCATTGAGAAACTCATCAGAACCATCTACACAGATATAATCAGAACCAGCCTGTGAGTTGCTATTCTCAGGCTCTGACATGGCTATGATATGGACAATTCCAGCCCCAGCAACATTTCCTACAACAATGTTTGAAGCTGTCATATAAATGGTTGCTCTGGGGTAAGAAGGAATGAAGGAAGTCAGTTGTGCTCTTTGTCCGAAACGTGTTTAATAAAACAAAACCATTTCACATTATATCTCTCTCTCTCCTTAGATTTCTCCTTTCCCGCAATTGACAAGTAAAATTTTCCATATGGGCTACCAACCATATCTGAGAATACCACTCCTCTTTCAAATTAGCGGGTACTCATTTCCAATTTGGGGCTTCCAGTGAAAACCTATCATGCATGCTAGTCCTGCAGAAATCATCCATGAAGCGTACTGAACTACCTGCAGAATTGTGGCCTTCACAAGTTAAGTTTCCTTGCTTAGGCAAGCAGCATCTTAGAACACGAAACCATAAATGCAAATAGTTTAGGGTTGCCATACGTCTGGAATTTCCCAGACACAGCCAGGAATTGGCTGTCGGAAACAGTGTCCAGGCGGAAATCACTGAAATGTCCAGGAAAATCCGGATGTATGGCAATCCATGTCAGCAGTGTCATTTTTGGTGATTTTGGTGATTTTCCTAAAAATACCACTCCTCTATGGGCTAAACCACAGAGCTTGCCGATCGGAAGGTCGGCAGTTCAAATCCCCATGATGGGGTGAGCTCCTGTTGTTCGGTCCCAGCTCCTGCCCACCTAGCAGTTTGAAAGCACGTCAAGTGCAAGTAGATAAATAGGTACCGCTCCGGAGGGAAGGTAACGGCGTTTCCGTGCGCTGCTCTGGTTCGCCAGAAGCGGCTTAGTCATGCTGGCCACATGACCCAGAAGCTGCTTGCTGACAAACACCGGCTCCCTCGGCCTATAGAGAGAGATGAGCGCACAACCCCAGAGTCGTCCGCAACTGGACCTAACAGTCAGGGGTACCTTTACCTTTAAGTGTTCTATATAAGTGGAATAATAAACTCTTTGGTAACATTTTGTACTAAAATAGTTTTACTATAGTTGTCCCAAGTAATTTCCCCCTATTTCTGTTTGACATTACATCCAGCTGAGCATCTGATGACACATTTTATAATTTACCTTTAGAAATCTTTTAATTGCCAGTTTCTCAAAATCCATTAAAGAGGCTCTCCGTGTACCAGACTATATTTTAGTATTTATATAATCACTCCGCTGAAGGTACCTCCTTCCTATATTAGAAGGTCACTCAGTAAGACACTATTTCAGAAACTTCCTCTCTCCAGTATATCAGGTTTGGCTAATAAGAAAACTTAGTTATGACCTTTTAACTGTTTGTTAAATGTAACAAGAGGTCAATAAAAGATATACAAATTTTGAAAACATTATAAAATGTGTCCCTTACACCAGAAAGAGGGAACCTTCTTCCGGCTGAGGTCTGCACTACTTTGATCAGAACATTGATCAGAACATTGCAGCAAAGTTGGCAAAGCCAGAACAAGTGGCAAAAGTAGAACATAAACATGAATATAGGGACATTTCTCCAGACCCTCTGCCTGTATGCTTTCTCAATCTTACCCAAAGCTAAAAAGAACAGTGAGAAGTGATAAGACGACTGGCCTGGGTTCCTGACTACGGAGTAGAGGGCAAAGGCATTACAGTACTTCTCTATGGTCTCCATATACTGTACTCAGATTTCTGAGCTAGTGTGACTATCTGCCACCATGGTCTCTTGGTGCTAAGGTTTAAGACAGGAAAAGCTGCTCCCAGCAATCCCAGATGGATTCTGACTTCCCAAAGAAATGCCACTATTATTCGTATTTGGACAGCAGTCCGGATTTTGACTTCTGTTATATGACCATGGTGGATGGGGCAGAAACTGTACAAGTGTAGTGTCTGGAAACCTGCTTCTATTTTATTACCAAGTTAATGGCACACTTGTTGAAAAATAAGGGTGGCCTATTTCATCTTTTTTCTTCATGTTTCTGCTGCACTGCAAAAGTGAACCTTACTTATGTGATTATTGTGACCATATGAAATTCAGACAAATACATATTTGAATACAGGAACTGAAATTCATTGTTCCTACACTGCCTCCCTGTTTCATGCCATAACCACTTTCTCTTCCCCATCCCCTTTTCATTAAGAAATAAACTTTTCCCATCTACACCTTAAGAAATGCTGATGCAAAGATTGTGATGGGGCAATAAAGCTTCTAAGCTTACAGAATGTTATCCTCTTTTGAATGATATGTATAGCTTGTTAAAAGTTGTTCCACCTCACTAAACATTGCTAATAATCAATTGCTATTTAATTAACCATTGACCAAATACAGCTAAATTAAATCTTTATTGGAGACACTTAATTTAAAGTGCAGACAATACTTTTTATTAATTAACTGTGGTTTAAATATCAGAATTTAGTACGCAAACATCTCTATCCCTTAGTATCCAAACATCCCTGTTTGGCTAGCATTGAATTTAGTTTGATTGTACAGTATTATTACTATTCTTTGCAGCTGCTGTGAAGAAATTGGAACTAGAGTAACTGTTTCTCTTGCATAGCACTAAAAAAAAAAAAAAAAAGCTTCATTTGCTCTGTTTGTGGCTTATATTGTTTTTTATCATATCAAATCCTGCTTTAATCATTTTTCACCCTTCTTTCCTAAGGCTGAAATCGGGTCTCCCACGTGACAGGTAGGGACACTTACCACTATACTAACATGAAGTTGTCTGAGTTGGGGGGTTAGAGAAGCAGCAATAACTGTACTCTCTCTAATTTTGTACTATGCAGCACCCCATAGCAGCCATTTTCTGACTGGTTCCCACAACACTCTGTCAAAATTCAAAATATGCCAACTGGTCCAAAAAGGTTGGTAATCCCTGGTCTAATTATCTCATAATTCTGAGTACACACAAAGCCAATGCACACTCTGCCTATAAACCATCAATCTAGGAGTAGGCATAGTAGAGACGTTCTCCTCCAAAATTACAGATCAAATTCACACCCATCAGCAGTTTCCACAATTTAACCTTGCCTGTTCTCTATTACATATAAGCTTTTATATGTTCTACATTACACATAAAATTAGGAGTTCTAATTTAAAAATGATTTGCCCTAAAAAAAAAAAAAAAGACAGTGCTGTGGTTATAATTTAAGCAGACAGTCTGTTGGTCTTTACCTAACCTTTTCTGTTACCTGCGCTGAACTTTAGTTTATTATTTCCAATGCAATGGAATATATAAATAGAAGCTACTGTGAACCATAAGACTGTCTGGTTAGGCTTCAGATGAAGTATCTGGCTTGAAAACTTGTCTGTACCAATTAGAAAAAAGGAAAACAGTACCAGCTGGTGATCATGACCCTGGAACTTTCAAGGGAGACAACAGATGCCAAGTAAATGAAGCAAAACAAGGCAATATTCAGATTCCACGGAAGGTTCTAGAGGATGAAAAGGTCAAATACAATCACTATTAGGGCTGTTGCACAATTGAAAAAGTCACATAAAGTGACTTGCTTGATTGGTCAATTAAGTGATCATAATTGCCTAAATAAGTATATGAATAAAAAATAATAGTTAATGAAGCAAAATTGTTTTAGGTGCATGTGTATCCTAGTGAGCAATGCCATCATTATCAATATATTTAGGCCAAAAAACCCACTATTTTTTGCCATATCAGATGGCAGCAAAGCTTGGGCAGTTACTGAGCATTGCTGTCCTTTCATATATGGCTAGCAGCACAATCCTATGAATGTTTACTCAATCCTACTGAATTTGGTTAAATTTACTGCTAAGAACCTAAGCTGGGTTGTGTTAAGCTTAGGAGGTCACAAGTTGTACAGGGCTTCACACTAAGAACAGAAAGGCAGTTTCGTAAGGCTGTAATGGATTTATGAGAAGCATTAATGATATAGGAAACCAGGTTTCACCGGACATCAATCAATCAATCAATCAATCAATCAATCAGTTTTGCAGTTTGCCTTTGCACCATTAGTAAAGCATTGCAGATTTCTTTTTCCTTGCTGCCAATATCTATCAGAGACTAGTTTTGATTTTATGGTGCTATGGGGATTTTCTCCATTGTTAGAGGGAAAATCTCATGCTGCTGTTTATGATCATAGTCATAAAATAGTCCTTGATGGTTGTTGGGCAGCAGTAGCTGAAACAGACTCTTTTATAGCTCCCAATGAAATCTCAATATTTAGTCCGTCTGTTAGGTGGTAAAAACAGAAGTTGGTGCATCTTGCCTGAACACTTGCAGCTCTAATTATTGTCTCCACTGCAATCAAGGTTTAACTCCAATCATGGCAGTGTTTGTGACATATTCATTAGATTGTGTGTGCTACATTATGGTTACACTTTTGGCTACATTATGTAATGTCACAGAAAGGTTCTCCAGACTCTACCAATGTCTTGGTCTATCTGCTGTAATGACAACCTTAAACCAGACTACCATCACAAAAAATGACATAAAACGGTGGTGGAGGAAGCCGCTCGGGCACCTGGGGTGGCGCGCCCAGGAGCAGGGCGAGGGTGGGGTGAGCCGCCCATAGGGGCAGGGCACACCGCGGGGCCTCCAGAGTCTGCCTGCCTCCTCCCACTCAACCACCCTACAGCTGGGGGGGAGGCAGCAGGTGAACCGTTGGGGCAGCGCGGAGCCTGCATGTGCCGAAGCTACTGCGTCTCTCCCAGGAGAGATGTGTGGCTTGGGCGCGCTGCAGGCCCCACAGTGAGTGCCGCCCGGCATTTTGTCACCACCCCCTCAGTGGTGACACCCGGGGCAGCCCGCACCCCCCTTCCTCCGCCCCTGAAGTATATGAAGTACAATTGAAGTATATGTTATTTAACATATATATCACACATATTAACAGGCAACCACTATTATGACTATTTCAAGGCTTGCTTCCTCACTACTCATTTGCTAATTAATTTACATGTAAGTGAATATTCCAATGTCCCAATAACACTGAACCTAAGTTTGCCAAGAAAGAGTCAATGAGAGGAGAAACTGGAAACTATTTTGATAGCATGCAACCAGGCAGGCAGCAATCTCAATTCTGGTACCATCTATTCCCACTTCTGACAAGCACTGAATTTTACTACCATGACCTTTGAATAAATCCAACTATGCGGCTCAGAAACTGTTAAGCTTTAAATTAGTATTACATGCTGAAATACAGAAGGATAGTCATCCACACAACTTTCACATTCACAACCAAAGGTGTTTCTCCCCCCACCCCCATTCTACACTTCCTTTTTTTAAAAAAAGCTGGCCTAACAAACTAGGTTTTTTCCTTTTCTCTTCTCTTTTTTCTTTTCTTTCTTTAAAATTGTTTGGGAACTTTAGTTTATGTTTTTAACCAGGGGTAAAGAGCACTCCAGGGATTCTGGGAAGAGTAGCTTTCAAAAGGAGAGCTGTGGAAAAATCTGGTGAGTGAAGGAACTTCTGTTCATAACCCTCCATATCCTGTTGCACTAATTTAAGACTAATTAAACTCTGTTGCAAAAGAGACCATCTATTAAAAACAGCTATGCACAATGCAGAAGCTCAAGAACCCAATTCTGTCACCTTGGTTCCCGCTCTTGATTAGAGGATAGTAAATAATTGGCTTTCTCCATTGCGAATGGTAAATCTGTAGGCCTGACATTTGGGGAGCAAAATCTAATCCTAGTACACCAGCATCCTTATAAAAGGAGAATCCGGATGAATAAAAAACGAGGGGGGTTATTCCTTTTTCTGGAAGCTAACAAAGGAATAAGCCACCTGCCTTTGCCATGAGGATTAGGACACAGAACACTTTTATTCTACAAGTTGATCACTCTCAGAAGCTGAAACCATAATAGCCATTGTGTCATTATAAAAGCACTGCACATTCATGAAAAAGTTATTTGTGCTGGAAAGTAATCCAGAGTAAACTGAATTGAATATTTTATGGAAATTAACTAGGCTTAGAATTTTGATACATTTTGACTATGCAATTTTCCCCCTGTATTGGAATCTCATGTACTTTAAATGATAGTTTAGCAAAAATGACAACCGAAAAGAATGATTTTCAAGAGTTATGACATGCAACAGAGCAGCAGTCATTGCCTACCTGCAAAACAGACCATTGAAGCCAAAGTGCACAGAACCTCCCATTTAAAAATACTATTTCTATGAGTTTATGGGGTAAGGGAACTTGGGAATTTAAATGTTTCTCTTTCTTGAAGTGGGCAATTATTTTGCGCAGGTTGATGTAAGACAGAACAAGCCACAGTGGAGCTCACTTTTGTATTTTTACAGCTTCAATTTCAAGTTGGTATCAGATGTACTAATCCCTTGGAAACTGCACATAAATCATTGCAATTCAATGAAAAGTAACAAAGAGTTTAAGAAAAAGCTTGAAAATATATTCTCCTAACAGTAGTGAATCGTGAAGGCAATTGAGAGAGAAAAATTGTCACTGGTGATGTGTGCAAAGTAATACAAAATGGTAGGAGGGGAGAACGTTAATTATAATCTATAGTGCAGACTGGGTCCAAAGGTTTCTGACATTCATCTATAAAATGCTTCCTCCAATCTTCAGCCTAGTCCTCCCAACATTATTCTATTCTATTCTGTTTTTTTATTTAAGTTGTATACTGTCCGTCATATGAAGATCACAGGGCAATTCACATGATAAAAACACTCCTCCTCTCCATTACAGTGTGAATTCCTCCTCTTTCTTTCTTTCTCTCTCTCCCGCTCTCTCACGCCCGCCTCCCAGGATTTTAACAGAGAATTCTACCCAGCACTATGTCCTGCATAACCTGGACTAAGCGAGAAAGTGATGGAATCATCTAAAATGAAGGTAAGACTCTGTTTTAAGAATTCCTTTAAAACAAAAAACAAAACAAAAACCTCAGATTTTGACTCTCTGGTTACCTTTCTGATGCCATCAGAAGCCGATTTGCCTATTGTGTAGAGAACATCCCTGCTTTCCAACTCGACAATTCTATGATTCAAACATCTCACCCAAAATCTTTTTAAAGGTGCCACTTAAAGCAAAGAGTCTTCATCAGAGGAGAGAAATGATTCTCATCTCTCCCTTTGATCTTGAGGATCTGTCAATTTGTTCCCGTCAAGGTGTTGAAGGTGATATGGGTAAGGCATGCTCTATTTGCACAGAGCCATCCTCAGTACCCACCCAATGGTCAGAAAATCTGTTTCCACTGGATGGTGTAGAGAAGCCATCTCCTGCTGCAAGGAACTACAGTGGTAGCTCAGGTTAAGTACTTAATTCGTTCCAGAGGTCTGTACTTAACCTGAAACTGTTCTTAACCTGAAGCACCACTTTAGCTAATGGGGCCTCCTGCTGCTGCTGCTGCGCCGCCGGAGCACGATTTCTGTTCTCATCCTGAAGCAAAGTGCTTAACCTGAAGCACTATTTCTGGGTTAATAGAGTCTGTAACCTGAAGCATATGTAACCTGAAGCGTATGTAACCCAAGGTACCACTGTATTATATTGCCAACAGAGACACTGGTGGCGCTGTGGTCTAAACCACTGAGCCTTCTGGGCTGCTGATCAGAAGGTCGGCAGTTCAAATCCCCGCGACGGGGTGAGCTCCCGTTGCTCTGTCTCAGCTTGCCAACCTAGCAGTTCGAAAGAACACCAGTGCAAGTAAATAGTTAACGCTGCGGCGGGAAGGTAAACACCATTTCTATGCGCTCTGGCTTCCATCATGTTATACCATTGTGCAAGAAGAGGTTTAGTCATGCTAGCCACATGAGCCAGAAAGCTGTCTGCAGACAAACGCCTGCTCCCTCGGCCTGAAAAGTAAGATGAGTGCCGCAACCCCATAGTCGCCTTTGACCAGACTTAACCATCCAGGGGTCCTCTATCTTTACCTTTTTTACCTATATTACCAACACCCATCCTGGTTTTTGCTAAGTACACAAGATCCAACTGTGAGATCCCTAACCCCTGGCAATATTCAGATCAGCTTTCCTTCATATCAGATTCACCAAATACTTGGTAAAATCAGATAGAGTGCAATTTTGAAAAATATTTCATTCGCATGCCTGAACCCTGCATACCTTAACCATAACGTACCCTCTGAATCTCATAGGTACCAGGTTCCACCTTAGTTGGCCATTCAGAATCCCTGACTGGTCATGCACTGAAACATTTTATACAATCCTCTCAAAGAAGACAAATCTGCACATGGATCTTTCTTCAAACTCCAGCTGTGCTGGAAACCATTGTCCCTCAATTCTTTGGGGAAGGGCCATAGTTCCATGATAAAGCATCTGCTTTGATTCAGAAAGTCCCCCATTTGCCCTCTGCCAGGTATAGCTGGAAAAAGACTTCTGCCTGCAACCCTAGAGAGCTACTACCAGTCAGTGTAGCCAATATTCAGCTAAGTATAATATTGGCCTAAGTATAAGGTAGCTTCCTATGTTTGTCTGTTTAGACCACTCCCCTTCCATGGGGGGTGGAGTTGTGGGCGGGCATCCAAGACCTCACTGTGACCTGGCAGGGGACAGAGTGATGCCGCCCTCATCATCGGGACTCCCAGCCGCGTCATGTCCCCCGCTGACCAATCGGGTTAGCCGGGGGGGGCATAGCCTGACAAAGTAGCTTCCTATGTTTGTTTGTTTACTTCAATTGACTTTCTACTCTGCTCCCTCTGCTAATGGTCTTCTCTACTTTCTTCTTTCTCTTATACAGTGGTACCTCGGGTTAAGTATTTAATTCGTTCCGGAGGTCCGTTCTTAACCTGAAACTGTTCTTAACCTGAAGCACCACTTTAGTTAATGGGGCTTCCTGCTGCCGCTGTATTTATTCTTATCCTGTTCTTATTTATTCTTATTTCTGTTCTTATCCTGAAGCAAAGTTCTTAACCTGAAGCACTATTTCTAGGTTAGCGGAGTGTGTAATCTGAAGCATATGTAACCTGAAGCGTACGTAACCCGAGGTATCACTGTATGTAGGTCAGCAATGAAGGGTTTCTTTCAACATCTCCAACAGAGCATGTCAAGGGAAGAGAGGCATGCTCTCTCTTTTCCCTATTTGGCCACAGGCCTACAACTATGGATCTCAAGAAAAATAAACTCCCTGTTGTTTTGTTCATGTAGACATTGAACCTGCATTGTAGCAGGAAGCTTTGGGAAGTATGGTGGTGACATTCTAGAGAGCAGCAGAGAGGCATATTCTAGGCAACTGTAATAGGTTATCTTTAGGACATGCAATGCATGAGCTGCTGCTGGGCGATACTGAGACAGAGAGCTTCTTGGGGAAAGTACCAACATTAGATGGCGGCTGAGGATAGAATATTGGACCTCCAAGTCAATGAGCTTCAGTAACAAAGACAACTTCCTCATATTTCATATTTGAATGAAAATTACTCCACAGGTGGCTTCAGTGTTTTATTTTTCCATCCTAATTTGGTCAGATTCTTGTATCTTGGCACTTCAGTCTTTTACTGCAGATAATTTTCTACTAAATGAGGTTCTTGAATCTGAAACAAATACACCTCACAAAGCAAATGCATCTCTTGTCGGTCTGCATGATAAATATTAAAATAAGCTTTGTAACGGTTCATGCAGGGAATATTTATACAAGAATGCTGCAGATGTTGTAAAGCAATGGTAATTGCCAAATCAATCATTCTTAACCTTTTGTCTCAGACATTACATAACGCTTATGTTAAAGCTTGGCTTAATTTTTCAGGGTATAAGTGGTGCTGTAATCATAGCTATAACGTACAGGTTCACTGGAGCCTTCGTTTTAAATGTACCGTTGTCAGTTTACACAGAAATCTGACTATAAGCCATCTGTTGCTGAAACTGGTCATTATCAATTTTGACAGTCTGTTACTAAGTTCTGCAGATGCTAACCAGTTGGAACCATCTGTTTGTGTCAAAAAGTAACAGTTCATTTTGAAGGAGAGAAAACTGGCATTATTGGAGAATACTTGCAATGTGCTCTTGACCTCAGCAGAGGTAGAGCAAACCAAGATATCAGAGTAACAGTCATTTGTGAAATAAGTATGCTAAAAGAAATGACTATTTGCATCTCACTTCCCTGCAAGGTCAACTTGAAGCTACTGAGTAACAATATTCTAGAAATTGACTTAATATTCGTTTTCTATTTCTGTAGATTGTGGCCTGCATTTCTGCACTGGATATAAGGGTTCCAAATTTGCCTTATGTTCTGAAGTCAGACTTGGTAATTCTAGCTGAATTTTTTGCCCTATACTTCCTCCCTTCACTGTGATTAGTTCACTCCCTCCCTTCCTCACATCTCACACACACACACACACACACACACACACACACACACCTTCCACAACCCACTGGTGCAATATGATCTACCACCTTTGGGGAATCATTATTTTAAAGTGTAGCATGTTGAAGGGGTAATATTTTAGTTTGCCATGAGCTAGCTCAATTTTATGGGAACATAAATGAAATAATGAATTTATTTGATGGATCTCACAGCAAATGTCAAAATTCAACAACTTACCCAGGAATCTATCTTCCTAAAGAATGGGTTCTAGTGCACTAACGGCGCATGCAGGTAATGTATTTAAAATAATAAAGCAGAATGGGGCCTATTATCACTGAAGGCTCATTCTTTTCCTTGAGTCTCTGTCATGCCATTATTTATTATTTTCCTAGTTCACGTACAGCTGCTCAAATTCACAGGAATAAAAGCCCTGTGCTCAAAGAACTGGTGAGACTGAAAGATATTCCCATGAACGTTCACTGAAAACAGAACAAAGAAATGAACATGATAATGATCAAATTTCAAATCGGATACACTGTTCAAACCACAGGAGCTAGATACACTTCCATGACAACACTAACATGACAACAATAATATTTACTGCATGTAGCTCATGCATTCAGGATTGCTTTCATAAATATCACAGCAACTAGTGAGCAGATTTTATCATCTAGTACTGTGGTAGAGGATGAGGCTATTCAGTTTTCCTGTTTAGTCATGCTCATGCTCTCCATTTTGTATAGTACTGGTAAACTTTTTCAGTTTTTTAATTATTATTTTTAATGGTACAACAGTGCTTTCATAGACTACTGTCATGATTATATAGATATTGTATAGTCTGTTTCCTGCAAAAATGTAACTAAACTGGAATATTTATTATTTAAAAAATAATATTCAAGATTGCAGTTGGAATAATAATAATAATAATAATAATAATAATAATAATAATTTATTTATACCCCATCCATCTGGCTGGGTTTCCCCAGTCACTCTGGGTGGCTTCCAACAAAATATTAAAAATACAATAAAACATCAGACATTAAAAACTTCCCTAAACAGGGCTGCCTTCAGATGTCTTCTAAAAGTTGTTTATTTCCTTGACATCTGATGGGAGGGCATTCCACAGGGTGGGTGCCACTACCAAGAAGGCCCTCTGCCTGGTTCCCTGTAACTTCACTTTTCGCAGTAAGGGAACCGCCAGAAGGCCCTCAGAGCTGGACCTCAGTGTCCGGGCTGATGAAGGTGGAAGGTAAGGAAATGGCCCCGACTATGAAATTTGCCACTTGAAGGAACTGCTTCACAGTGCATCATGGCATGGCTGGCCTTGGAGATAGAACCATCATTGCCCATACACTCTGAAAGCATCCTTAGAGGTTATACAAATATATTCCAATCCCATCCAAAAGCAATCCCTGGAAGTTCAAACGGAATTAGTCTAACACCACTGCTGTTTAACTTTTATTATGTGCAAGTACTTATTGTTAACTTTGAGCTCCACATTTCTTTGTTCCTGCAAATATCGTAAAAATGAAAAGGAACAGTGTTACATAAAAGTACAAATCTGATCATATAAGCATTAACTCGGGGCATTTGGTGCACTGAGGAGAGATCCCAAGTGCTTCCTGGTTTAGTTTTCCAGAAACACAATTAGGCCTTCCAGGCTGGAACTTAAAAGATGTATAAGACCTGTGTGGGGCAAACTAATCATTGCTGGCTTCCCTCTCTCAATCTCTGCTTAGGAGTGGCAGGAGTGCAGTGCATTGTGCGCTTATTAAAGTACAAGGCCTTTGAAAAGATACAGGTCCCTTACCAAAGGCAGCAGCCTGAGAATTCTAGCCACAATACTGGCACACAGGAGAGTTCCCCACACCCAGGGGTGGCATTCAAGGCGGGGCCCCTATGTGGTTTTTATTACTTTGGGTTCCCATTTGACATACTGTGTTGGTTGCTTCATATCACCTGTAGGACCCTAAGCTTCTTTATGAAATAGTATTCTTCCTCTGCCGCTATACACTCTGCCGCAGAATATTTTAGAGATCAGGTCTGCATGAAGCCAATATGCTAATGTCATTTTGTTTCAGCCAACATTACCAGCAACAGAGGGTGAGGCAGCCTTTGCCAGTCTGGTGCAGTCTATGTATTTTGGGCTAAAGTTCCCATCAGCACCAGCCAGCACAGCTGCAGCAGATGGGAGTTGTATACTTAACTATCTGGGATGCACCAGGCTGGCAACGACTGTGCTAACGGCTTCAGGAAATGGGGATAGAGGTTGAAATAGCATAAGAACAAGGCATGGAATTCAGCTTGCACACCAGATCCAAAGACTCTAGTCACTGCAGAGAATACCCATAGATTTGTGCTGTTATAAAGGGTTGCCAAGTCCCAAAGATTTTCTTTGACTCATTCTGATGCTTCCCTTCTTCCCTGGGTATCTGCTATGTGCTCTGCACACCTAACTGGCAACCACAAATAAAGGTTGTCTGTCCAGAACTATCCAATTTTTTTCAAGGTTGGTTTGCTTCTTAGTTTTTGGTTTTTTTGTTCCAAAGCAATTTGAAAGTGACTGTACTAAAAACAGTAAGTTAACTATAGCCCTTAGGTTTACCCTAGCAAACCACAGATATCCCCCCCCCCATGACATTGGAAAAGACATGTCTTAAAGCTGTAACTTCACCATAAATAACAGCTGGAACAAAACCACCCTAAACTGCTATGTATATACTACACACAGGAGCTAAATTCATCTGCAGTAGAGCAGCCAAAATGAATGACAGATTTGATTCATACGCTCAGCGTGAAAGATGCACAATTAGATGTACAATGATGTTTCTAGCCAGGAGTAACGCAAATTCATATGTATCTAGTGATGATGTCAATATATGCTTAGCAGGAGAGCAGGATGAACAACAAACATATGAACGTTCATATACATCCAAGTGGATACTCTACTTGAACTAGATCTTATAAATCATAAAAACAATCTTTAAAATTTGTTTAGGGAGGAAATACAATAGAATCAGGAACCATCAACTCAATATTCATAACATTGTGCATGATTATCTGCATGGGAAATAGTTACAGATGGTTTTGTCTGCATTTGGGGACTGCATAATCTAAGGACGGTAAATCCTTCCCAATTATGGTTTAACTTTGACATATGCCACGTATGTAGCCTGCAAGCATGACTGATCCAGTCAAATTTTAATTACGGTACAACCTCATTTATTCCCCTTCCCTGAGGGACATTCAAGTCATTCAGATAACTAATAGCTCAGGTACGTGGGGCAGCTACTTTTGTAAGGCAACACTGGCATATGGTGCCTAAGGAAAACACAATGGATTTGGGCAAAACTGTTTCTGGTATATTTTGCATGTCAAAATTTACCTTTAATGTCATCACCCCAAATTTCTGTCTATTATTTCCTTAGTGGAAGACCAGTTCTGAAAAATGTCACACTCCCAACAAATCTCAGTTGTACAGCAAAGTTTATCTTATGCATGCTTTTACTTGCAAGTCCCACTAAGTTCAAGTGTGCATGCATGCATCCAGGCCACTTAAAATACTGCATTTGTAGGTGTAAGCTTAAGATATGTTTACACTTAAAAACATAAAGTGCAATTGCAACAGGTATCATACACTAGTCAGGGGGTACGACTGGCTGCGGGTCCCTGATTAATGCACAGTCGGGGGCAAACCCCAAGTTTACGTTCATATGGTTCATATGGTTATGGTTAGAATCAAAGCACGACACAGCTCCAAGGAACTACCCACTTCCTATTAAGGCAGAAAACAACCCTTTTGAGAGGGTGCAGATAACATCTGTAAATAACTACTTACATAAGCAATCTAAAATTCATCTAAAATGGGGGTGCCCTGCTTTGGATACCTCATCTTAGATTGGATACATTTCTGCTAGCAGCAGGGCTGTTTTGCTCTTGACACCTTCATACATAGTGCAAAACTTCCTCCACACATGAACCCTGAACATTTAGTTATTTCCTTGCCTTTGAAAGACAGGTGAAGTTCTTAAATTCTACTAGCACAAAGTAACTAGGAATTTCAAATCTGAAGGCTGGAGATTTTTTTAGTGTTTCTCTTATTCTTTTGCTATAATTGGGTTGTTGGTCCTTAGCATTATTAATGTGTTTTAACATTCTTAATGCCTGATCAATTCTTTGTGCATTTTATACTTTTTGGCTTTCTGCAAGTCAAAAAGAAACAATGACACGCTTTTGGAGCCAGTAAGAGTTTCCATTTTGTTCCATTGGATCAGAATATGTCTCCGATTTCATTTGTGTGTCAAGGCAATTGCGTATTCTAAATAGGGCAACAGTAGACAGAAAACTCAGTGCATCTTCCCAAATGTGAGCAACGAAGAAAGCTAGTTAGCCTTGCTCCGTTACTCATCCTAATTAAAATATGTGTCAAGAGTCTCAATTGACTTTTCTGCTCTTTTCTCTAGATACGTCACACTCGTTCCCACAAGAACAGCACAGAATGTTGATGCTTTTCTATTCTGCTTAATTTCTGAAATAAAGGGCTGGAGGACAAAGGACGAAATAGTAGCTTTTAAACGCACAGCCTTTCACATGGACAGCCTTTCACCCAGATGATACTTTCTCTAATACCAGGTGTATGGAGGTTACTATATTAATGATTGACAAAAGATGCTCTGTTCTTCTGGCGGGGGCTCAAATCCAGGAATTGCCAAATAACACAGATTACCTTAACCCATTTCAATCTGATATTTAACCTGGTTTCGGAACTAAATCTGCCTTGGTTGCCCTGGCTGAGAACCTTTGCGAGAAATAGGTGAATGCATACCTGCTGATTCTCCTAGGGTTGCCATATCCCAAAAGTGAAAATCCAGACAAAGCTGTTGACTTTTGGGGAGGGGATGAAGTTGTTGAGATTTTTTGGGAACATCTCCCCCCCCCCCCAAAAAAAGTCTTTGGGATTTGGGGGGATTTTTAAAGCATTTTATTACAAAAATCACCCTAGTCGCTATATGTTCACCCAGACGCCATTTTGACAGTCTGATTCCCGGACATGTCCAAGAAAACCCAGACGTATGGCAGCCCTAGATTCTCCTAGACATTTTAGCAGCATTTGATACTATCCATCATGGAATCCTTCTAGATTACCAGTCAGGAATGGTAGGAGGAGGCACCATGATCCAATGGTTTTGCTCTTATCTAACAGGTCACTTCTAGAAATTGGGGCAGAAGAGGGGTTTTGTACCATGATATTTATGCTGCAACGTTCAGAGTTCTATTTTGTTTCCATGTTGTTTAACATTCATATGAATCTGCTGATGTGGAGTGAGGTGTCATTAGTATACAAGTGGCACCCAATTCAATTTCTCCTTCTCACCTCATGCATACCAATCTCGATTCAAAAGGCATCGATCCCCCTCATTCCTTTATAGATCTATAAAGCTTTCAAATAGAGAAAGATAAGGAGGTAGGATCCAGTTTGACTTCTGATCACCAGCAATGTTAGACGAGCACAATAAATTCATTAATCTAAAGGTGATGCTGCAAACAGTAATGATTTTAATAAAGCTAAATAAAAATCATGATTGTGGCATAATGATAACTGGAGAAAATGAGAACTGTAAGAGGTCTGCACTCTTGGCTGACAAACCTGCTTTGTTTCTTGTATTCTTTTCTGCTGGTGACCACGATAAATACTCTTTCCTGAGTGCCAATTAATTCAAGTCACAAACATCTGCCCTGGATTCTTGTAGGTAATTAGAATTGCAGGTTATCAACAGGAAGCTGGTACCCACTGGCACTTCATATAATTGTCTTTCAATATTAGCACATCTCTGTCTCCCACTAAAGGTCACTGTGCATTCAATCAAGCTACCTCCATTCTCCTGTTTCATTTGCTAAAGCAGCGGCAAAAGTCACTACCATTGTCACAGATATTCCAAAGAGTCAGTGGGAAAAAGCTATGGGCATTGTAAGTCAGACACATGAGCAATGTACGCTTTACAGCAAGTTGCTGTACTAGTTTTCTGAAATGGCTCACTAGTTAATGAGAAAAACACTGAAGCCTAGTTAAATGCCCATACACTTGAATTTAATTGGGGGAAAACCATATGGAGAAAATATATAATTATGATGGAGCAAAGCTATTGGTCATGCTCACCAGCATGTGGAATATTGGTAAAGCTGTTATTTCCCAGTGGACAAATTCTAAACATTCTTTTGCCTACTCTGTAAAGAGTAACTGCTTACCGTTACACTGAAGTTCATTTTTAAAACCGAACTAGAAACTGTTTGCATAAGAGCTTCAAAATTACGTTTCCTCCATCCGACGTTTTAAAGAAAAAAAATTAAAAATTATCTACACAAAATACCAATATTCTTTATAATAAAGCATAACCACATGAATGTTTAGTATTCAAATGAATGTTTAGTATTCATATACCATATCAAAGTGTTCTATGTGCTGAACATACATTTACTTACTCATTTAAAAATAATAAGATGTATACCCCATCTTTCTAAGCAAATACCAGCTCAATGTAGGTTACAAGAATTTCCGAATAAAAACCACCAATTTTTATAAAAAAAAAACAAATTAAAAACCACAAAACAAATTAAAAAGCAAGAAACAATGAGAGTAAAGTGCAGAAAAACAAAACCCACACTGTATAAAAATGCAGTATAACATGCTCTAAAGCAAGCAATGAAGAGCTAGGTGCGCCTTTCTGGGTGTGGCATCTCCTTCCAACTCTATGGAGTACACTAGTATTATCCCCATAATACAGATGGGGCAAGGCTCAGAGAGGTGCAAGCCCAGTGTCACCACCTGCTACCTCCAGGCACATGTTGCAGCCCCAGTGCCCAACAAGTGCCTTAGGCAGTTATGAACCACAAATTTAAATATTCCACAATACTCCAGAGCTTGAAGTCATCCACCATTGCCATGAAGGAAAGCTATGGGAGAAGGGCACCAAAAAGTTACTGAGAACCCCCTAAGACCTGAGAGAGTGCCTTATCTAAAACCACCTAGTGAGTTCTTTATAGAGGCAACATTTAAACCAGGGACTTGGGGCTTATACCTCACACTCTCGGGACCAATTGCATTTAACATTAATTGAATTCATGCCATTAACATGCACAGGTTTTGTTGTGAAAATAGCAGTACAGTGGTACCTCGGTTTACTTACGCTTCAGGTTACATAAGCTTCAGGTTACAGACTCCACTAACCCAGAAATAGTGCTTCAGGTTAAGAACAGTTTCAGGTTAAGTACGGACTTCCGGAACGAATTAAGTACTTAACCCGAGGTACCACTGTGATGGAGAAGCCAAGCAGCAGTGGCCTGAAGAGGGTGGGAGAGTTTGCCCCTTTCCCCCCCCACTTATATGATGCTGACTAAAAATCTCCCCCATGCCATGGTTGTTTGCATAAGGAGAGAAGCCTTCATTGGTGCCAATAGATGCAAACAATTGTTGGGAGAAGGGGAGGCTTCTGATGCATACAGCAACTATGGATGCCATTTTCACTAAGATCGTGTCAGGAGAAAAAGGGTTAAACTTAATCTCCTTGTTACCTGGTTCCCAATGCTACTATCTGCATAATGAAAAAGTTAATCACCTTCACCCAATTTAATGGTATGTCTTGCTTAGCTCTTAGCCACTTCACATACAACACCACCAGCTCTCATCTGCAACTTAACATCTGTCCTTTGCAAAGCCTTAGACTTAGAATGCCCAGTCTTCAAAAACGGTGTTGCACTTCAAGGCAAGAGATTCCTACCAAAAAGGGATACAGGAATTACTGCTGTATCAGGTCAAAGCAGAATTACTGCTATATCAGGTCAAAAAGTCAGCTGTGGGGCAGGACAGACTCTGAGCTTTCACTTTAACAACAACCACAACCACCACAACATCTGTAGCCATTGTAGAACAATAATTAAGAAGCAAAATGTGCAGGCACCATTATAACCCACTGCATTGTGAAAAATGAATCTGCTTCTACCTTTCGGTGTTTTAGCCAATGAGTGAAGTCAGAACAGTGATTGATTAGAAGCACACACCCTAAGAAAAACTGCTTTGATTTTTCTGTACAATCAAGCAGTGAATAAATTTTATGATAAATTTAAAATAAAAGCTTTACTATGAACCAGGAAATCTGCAGACAATAGAAAAGAAACACAGGTGAAAAATTACAAATTAACAGCTATGCTACCAACAGCATTCATAGACATCAGTTGTCTCATGGCAACAGCCTCCTCCCCTCACCCACCCCGCTAACTGACTACGAAAAATCCAACCACTTTTTAAAAAAAACCTATATGGAGCTCCTGGAAGGAGGGGGGGAATCACCACCTACTGAATGAGAGATACTGTGAGCAACATTTGCTTTCAAGAAAAAAAATCAATATTAACTTCATAGAGTTCAAAACTTTTAACCCCTCTCAGGTGCAGTCTTATAATCAATGGACTATTTGGGCCGCAGTGACCTTCACTAGGAACATGCTCAGTAGTCAGCACACTGTGCAAACTATCTATTACCTTGCTGCTAATTAAAGCTTATGCCTTGTAATGTCACTGGATTTTCCCTCTGGCTGAGCAATATAGTACACAGTCCCCCTTTGGCAAAACGTTGTCTTGTTAGATGTTAGGTCAGGAGTCCAGGGCAGAATGTACACACTTGAACAAAGAGCAGATTTAAATTGTTACTAGAATTCAAAAGACACAAACTGTAGCCATAGATTCATAGGTTAATGCCCTCAATAGGAAATGGCAACTGTTTTGCCAGCTAACGAGAGACCTTTGTTTTATTTTGCAGTTTATACTATCATTCAAACTTATTGCCACTATTATGCTTTTAATGGCATCCTCCCATTTGCCACCAATAGGATTCTCTCCCAAGATATAGTAAGTCTTTACCACCTTCGGACTATCTGTCAGCTCAGCCTTGGGTCAACGTCCATTGGCCAGGTTCAGTGCCAAAGGGTTATCTTCCTTCATTTTGTACTGCACTCAATTCTGGCTGGAGCTCCCACTCAGAAACTCTCAGACCTCAATTTCGAGGTCTGGGTAGCAGACTGACACACACTGCTGTTATGGCTAATCAACATTATTTATTCAAGTCAATAAACAGCAGCAGCATCAACAACAGGAGACTGATAACTAGGACAAAACCATAAAGCTGAAGAAAACTCACCTCGTTCCATTGTCCAAGTGTGCCAATGAAACTTTATGACCTCTGGCCTTACAGTTGATTCAAGAACACAGCTAGTGAAGCAAGGCCCCTTGCATGTTCCCTGAAAATGCAAAAACTTGAGTGTTGCAATATAAGTTCTCCAACAGGTGACAGCAATGAGTTTGAGTGTGCTGCAAATACTTCATCCAATCAAAGGCAGGTGGCTACAGAGAGCCTCCTGCAGCTCCTTATGTTCTTTGCCACTTCAGCCTTTAGGAAGTGCAAGCAACACCCCAGATACTAGGGTGGATTACAAACCTCTCCATCCGGTAGTGATTTCGGTCAAAAAGGATGAGTCCATTTACTAGTGACTTCAGCCAATAGAAACTGCAGCATAAGCTCTATGTGGGTTAACAAATCCCTGCTTTTAGCATCCACCATAGCAATAGCTCAGCTCTTACACACCTGGTTATAACAAGGTCTAACAACAATCAACTAGCTCTTCAGCTTTTACTCTACCATGGAAAAGAGTAGTTCCCAACAGAGGTGGTTTTAGGGTAGCACGAATGGTTCGGCTGCACTGGACACCAGCACTGCAGGGGGTGCTGCAGCAATGATGTAGAACGGAGCATGAGAGGTGAGGGGGGCATGAATTTAAGCATCACACAGGGTGCTGCTGAAATTTGAGAGCCTAAAGTCCACCACTGTTCCCAATTTTAATTTACTTCTGTCCTCTCAGAGATACTTCCCTGACCACAGCTATACACCTGTATTCCTAGTGACATTGTGTTCAAGGTGAACCGGTCTGACACTTCTTACTTTGTGAGGGTGGTTGTGGAGGAGCCCCCTACCAGCACTGGTTGGTTAACATATACATACTGCAGCACCACTCAGCATCCAAGTCAGGTTGCCATATGTCCTCTTTTTCCAGGACACATCCTCTTTTTCATGGGTAGAGTCGTCATAGCGATCCATAGTTAAAAGTAGAAGTTGGCAAATGTGTCCTCTTTTTTGCTCTTCAAAATATGGCAACCCTTTCAACGATGCCTCTGGGATTCCTTACAACAAGCATGCACTACCAGGCTTCACCACTGGGCAGCTGCACATATGCTACCTGCTCCTTCAGGCCAGAGGAAAGTTGCCTGGTGCTTCCTGGAGGAAGAGTGTTTCGTTATTCAGTGCTCCCCCATGAAACAAAGCAAAACAAGACACTCCCTAAGATACTAAATCTCCCCGGTCTTGGCCGGGGAGGGCGGGGTATAAATAAAATTATTATTATTATTATTATTATTATTATTATGGTTCTAGCCTAGCCCTTTATGCAACATACTATTGTGTAGCCATTGTTTATAATACATAGAGTGGTAATGTGTCTTATTGTGACCTAGTCCAAGTCTGACATGTCCTGGATGTATGCCAACGTGATGGAAAAAGCACAACAATTTGGGTTTGTTCCCAAAAAAAAAGCTCAACATTTTGGGGGTCTCCTCAACAACTTCGCAGGTGTCAGTAATTTTACTTTATGAAATGTGGCAACCCAAGTTTAAATAAAAAGGGGAAGCAGGGGCTTGAAATTGCCCATGAACTCTTAGTGCCTGGATGAAAACTGAGCAAGTACACAGGTTCTGGTATTCCCCATTATGGTGAGATGTATTTTATTTCTTCTTAAATTATAGAAAGTGTAAAATTGCATCTATACATATAAATTAGCAATATGCAAGCTTTATATAAACCCATGTCTTTTTTGTCCTCTTTTTTGCATTTCCTGTATTCTGAGGTGCAAGTAACCACCCTATACCAATACCACCTGCAGTCTGAAACATGAATATTTTCCCCATGTCATCTCATCTCCTGATTGCATAGACCAGGCCACACCCTTTCCTGTTGCTATCCTCTTTAAAACACCTATACCTAACATTGTTATTGCATCACAGAGTCACATAATTTCTGCAGGCATTGCAAAAGGACACAGTTCTGTATTTCTTGTGATCATATTATGAAAAATATATGTGGACTCATATCACAAACGAAGGGCAAATTTTGGGAAATGAAAAGCTGTGTGTGGAACTCAAGGCAGTCAGGAAAGAAAAGCTGGCAATAGGCCTGGCTCTCGCATCAAAGCAGTTGTGTCATCAATGTCACAGAAAGGCAGGGGAAACATTGGCACATGAATTACCTGGCACAGCCATATGTGATTTCTAATGTTTGCAGAAAGCTTTTGCTTTTGAGTGTGTGGAACCACCACCACTATAAAGAAAAGTAAGAACACTACTAGTGGACAGGGCTAAGTAGAGCGACCATTTGAAGTCAACCAGATCCAGTGTGATGAATTTGACTTGTATCTCTTGCTTTGGAAAGCAGTTCAATCTGTTTCAGAGTCACTCTGCATCTTTCCAATTTGACACATTATTTGGGACTGACTTAGATCTGTTAAAAGTGAAGCTCTGTCTTTCGCCCTTTCACTTCAATAGGGAATGCAATAACGGCAATAACTTTTTGCCTTTTCAAAGCGGATGAAATCTGGAGGCATAGCAGCCCCCAAAGAGTGAATTACGGTAAGTCTGCCAAATTGTAGGCAGAGATGTACTAGGTTTCCATGCAGGACACATTTAGAGTGTAGTTTAAAATAAAATAAAATAAAGATAAATGAAAAGTTGATAGCTTTTCTATTTTTTGCCAGAATTTGATGCAGTGGTTATCCCACAAGGCAGCTTTTACCATTTTGGGGTTGGTATAATGGGAATCAAAGTGGGTAGCAAAGACCAGGGATTCCCATCAAAGATTGGGATGGGGAAACTATCACTCCCCCAAAAATACCCTATTAGCCCAAGAGTCGGGGGGGTGTTCTGCTCCTCCCCATGGATATTTTAGGATATAATTGTGATCTATTGTATTGCACAGAAGAAAGGAGTGGTGGAAAAATAACACCTGCCCTCAACCCTCAAGTGTCATGCTATCCCAATGGTCACTAGTAGTGGGTGGACTTTGGCACCCAACCCACTGATTTTTGGGGGTGAATTATAGATCTCCCCACTGTCTAGTATAGGGAATCTCAGTTTTTAATCCCTCCACAAAACACTGTGAGTGGAGTGCCATGGGAAAATAATTCAATGTGATTAAAATCTAGATCTTTCCACCAAAACAATAGATCTCCTCCCCCACCCCTTCTCCTCTGAAGTTCTGGGTGTTTCCCAAAGCAGCTTGGTTGAGTTTCTCGGGGGAAAAGAAAAGGCATTGAGGTTTCTGGACAGCTTGGACAAAAAATTATCCTAGTTTTGCATATTGCCTTTCAGAACGACACATAGTATTTCAGTGTCTCCTTTTTGCTCTGTCACCATTTTGCACCTGGCATATAGCCCTTCGGTTTTGCATTTATATTCTTCACGTGAAGATTTTCATCTTCTTCTTCTCCCTCTCATATCAACATAGTCATGGAGGGCAGGAGAAGAGAGAATCCGACATAGGTCTGTGCTTTCCAAATTGTGAAAAGCAAAAAAGGACTTCAATTTTCTTATTTGGTTTCCTTCTGCCTCCCAAAATTGGTTCAAATGCATGTATCTAAAACAGTTGCCATGGAAACCAATGGACAAGACTTTGATTGTCTGGGGTGGCATTTCATGCATTGCACCATGTCAAGAAGGAGAAAAACATTATCATTTGAGAGATGAAAGTGATTGGATGGGTAAAGAGGGAGAACACTTATGTCTTGCAGTAAAGCAGCCTGATGTGAAACCGTCATTTTACTCAAATCAGGGTATGCCACAGATTTTCATGCTGCTTACAAAATGACCATTCTGTGTCACCAGATGTAGAGAGGCAAAATAATAATCATGTTAACCCTCACTTGATCACAATGACCTGGATTCCTGGCACTTGGAGGAGTGGTTCGAACCAAGTATTTATGTGGTTGGTGGCATAAACAGTAGGGCGGTTCATTAAAAACTTTTTTTTTGAAAATGCCTGCTCCAAAGGTCTTATCTTACTACACTAGGGATTATATAGCTATATGTGAAATTTCATGCATATCAGTTAATATTTTGACCCTGCTCCACTAAACTGAAATTTCAGCCTTTACGACATAGGAAAACGGCCAAGTAAACAGCTATTTTCGTGGAGGAGGGTCAAGATATTAACTGAAAGGCATGAAATTTCAGATATAGCTTTATAATCCCTAGTGTAGTAAGATAAGACCTTTGGAGCAGGCATTTTCTAAAAAAAGTTTTTTATGAACCGCCCTAATAAACAGCGGCTTGTGTCACCATGGGGAAAGTAGAATTCAATGCATGGCATCTGTGAATTCAATACTCCTTTTTATCTTAAAGCTGTGAAATGGTTGCACCACACTTCCCCTGTTCCTATCCACAGCTCCTCTACTACAGAGCCAGTGTAGCCTAGCTTTTCTGCCTTCTACCAATGCTGAGCACATTTATGCCAGAACAGGGGGGAGGCACCAACATACTTGCCAAATACTGTCCTTACATTGGGGCTGGAATTAGGCCTCCAAATGACAAAAAAACCCAAACTTCTTTTGTGTCCAAGATCCATAAGTTGAGTCACAATAAATAATCATCTATTTTTAAATAAAATTGTGTGTGCAAGCACATGCAATACAAATTGCTAAGAGTCTGCTAATGACATTGGAAAGGCAGTGGTTAAGCTCAGTTGTATTTTAATAATAAGCACAGCTGTGTTAATTTCAAGCTCTGTTGGAAACACAAGAAAATCAATGTCTGACAGATAGTAAGGGGCATAGATAGGTCAGGAAAGATCCTTGCTTCTGGGAAGATTCTAGCAACAATGTGGAGCTAAAAATACAGTATGATAATCAAAAGAAGCTATTTTGGATTGTTTTCTTCCCTCAAACTACTTTAAAAGAGGACACTGCAGATGTCACGACGCACTCACAGAAAGAGAGGTGAATAAATAAAATAGGTGCTAGCAATGTGCAAGACCTTGTAAAATGGGTTTAATAGTTGGCTATCTCATATAGCTATCGTGAAAGTGAATACAATAAAGCACTTTGCTAATGGAAATCATAATGTTGCTCTAAACTTGGAGGGTGTTTTCCATTCACATCTACTCTTCTACCCTATGGAAGGAATACAGGAAGAGGACAAAGGAGAGATTTAACTTCCAAGAACAAAAACCTGTTTCCACAAAGAAACTACATGATGGTGTGTCAAGGCCTAGATAAACTTTATATGACAAACCATCATTTGCATCAGTACATACTTTGCATCAAAATGCTTCACATACGCTTTCTTAGTAAAATGTACAACAGCTCTGAAATGTGGGGTCAGTACCACAGATGAGAAGCTGAGAATGAGAAACGGCTGAACAAATGAAAACATTTTGCTCTTAGCCAGAGTAGCACTGCTTCTTTAAAACTTTCAAACATTCCTACTCACTCCAGAGAAGATTTAAACCTCTTCTTTCCCTTTTTGCAGAAGTCTAGCAGCAAGTTCTCTCTGCGAAAGCCAAAGGGAATAGGTTTGCTGTATTTGACAGGCATTACAATGTACAGGCCAAGCTCGGCATATTCCTAAAGGGGGGGCTGTTGCATATTGCCATGCTATCAACCAAAGATGAGGGAAGGGAATACAATTCAGTTCAGATTTTTATGCAACTCTACATAATTTGCATTTCCTGAAACAATGCAGGAACTGAAATCCAGCTATCCTTTGAAATCTGCATTCTCCACACTCAGTAATACAGCTCTCCAATCAAATGTGTACAAAAATCTCTATATTCAGAGTAATAAAAATATATAAAGTGAAAACAGCATACAAAAATCCATGTTTACCTAGTCTTTCCCTGCATGTGGCCAATTCCAGAAAGTGTTGACGGAGGGAAAGCAATGCAAGTAATGATAAAATGGAAGTTGCCTCAATTTCATAGACCTCCTAAGGATGAATGTGGGATCCTAGGAAAAGGCAGAAGTGATCCCTTTTGTTTCATAAAATTTGCAGTCATGATAGGACTTTATCAACACATTGGAAATTTAATTCAAAGTTCACTGTAGCAGAAAAGAAGAACTGCAAGTCTTTTGAAAAGACAGGTTGAAACATCTATACTTGGTGCTTTATCACACCTGTTGCACATTCAAAAATGTGCCTGCTTATGTAACATTAAGTGGAATTCCCTATAAACCTTGATTTGCTTAATACTACAACTGTGCACAATATGGCACAGAAGAATGGGGGGGGGATCAAGCTTGAAGAAATGTCCAAGTTAACTTTCAGATCTGACAGGTACACAAGTAGTTACTGCATTCCTGTAGTGTACATTTTAATGCACTCTGAGGCAGCAATTATTTATTTCGAAATGTAAGTTTACTTTGGTATTGCAGCATCCATGTTCAGCATTTTAGACCAAGGCTAACTAGAGACAGAAGAATGCAGACATAGGCAAAACTAATGCAATGAATGATGGGCAGCTAATTTACACCAATATAGATAAAAATGAAAGCTACACCAACTACCAGTGTTTGAAACTCATACTGTGAAGGCTTGTGGGCGCATAGCCTTTTAAATCCTGCTTCCATACCAAGAAGCATCTGCTATATGTGCTTTAATGCAGCTGCCAGCCCCTCTCTAATGAAGGGGAAATAGTAATTTTCTTATTCTCCCCCTGTCAGTCCCTGTTGCTGTGCCAGGTGGCTGTGCAGCCATTGTCAGCTTGAGTCTTTAGTTCTTATGGCTTCTATCTCCAACTAGTCTTAGACTGGTAGACGTGACTGCACACATTGTGAATTGAAGTACTGATGTTAGCAAGAGACACTGAGTTCAGAACACTGGCTTTACACTTATGCTGCAAAGAATGATATATATAAAGTCTTATGGTATAGAGTTCCATCTAATTCTGCCCAATATAGCAAACTCCTAGTCAGGGTGGTCCAACCTTCAGCCCACAGTGCTTTTCCTGCGGCCCTTAGAAACATTCAACAACAAAAATCTTAAAGTCTTAAAAATCTAAGCCTGCTTATTGGTAACATTTTACATAAAATTTTATTAGAAGTTTTGATCTTGCTTCATACGTACACGCTCATTTATGGGGGAAAATACCAACCACAACAATTAGAAAATATATATAACTATGATCACCTTTAGGATATGGAAGTTTAATTCAGTGAATGGCCTACAGGTTCTGTGTCAAAGTACTCTTGTTGCCCACTTGGTATGAAAGGTTGGACCGCCCTGTCCTAAGTGTTTATCTGTCCTTCATCCTTATCTGTCCTTGGAAGTTAATCTTCAAAGCTTTGTGTAACAATGGTTTGTAATACATTGGTACCTCGGGCTAAGAACTTCATTCGTTCTGGAGGTCTGTTCTTAACCTGAAACTGAGGTACCTTAACCTGAAGCACCACTTTAGCTAATGGAGCCTCCTGCTGCTGCCATGCCGCCGGAGCACAATTTCTGTTCTCATCCTGAAGCAAAGTTCTTAACCCGAGGTACTATTTCTGGGTTAGCGGAGTCTGTAACCTGAAGCGTCTGTAACCCGAGGTACCACTGTATAGTCCTATGCTCATATTAGATACACAACCTATTGTAGATGAGTTTGGGTTGCTCTCCCCCTGAAAGAGGTGGTATGTATGTCTGGGGATTCTCTCGGATCCAACACTGTCTCTTGAGGGTGTAATTGGCCTCATTGCCAAGGAGCACTTTCCCCCAGCTACAGCTGGTCCATTAGCTGTGATCATTCCTGGTTGTATTACTGTAATGCACTCCATGTGGGCCTGCCCTTGTAGATAGACTAGTACAAAGTGCACCTGTTAGGCTATAGAGTGGTGCAGCCTACTGGGATCATGTAACACCAATTCTGAAAGAGCTGCACTGGCTGCCAATATGCTAATGTAAGAACTGCTGGTAATGGCCTACAAAGCCCTGTACAACTTAGGACCTATGCACCTTAAGGAGTGCATTTCCTCGTATCTACCCACCAATGTGTTGAGAAAGTTGGAGAAGACCTTTTTGGTTTTGCCACAACCAGCTGAAATTCATTATGTAGTTACCCTCACTTCTGAGTTAGGCCTAGTGCCAAATCTTTGTTGCCAGCTGAAGACCTACTTATTCCTTTGTCAGGTTATTAATGCCTTGTGTGGTTTATTTTTTTCTGTTGTTATATGTATTGGCTTCTGTTCTGATTATCCGTTCTTTTATTATTTATTTATTTATTTATTTGCTACATTTATTTATTTATTTGCTACATTTATTTATTTATTTGCTACATTTGTGTCCCGCTCCAAGAGTAGTTCACATACAACCAATTTAAAACAAGGTGGCTCCCTGTCCACAAGCTTAGAAACTAAACATGGCATAAAGAGAGAAAGGGAACAGGAAGAAAAGAGGGGAGTGTGGAGACAACTAAGGAACCAGTTCTTAAAGTTAAATATTGATCAGCTGGAAAGAGTTCAGGGGCAGGAGCTGTCTGACAGTGTTGGCCTTTCAGCAGAGCTGATGAAATAAGCCCTATTTCTCACCTCTCCTGCTGAGGCGGTCATATTATTGCTCATATACAGCTCCTCTTCATGTATCATCTTTTAGGATAACTGTTAGCAGTTTGCTGTGTGATAGGAGGTGAGCTAAAATTAGTTGCAGCCAGGCTAAAGTTCAATACGGATAAGTGCATCCTATCTCTAGGTAATCATGATAACAAGACATCAGCTCCCCTGTGGGAAATGTTAACTTAATTCTTTTAATCCCAATTAGCATGTCTACTCTCAAACCTGTCTCTCAAACCTCCAACTTATTCATTTTTAAAGGATAACCTGTGGCACTCTGGCTCCCAGCTGAAGGCTGCATTCATCCTAACAGTTCACTTGCTTTTTACATGGAATTTCCTGTTGTAAATTATTGTCACAGTAGCATATACATTCATACTTTTTTGGATAAATTGAGTTTATTTAATGACCCGATTTACTTAAACTGCTTACGTAAGCCTAGGCATTAAATTGCCTTTGTTTTTCAGGGAATTCAGATTTACTGTAGCCAAATTGTTTTTATGTATATAGGATCAATGGCCTCTGCTTAACCCACACTGGCTACAACATGGCTGATGGGACTAGCTTCAGATCAAAGTGTGCAGCGCAGTCTATAATAAGCTCCTTGGCAGATCAATTAAAGACTAAAATACTGTTACACTCCACTCCAATATCCAAGCGGTGCAAGATTCCAAGGTACAAGGCACACTTAGCCAGGGTCTGTGTTTCCTTCTGGACACCAAGCACAGCAAAGACGGGTGTCTTTATGGTATACGGTTAATTTACACATATATACAACCTGAGCCTGTTGTGGGGAGGTTCCCAGAATTACAGGTCTCTTCTCTCATAGGTGAATGGCTGCCACACTGTATCCAAAAACTGCCAACACACATACCTACTTTGCCTGTTTTTTCTTCTGCCTACCTCATCGCCTACTGCAATTCTGCCACTCTCTCCTGCCACTCTGATAATTGTTTCACATCTCAAGGAAGGGCTTTCCCCAATTGCTGTCCAGCCCAGAGAGTCTCTGTTGTTGTTGGCATCCGTCTGTCTTGAGAGACAATGGCGTGCACCTCCCAGGTGAAGTCAAACAGCTGCATTAGCAGCACAGAAGTGACCTCCTAAGGGCACAAAGCTGGACAGTCCAGGCATCAAGATGATGATGATGATGATGATGATGATGATGATGATGATTTATTGTTCATACCCTGCCCATCTGGCTGTGTTTCCCCAGCCACTCTGGGCAGCTTCCAACAAAAGATTAAAATACATTAAAACATCAGTTATTAAAAACTTCCCTAAACAGGGCTGCCCTCAGATGTCTTCTAAACGTCAGATAGTTGTTTATTTCCTTGACATCTGATGAGAGGGCGTTCCACAGGGAGGGCGCCACTACCGAGAAGGCCCTCTGCCTGGTTCCCTGTAACTTTGCTTCTCGCAGTGAGGGAACCGCCAGAAGCCAGTCTGGCATATTTTTTAGCATGGCTTATATTTTAACATTATAAATTCAATGTCTGACACCCAGGAATTTAAGGGGGATCCAGAATTAGAACAGGAGTCCAGCCACCTCAGAAACTTATAACAATATGATTGACTGATTAAACTCCAGTTATTGAGAGATTCCAATGAGTTTAATGGGACTTACTCCCTAAAAGGGTCATGTAGGCTTGCCATCTCAAGCACACTTTAACATTTGTTGAATCTGAAAGACTTGCTTTTGGCTGGAATTGTGCCCATTCACAGGAAACCACAAAGGTAAATACAGTGTTAAAAACTAAGGGAAAATGTCAGTTACAGCTAGTGCTTTGCCCAAAAATCTTTTTTTACAATTCTCCATCAAATAATGATGAAAGTGCATTAGAAAAGAATTAAAGGCGAGATTAATTTTCGTTGATATTCCTTCCCATGGGTGAGGGGAAGGGTCTTTGGGATGCTTATCTTGCTTTTAAGCTGGCTTTTATATTTTGTCTCAGTCTTGGGTGGTTAGGAATTATTCTACTTTAAAAAAAATGAACTTGATTTCAGACCCAGCATTCCAACCACCCTAACATCTCCACTACTGCCACTAAGTCATTTGAATTGTGTGGCCTTCAAAGATGTTAGGCATTTCTCTACCAGTTACCTTTCCAAGTTACCATCAGCAAGTGAATTGAAGAGGTTTTTATCTTTGGAGCAAAAAGTTCTTACACTCATAGCTCAGAGTTGAGACTAATTGGATCATCTAACTGGTCTGTGCTCTTTAATGAAACTACAGTATAATTACAGAATAGGGTAAAGCCATCAAATAAACTAATTAGGGGATCCATGAGCCAAGCAGCCCAAATAGATGGAGCTGACGAAGCAAATTCCTGTTTGCAAAATCAAACCAAGAAGTAGCAATTACTCATCCTGTTTTTCCTCAGCTGTGCAAAGGGCACTTTGAGTTAAAGATAGATAAATTCATTACTCCTATTAGTAAAATGAGAAAGAAAGCCAATACCATTGAAGAGAATTTGTTTGGGGCTTAGCCATATAGGAAGCTTTCATTATAATCACTATCAGTGAAAGGCTCCCAGCTGCTTCAACATCAAACCAGTTGAAATAGAGAGCGGCCAGCTTTCTCAAGCCAAAAACCGGGTCCAGATCCCAGTTGCATTGTTGGGTTCCAAGTGAGAACAATTTCAAACAACATTAATTTCCTACATGGCAAACACCTGTGTATAGAAAAAGGAATGGTCACATTCAATGTTCCCACATGTCTATTGTTCTGTCTGTACACACAGTGAAATGGATGCATGTCTGATCCATAAATAACAATGAATATGTGTTACTCCTGCACAGAAGTGCTATTCATATAAAATAAACTTATAAAAATGTTTGCATGTACCTCAGATATCTCAAAGGCCTTACAGTGTTCTCTGTTTTGCCGAGATTGCCACTTGCTCATAAGACTGTGTCCAAGAATGAAGCCTAATTATCAGAATCCACAGAAAGGTGAAGGGCGAGAATACAGTACATAAAATAATGTAACACAGTGTTGTTTAATTCAACACAAACAGGAAAAATACATGAACTATACTTTTTTCCAGATGTTCAAGTTTCAGAAACAATAATGGTGCAGTTGTTACTTATTTGTTATGCAGAGTGTAGAAACCTTCCCGCCCCCTCCAGCCTGCTAATCCAGGGAACGGGTGATGCTGTGGTCTAAACCACTGAGCCTCTTGGGCTTGCTGATCAGAAGGTTGGTAGTTTGAATCTACACGAACTGGGTGAGCTCCCATTGCTCTGCCCCAGCTTCTGCCAACCTAGCAGTTCGAAAGCACACCAGTGCAAGTAGATAAATAGGTACCACTGCAGCGGGAAGGTAAATGTTTCTGTGCGCTCTGGCTTCCGTTATGACATTTTGTTGCACCAGAAGTAGTTTAGTCATGCTGGCCACATGACCCGGAAAGCTGTCTGTGGACAAACGCCAGGTCCCTCGGCCTGAAGCGAGATGAGCGCTGTACTCCATAGTCGCCTTTGAATGTACTTAACCGTCTAGAGGTCCTTTACCTTCACCTTGACTCCTCTAGTAGAGTCATTGCATTTTTTCACACTGGTTGCCTTATATGGTGTACCTTGAGGAAATGCACTTTTCCTCCAAGCTGTGAAATCCATGCTCTATGAAATGAGATTGTTTAAGTTAACACAGGCAAATATTTGCCATTGGCTCCTTGTATCACCCCACCTGAATCATTTCAAGAGCAACCTTCTGTATGTGAGCTTGAAAGGCAAGTTATGATTGTCATACAAGCTAAAAAAAAAAGGTAAAGTTAAGTCCAGTCGCAAACGACTCTGGGTTTGCGGTGCTCATCTCACTTTACTGGCTGAGGGAACTGGCATTTGTCCACAGACAGTTTTTCTGGGTCATGTGGCCAGCATGACTAAGCCGCTTCTGGCGAAACCAGAGCAGCGCACGGAAACGCCGTTTACCTTCCCGCCAGAGCGGTACCTATTTATCTACTTGCACTCTGATGTGCTTTCAAACTGCTAGGTTGGCAGGAGCAGGGACCGAGCAACAGGAGCTCACCCCATCGTGGATATTCGAACCGCCGACCATCTGACTGCTAGGTACACCTACACAATTAAAGATGCAGGAGCCCTACCCTGTTTTTCATCTGGCCACTACGAAGTAAGTCGTACTGTGTTCAATGGCACTTACTGCCAAAGAAAGTGTTCAACAGAGTGCTTTATGTTCCTCAGGTTGGAATGCAACATAGCACCAAGCAGGGCATGTGTGCTCAGAACAAGGTCTGCTCATGCAACAAGACTTTTCACTTCTCCCCCCCACCCCCACCCCGCACACATACACCCTAAAACCTGTTATGGAGGTTCCCCCGACCCTTCAGAGCAGATTTAGAAAGTGGGGTGGGGGGAGTTCTTTTGTACGAGTGGATTTCATTCAATGCATACAAAAACTTAGTTGAACCCTGCCCTAAGTGACTGTCCATTTCCCTCCGTGGTCGATGTCCACTATCCTAGAGTGCTATCATAGAAATGGGTCATTTAGCCAGCATTGTTTCTTTGTTTTTTTATAATGTTCAAAAAGCTAGAAGCTTTCTCACTCCACCAAATTAGTCCACCATTTCAGCAAACTTTGGTGTACTTGCAAAATTCATTGTTATGTGGTAGTTCCTGCTATACAAAGCTAACTTCAGAGTGATGGCCTCTGCAACTCAACACAAGTGCAAAAAGAAGCTGTCCAGAGTGTTATAATTTAAGAGGCAAAATATTATAGTGATAGTGTTTTTATATTGTAAACTGCCCTGTGATCCCCAGATGAATGGCAGTATAGAAATTTAATAACTAATTATTATTTTTATTGCTAGGTGATGGATAATTAACTGGAAGATTAATACGAACTTTCGATGATCATGCAGTTTTCATCTCAGATCCAGGAGTTCCCACCTTCCCTCTGTGTGTGATTTACACAGATTACCAACACTTCTGGCTCCTCTATAAACCCAAACATTAAAAATTACACTATCAGTTTTGTCACGAAAGAAGGCCTGCCCTATGGTATTGGCTTTCATGACTTGGCAAGGACACAACTTTGTTTTGATCTATTTATTGGTTGCATTTAGGCAGTATCCAAAGGGTAGCCTTTGTTTTCTGCTACCCTCCAGGCACTTACATTTGAAGTTTCTTTCATCAGTGATCCAAACTTTGTGCAGCAATACTTTTTTGCCTCCCAGTCATAAAATGCCTTTCAGAAGAAGGCAGCAGCTCCTAATGGATTTTCACACTGACTTCAGTATCTACAATGGCCACAATCCAATGCAACCTGTTGATTTCAAAGGGCTTAAGCATGCCTAACCCAGCACTGGATTGAAGCCAATACTCCTTTGGCAGATGTTATGGCATAACTATTATCCATTCTAACTCTTCATTTCTGGACAAGAAGCAAAATCCTACATGCAGATTCTCTTCACCTAAAACTTGCAATCATTTGTAATACTAGAAAAGAGCTCCTGTAACAATGTAGCCATTGTAGCAATTTATAATCGTTAGATAATAAATGTCATCACGTGCCGAGACGCTGCAAATTCCTGTCCCCACTGCCTATCAATTAGACTTTTGCTGCAAGGCTTTGTTAATCATGAGTACTGGCTCCCTTCTCCTACACTATCAGAAATGTTGGATGGGTTTTTTTTGGCTAAGGACATAAAAACGTACAAGGACTGATGGGTGCCTAAGGACCTTCTGTTGATTTGCTTCTGTCATATACCCTATGCCTAATTTTTATGTAACTTATCTCATTATATCAGATGGCTCTGTAATCATGTTTAATTTTGGTTTACCCATGGTAGTTCAGTCTGGCTCCAGGCTTTTAATTACATTTTACCCTCTAAAGCCATTGATTCAGTCTAGACTTCAAAATATAATTTTCCTCAGCCCAATTCTTTTTGCTCAACATAACCTTTGATTTAGAAATCTGCACAGCAGAATTTTGCATGGCACTTTCAAGAGCCTGTCCTCTGTTAGATCAGAGGGTTGGTCCTTTGTAGAGCATGAATAGAAAGATGTAGAGATTAAAAATATGCTGGTAAGTAGCGAGCGGGATAAAAAGCAGAGAGGAACCCTGCTCTTTATTACTGAAAGAGAGGGGCAATATAAAAGCTTGCTGCACACTCTAATCCCCAAGAAAAAGCAGAGGCCTTGTTCAAATGTTACCAGAGTGCTTTGATTATAACTTGAACTTTCTAGTAGTATGCACACAGTACAGATGCACAGTATTCTAATCTCACATAAAGTAACCATGGTGCACACATGCCTGTTACATCACTTAACTCCATCTTATACTTGATGATTGGCAGCTGAAGGTGTGGACTGACTTTTACTATAGTAAATATGGTATTTCAGATTACCTAGACCAGCCTTCCTTCATCTGATGTCCTCCTGATGTTTTGGACTATAACTCTCATAGGCCCCAACCAGCATGACCAGTGGACAGGGATGATGGGAGTTGTAGTCCAACAGCATCTGGGGAAGGCTGACCGAGGCTGATTTTAAAATTTCTCATTTTGATCTATGATGGCTCAATCACACATCAAAGTTTTTATCTAATGATGCCAAAGTAAGTGATAAACTTGCATGTGTGAACCTGCCTGGAGTAGAAACAACCATTCTCCAACCAGAACACTACCAAAAAAATAAATAAATCCTGAGTGTTCAAAAACTGCACAGTATCATCTGAACATTACTTTCTGTTTGTAGTGCTTCACACTTTGCTTTCTCTTGCTCTTTATGTGGAGTATGCAGTGGTAAAAGTGAACACAGATTGCCTCCCAGCTGTATGCAATCAGATCCAAACTATTGCAAGAGTTTTACTACTGCTACTACTACAATAAGCATTCCATGATATACAGAGAGATGCATACCTAGGAGTTGGTCAGGTTGGCCCTATCAACGACACAGGCTAGGGGGAGGCACAAAAATTGCACCTCTCTTGGTGCTTTGGCAGAGCAATCTGGACATTGACGTGAGCTGTTGCAGCAGCCCTGCAGAGCCACCTCCACAGTTTGCCGGAAGCACTGGTGGCTAGTTTGTGCAGTGGGACTCTCCATGAAGACCCCGCTACTTGGCCCTCCATTCTAGCGCGGCCACTGCTTCCTGCCCTCCGCTCCCCCTGCTTGCCCCGAGAGCGGCCTTTCAGCATATGTGGTGATGGAGAAACATCAGATGAGGCTCTTAATTTACCACAGCCAAGTTGCTTTTCCCTGGCTTCTTTCCTGCCTTAACCAATTTCCGGTGTGCGCACCGCTGCATGCTTACCCCAGAGAGTCAAGGCCGTTGTCTTAAGTGGAGCTTCCTTCCAAGTAAAGTATGCACTGGAACGCAACCTCCAAGTTGCCGGCACCTTGTTGGAACCAATGGAAAGACAAGCGAGGTATTGTCAGAAGTTCTTGCCTGTGGCTTGCCATTGAACTCGATGAGATTTAGTTTTGCGTAGACATTTTATAGGATTGTGTTGCTAAACATCTAGTTTAAGAGTCATTTGTGATGACTGAATTTCTGGAGATGGGGGGGCGCCGCCGGTACAGCTCCTTGCCAACGGCGCAAAGAAGCCTAAGTACGCCTCTGTATACAGATTACGTGTAAGGGTAAGACATGGGAAATGTAAATGACAGTGTAGTGCCAGAGCATGTCACAGTAACCTAGGAGGATGACTCCACTCATCATTATGGGCTTCTTCTGATCAGAGATGGGGGAGAAATTAAATCCAGTCTGCATTTAAAGGTGCACCTACTTAATTCACAATTTCCAAAACAATATGAGAAGGGAAATACAGTAATCTTTTGAAATTTGCACTTCTCCAGATTTTGCAGTGACGTTCTCTAGACAAGTAGCATGTAAACAAAATGCATGTACTGGAGTACCCATATATTGGTGTAAATAACATAGCAAGATACCTTATTTTAGGGAACATTGTTTTGCAAAAATGTGTCTATTGGACAACATTGCCTACTCAGAAGTACATATTATAAGAAATTTACATTAAACAGCTGATGAATTTTCATAAAGACTTTAAAAATAAATTGCAAACTGGTGGGGAAATGAGAAGAACTGAACTTAAGACTGGAAAAAGAGAAACTGAAAGAAAAGGAGAAACTGAAAGAATCCAAAACTGGCAGATTCATCCTATCACTTCCTCTTTATATACCCAAGCCCAACTTCCTGGGTAGTTCTCTTCAGCACCTATCCCTGTTTTATTGTCTACAATCCAGGCATTGCTTGCTAGCCCCTTTTGCCACCTTTTCCCACAGTAAGAGAATTACTATCACAGCCACAAACCAATAAAATGAGCGATGTGTTCCATCAGTGGCTGGCATGGCTTCTGTGACATGTTTGGTAATGTTTCTGAAGCATAAACATACATGGGACAAGTTAAAAACCAATAAATGCTTGATCTCAGGTTGGAGCCCACTGCCAAGCAACAAATTGCTTTCCCTTCCTACTCTTCCATCTGCTCTTTAATGCCTTCCTCCTCACTTTCTCCTTTGCCACTCTCTCACTTTCTTTTGAAAACTGTCATATGGTTTAGAATCCTAAGGATTTGGGGAGTTAAAATCCTAAGCCACTTATGTGTTTCCAGAAACTTCACCCCCATTGCCACTACATGAAAAGTTATCTCCTTTCCTTGAGCGCTCACCTATTCCTGCTGATTATTAGAATTTTTCATCCCTTTTCTGCTTGCACTGACAAATTGCTGTCTTTCAGAAAACTCATTTTCAACATTTTCCTTTGGTGCTACAATTTTCTTTCTCCTATTCTTCAAACTTTAATCAAACCCCTCTCAATCTTGCACACATCTTCTTCTCTAGCCCATATCCACGCGTTTCCTCCTAATTTTGAATCTTGCCACTCAATCAACTTCTATTTCATCTGCCCAGACAGACCATGAATCTGTAATTGTCACATTGCTGTGCACATTTTGTTTTATCATATAGTTCCCTCCACTTTTGGGTAAGCCTGTCAGTTCTCTTCTTTTCAGCCTCATCTTATATGGGCCTTAGCTGATTGATAACGCTTTGCGGTGATGGATAGCTCAATCATAATTCCATGCTTAAACCCTACTAATATACTTTAATTTTCAGCTCCAAAATATGGTGTAGTGCAAGTAAAATTCCATCTTGTTAAAGCTCCTGAGGCTGCATTAATCACAAGTGTGGCCCAATCATAGCAGTCTACTTTAGTTATAGCCTTGCTTTGTTCTGTTGCAATTAAAGTGGTCTACTATACTCGACAAGAAAGGGTCAGAGCAATGCAGTTATATCTCATTTGCCATTACACTATTTCCTCCCCTAAAAAAAAAAGCAAAAAAGCACATTGGCTTGGATCCAAAACTGGCAAAGAAAGAGAAGTAGGGAGCATTAGCACAGTTCCATGAATTCTTGAGGAAGATCTAGTAAAAGACTTCTCATGATACAATACCATAATCTAATCAAGGGTTGCATTACAGTACACAGTGTCAATGCTGGCTCTAGTGTGTGACTGCTAATGGACCAAAGATGTTGAGGATTAGTTTGTGCAAAGTCTTACACAAGACCTTGTTTTTTTTGTGCAACTGGAGGAATTCCTCCAGATTTGGGGTCACTTGTCTCTCAGCCCAGTTCTTCCACGAGTAGAAGAGTATTATGGTCTTATGTATCAACCTAAATCTAAAATTAAATCACTAAAACTGTTGCAATGATTCTTGGGGTAGTCATTCCCTTCTTGTCCTTGCCATGCCTCTGTCAGAGGTTTCTCAGATGCCTCGATTGCACATCAAACTGAAAAGGAACAACTGAGAATATTTGCCATAGCAGCACTGAATACATTGAAAATAAGACAGGGTCGCAGTTCACCACATTTCATCCTAATTTCCTCAATTTTGTAGGAATGTTCAGGATGGCAGGAGAGGATATATTGTTTATTAATATCCTTCCTAACTTGCACTAGCAAGTTCCTTTACTTAGCAGAGTGCATTCCCCTTTACACAGCAGAAAACTAGTTACAAACTCGTGTGAGTTTCTTAAGACAATACGCAGTTCAATCTGGCTTGTCTGGATTGAAATGTATTCTAATATTTTCCTGGTAAGACCCCTTGAATCCCTCCTAAAAAAATAAAGACACCACAGTCTTATTCATAAGCAATAAAAATTAAGTTTACTCACGATCAGGCAGAGCGAAGGCAGGCTTAAGGCTTAAAGTTACAAACATATACAAACAGGTTTACCCCGTATGTGGGTTGACCTAATGACTGCAGTTAGCAGTCCAGAAAGTTCACAGGACGAAAAGAAGATGAAAAAGAGAGAGAGTGGCAGCATGCCTTGGCCTTTTACTAGGTCTGGAAAGATCACGCCCACCCACTAGTCACATGCAAGGAAAGATGCTCCAGGCCAGGAGGAACAGGAAGTTTCAACTGGCTGGACCAAACATTCCCTTGGATGTCCACTCTAGCAAAACAAGGAATGTTGTATTTGACTGCTCCCAGTGGCTTACAACCCAAAAATTCTGCAAAAACAAAAACAAAAAACCCTCCCCTTTCAAAAGTCAAATAACACAAGTTCATTTTTAGTTTGAACATGAAATCCACTGCCTAGCTTTCTGAATGACAGTCCCCAAGCCCAGCAGAGTGATTAAAAATTAAAATTTGTTCATCAAATATACTTTCAAATTATGCCTGTTGGAAGCAGATCTATTGTCATTTCATTACTTGAAAAAGAAAAGGCAGTATTTAAAAATATATAATTGGGAATTATATTTGACTGCAACTCAGTTCTATCTCAGTTGGTTAACTGGGAGGTGTTCCTGCCTGGTGTTGCTATGCAAAATACCAGGAGGCTGGTGGAAATCCTATAGCGCTCTCATTTTTAAAGCATGTGAAAAATACATTTTTTTCTTAGAATTTTGTTTGAATAATGCTTGTGATCAGAAACCATTGTGGATGTAGTGTATATTGATTTCAGTAAGGCTTTTGACAAAGTCCCCCATGATGCAGAGAAGCTGGTGAAATGTGGACTGGACAATGTAACTGTTAGTGGATTTGTAGCTGGTGGACTGATCATACCCAAAGAGTGCACACTAATGATTTCTTGTCATCATGGGGAAAAGTGACAAATGGGGTGGCAAAGGGTTCTGTCCTGGGCCCATTGTTGTTCAACATTTTTATAAATTACTTAGATGAAGCTGTTGAGGGGGTGCTCATCAAATTTGCAGATGACACAAAAATGGGAGGGGTAGCCAATGTTGCAAAGATAGACTCAGTTTTCAAGTTGACCTAAACAGATTGGAGAACTGGGCCCAAACTAACAAAATGATTTTCATTAGGGACAAGCGTAAGGTTCTACACTTAGGCAGGAAGAACCAGCTGCACAAATATAAGATGGGGAACACATAAATTCAATTAACAACAACAACACTGGGTTTACCAGTAGTACATGTGAAAAAGATCTAGAGCTCTTAGTAGACCACAAACTTAATGCAAGTCAAAAGATAGATGCAGCAGTGCAAAAAAATCTAATGCTATTCTAGGCTGCATCAACAGAAGTATAGTGTCCAGGTCAAAGGAAGGGCATAGAACTGCTCTATTCTGCCACAATTTAAGAAGGATATGGACAAGCTGGAATGTGTGCATAGAAGACAAGATGATCAAGGGTCTGGAAAACAAGCCTTATGAGGAATGGTTGAATGAGTTGGGTATGTTTTGCCTGGTAAAGAGGAGACTGAGAGGACATATGATAGCCTAATAATAATAATAATAATAATAATAATAATAATTTATTTGTACCCCGCCTTCTAGGCATGTTACTTTCACTTGGGCTAATGTGAAAGGAGAACTGGTAGGTTATTATAAATGTGTTTACAGAATCTGCATGGATTCTACCAACTAGTATTTATACAGTTCTGAATTTTAATCTATAACTGATGGTAGGCTTTTGTAGTGTTTACGCATGAGTCATTCACTTCCCACATAAGATGTTTAAATGCAGCACTCTGTTCTCGGCATTACCAGAAGTTATTTTTTCATATATTAACTTAACACGGCCCACTTACTGATATTTCTTTACTTATCTGAAAGTTTTCAAGGCTGTGATTTAATCTTTTTTTCTTTCAAATATTTATTTTAAAGAGCCACCTTGCTAATAACCCCAAAACAAATCTACCAAGGGGGGGGGGACCTTACATGTTGATTACTGCAAGGCCATTCTCTGACAGGCAGAACTTTATTTTTCATTTTTAACAATTCATCTTATGTCAATTGCTTAATATTGACTTTTTCTAGTTCCTTTGAGAATGATGACCTTGTTGCAGCCTGACAATGCCTGATTTGCAGCCTGATTTGTTATAAACCCTTTCTCTCTTGCATAAATTGTGCTAAAGGGGAAAAAATGTATTTCCAATTTTAGTGCCAAATCCCCTCCCTTACACCCCCCCCCCCGCACTTTTCCTCTCTATTTTAAACAGGCTTTCATTACAAGGGTAAATTCAATCATGTTTGCTTCAAAAAGAAGGGGTCAGATCTCAGTAGTGGCTGTAACTTTGCATGCATTAATTTATTTAAAAAAATATTCTAGACTGCAAAGAGAAATTTTGTGAACATAAATATAAAGCTAGACATGAACTAATAAGCATTATTGTAATACCTTTGTACACTTGTTGGACTGTGGGGAACAATGCAACAAAACTAAGTTGCAACTAAGTCAAATTGAAACAAATTAAAAACAATGGAATGGAATTCAGTAGTAACTGACTTGTGTTGTGTTCAACTGAATTCAATAATAGTTATAAATACAGTGGTACCTCAGGTTACATACGCTTCAGGTTACATATGCTTCAGGTTACAGACTCTTCTAACCCAGAAATAGTGCTTCAGGTTAAGAACTTTGCTTCAGGATGAGAACAGAAATAGTGCTCCGGCGGCGCAGCAGCAGCAGGAGGCCCCATTAGCTAAAATGGTGCTAAAGGTTAAGAACAGTTTCAGGTTAAGAACGGACCTCCGGAACGAATTAAGTACTTAACCCGAGGTACCACTGCATTTTTTTTGTTGGGATGTGTCCGTGGTTTTCAACTTAGCTTTCACTTTCCTACACCTTTATAGCCTTTTCCACTTGTGAGTCCTTTAAACATACATACAACAGATTGTGTACTTAGAGAACAGCATAAGATGAAAAATTTCTCAAAGGGTTATAGTCAAAGTTAGTTCTACTCAGAGTAATCCCATTAAAGTTAATGGAAATAAATAACTTGTATCAATTGATTTCAATAGGTCTACTCTGAGTAAAATTTAATTGGGGAGGTGCATAGCACCAGACATCCCCCCGGCCCCCACTTTGCTACAGGAAAGGATGTGAGGGCCATACAATGTGGAAGGGAAATGCAGGAACCTCTCCCCACCCTACTCCTCCTCTATGCAGAGAGTATTAACTTGCATAATGGGCTTGCATAACAGAAAATGTAGTATGAATACTGGGAAGTAAATCGCTGGCATATTTTCTGCTTCAAAAGAAAAAAGAATTTTAAGGATACAGTGAATGAAGGGATACCAAAAGGTGTAAAACAAACAAAACAGTTTATGCTGTAACCAATAAGTTAAAAACTAGTGTGGAGCTCGAGATCCTCAGTCATATCAGACTTAAAAGTTTCACTTTGCCTACAGTTAAAGTCATCTTTCATCTGTAGTCCGTCCCTGTGTTCTGAAATGAGCTACTTTGGGAAAGACAGTGAGCTCCTGAGCTTGCACTAGATATCTATGTTTTAGATTTCACACACACACACACACATACACACTGCAAAAAAATGTCCACATTACAACTTTAGGAAAGGGCAAAGAGAAAATAAATACTTTAGGGTGTGTTTAACTCCATTCTACTCTTGTTCCTGACCTTTAGATTTCCCTTGCTGCTGGGCACTCAAGAGAAAACATTTTAACTGGTTGTTATATAAATGACTAAGTGACTGGAAACTAATTGTGGAAAGAAATTTTATTATATTTTTATTTATTTATTGCTGGTTAGTGGGTTGATTTTTCTGCCCAGAAACCCATAACACAAAGTTTAACTCTTCAAGGTTTGTGTTTTTCAAGGGGAAAAACAGGCTGTCTACCCACAGGATCACTACAGTAATTATAGGGTGATTTCTTTCATGAAAAACCACCTTCAGACAGAGAAAGTCTTCAGCAAACAGACTTTGGGGGGCTCCTCCAGATGAGCCTTTTGTTGTGCAGTCACCCTTCCAAATTCACTGAATTTTTCAGAGGGTCCTAGTCTTAAATCACTCCTGTTCTTAAAACAAGCTGTCATTCCTTAAATGTAGGTTTCTGTTGTCACAAATTAAAAAGACAATTTTAAAAATAAAATCCTGGTGAATGGAGAGTACAGCCCAGGGAAGGCAGTACACCCATTTGCCCCACCCTGGCTACAGGGCTGAGACTAGATGGTAGGGATCACTAAGGGAGAAGTATGAAGAGAAGTAGGGTGTGAAAGTTAAAATGAAAAGGAATGTCTTATGATGAACTGAGCTCCCAACCTCCCTAAATTGGAAACAAATCTTTTCTGCAGTAAGAGATAAAGTTGGAGCTCGGGGGGGGGGGGGGAATCCTAAGCTCCAGCCACCACAAGCTTAGAGTAGAGGAATAGTATAACCAATAAAATTGACTAGCAGCAGAAGCTTGACAGATGAAAGAAAGCACTTATTCACATATTGCCCAATTAATTTGTGGAATTCATTCCAACAAGGATCTGGTGATGGTGCCTTGCTGAGATGGAGATTAATGCATGGGATAATAGGTTTATCAATGGTTGTTATCCATGACAACAAAATGGAGGATTCAGTTTACCTCTGAATACTAGTGAGAACCAAGGGTTAGTGCCTTCATACCTGCTTGCGGGCTTTCTAGAGGCACTGTGGGAAACAAGGCCATCTTGCAATGTGGTATTAAGCTACCTATCTCAAGTTCATATTCCATCAGCATTAATAAGTGTTCCTTCAGAAATACTATTCATACATACTCTCTCAAGCCATTACATAAAATCATATTGTGCTATGTAAGAAGAGAACACATAAATTCTAATCACAGTCACAATTCCCCCTCAGTATTTGCTCAGCACTAAATCAACTCTTTATCTTTTCCCTTATTATTTTTCAGAATTGGCTCAAGTCAGAAAGCAAGAGAGAGAAAGGAAGGCACAGAATATTTTGAAATAAGCTCCAGCAATATATATTTTTTCTGAATTAACATGATTTAAGTTCTGCCTCTGGGCATTTAATTTCTACATAGAAATTAACTTCGTCAAAACTGTAGGGTGATTCAGACATAACACCACACCATGGTTTGATATTAGTTGAACCAACAGTCAGGCATCTCAGGCTCACTTGCACACTTGCCCTATACCCCTGTGGGGAGGCCAAGAGAACCCTGGGAACAGCAAATGGGAGGAAGAGAGGGGAAATCATTCTGTCTTACAAGCTAGAATGCTCACCCCAATGGAATGATGGCCTTAGGCTTAGCACAACAGTGAATTTCTCTCAGACTTTGCACAATTTTCTTTGCACACATTATTTTGAATGTATTTTGGAACAATTCACTCTACTCCACCCCAGAACTCCATGATCAGAAAGAATATATCTTAGTATCTGAACAGCAAACAGTGATGGGAAAAGTTATTTGAAAACAACTGAGAGCCAATTGAAATCTGAATTGGTTTTCTAGAGAAGACACTAAAAAGAAACACGTACACACGCTTCCCTATACACATTCCATTTTGGCACTCAGTGTTATCTCTACAGGGACACATTATCACACAGACAAAGCTCCCTCTTTCCCAGAGATACCTTAGATTACCAAGATCATTTTATTTTCTGATAAAGCTTGACTCTAACAAGTAAAGCATATTTAATCTAGATTCCCAAACATGTTGCTATAAATAACCTGCAGTGCTGCTGTTTACAAAGAGATGTGATACTTCTACCACTTGTTCACTTTAATCTGAGCTGCTCTTTGCGGTTTAAATGGCTTTCCTAATTGAATTCTACTGACAGTCTACTTTTCATCATGATTCATATTGTAACAGTGCTCGAAAACATCCAGTGTTAAAAGAGTTTCCATCAATTCACACAACTGCACGGAGGGGAAAGAAAAAAGAGGGGTGGTTCAGGTGTCTCAGAAATGTTTGCTAGTTAATGATATCGGAAATTAAATTAAATACAGAGCGTCTCATGCAAAGCAGCTCATCTGAAAAAGTTCTCAAGGCCAATTCACAGATCCCTCACCAGTTCTAAGTACACACAGTTGGTGCTTTTGCAGGAATCCATAACTAATTGGATTTATTTATGTATTGGGGAGACAGTTCGGGAAATTGGGAGGCTTGAAATCTGTAGTAGAGCTACTTAGCTATTTCCCTTGTCCTAATCAGTTTTAAACGTCACATAGGTGCCATGAATCATGGTAAGAACTGCAGCAGTTATTTCAGTAGGGCACGCCATCTCTATGGTCACAAAATGAAGCCCTTGTAGAGGTAGGTTCATTTTGCTAACAAATCTGAAGTCATTTTGGCTGTACTTGTTCCTGGTCAGCAGAAATGATTTGATTCAGAAACAATACGCAGAAGAGGCACTACATTTTCGCTTTAGTACCCTATCTAGTGAAGCATCACACCTATCTCCATTTGTTGTATCAATAGCAGTGGTGCCCTCTGGATAAAAAGCCGATGTTAGATCTCAGATGTGCTTTTATTATTGTGGGGATGCCACAGGAAACATATTGCTCAGCATGAATTTGGCATGTTAATGAAATCAGGCATACCCAGGCATATTACATAGTGCTCTTCTGTTCCACACAAAGATGCACATGATCAAGAAGCAGCCATGAATCGCAGAAAGCACAACTTTAAGACTAACACCCTAAGAAGTTAGCCCAGCGGCTTTAGTTTTGCTTGGACCCCATTGTTGCTTTCCCTTGCATGTGCATTTTCTCCTAAGTCTTGTTCATTTTAGTAGTGTCTCCTGAGAGGCAAACGAGGATCCCATGGGTCGAATTCCTTCCCTACAAAGAAAATGTAGACAGATGGAAGAGGTCCCATCGGAATGTAATTAGGTCATTTAAGCAGTAAGTAAGAGTGGGGTGGCGGGGCTGTGAAAGAGAGAGAGAGAAATATAAAACAAATACAGTAAGTGTCAGAGACATTTCACAGCTTAATAAGAAAATGAATTCATTTTCATCTTTGCTTCACTCGGGTGATGCCCAACCACTGAATAGAAACATGAGGGTAAACCATCCGAGGCCACTAGATTTGAACGATGATAATGGATGCAAAGAAATTTGCTTAAAACAGGGTTACCCTGGCTAGTTCTGGAAAAGCCTCCTCTACCTATCTGATTTGAAGCTGAAACATATTTTCAGCGAGTAGATTTACAGCTGCACTGTATGCCTCAGACTGCAAGTAGGGCATTCCACCTGCATTGTACAACAGTGCAGCACAACAACAGGTGAGGCTGCTGGTAGTGTGGTGTGGCTCTTGTTAGAATACCTGCTCTGTGACTGCAGTCATAAGATTGTTGTCTATCACATGACGGTGTATGTTTTGACTCCACAGAGTAGGAAGTGACGAAGACAGGATGTTTGTGTTACTGTGTTCCGTGAAGTGGGACTATTGTCCTTTGTTTTTTTGCTCTTTGCTGTCTGATACTAGAGAGAGAGGGAGCCATGTTGCAGTGCTCCATATGTGTTTATATGTAAATAAAGTAGATTAGCCAAAATGCTGAGTTGCTGAGGTCTGTCACGCAAGCTGCAAAGACTCTGCGGATCCCTAAGTGTGCCGATGTCTGTTGGCATCGGTCACTGTGATGTTTGGGCTGAAGAAAGCTAATGAAGCTCCCGAACAATTGATCAGTCGGGCATGTGTCTCTGCCAAGGTCCTACTAGAGTGTAGGACAAGCTCCTGACAGCTCTCAGATCTGTTGATGGTGGCCTAGCAGCACCCATAACCACCACCATGTGAAGTATAATGAGCACCAGACATTTCCTGAGATGAAGGGATGGCAAAATGTTTAACACTTGAAGAAATAATATTGTTGTTGGTTATGGTCTGCATTGCTGACCTGATTATCCTGATATCTGGGATATGTGTGTAATTGGTTTTGATGCAGCACTCATACAGTTCCCTATTGTTTATATTTTTTTCCAAAATATGGCTAAATTATTGAAATGGGTGGAATGTTACCAAGGTGAGATCCCATTTCCCCTGCTATTTTAGGGAGAACTCTACTGCACACATGCAACTCTTGCTATAACAATTCCTATAATACAGTGGTACCTCAGGTTACATACGCTTCAGGTTACATCCGCTAACCCAGAAATAGTACCTCGGGCTAAGAACTTTGCTTCAGGATGAGAACAGAAATTGTGCTCCGGCGGCATGGCAGCAGCAGGAGGCTCCATTAGCTAAAGTGGTGCTTCAGGTTAAGAACAGTTTCAGGTTAAGAACGGACCTCCAAAACGAATTAAGTTCTCAACCCGCGGTACCACTGTACTTGAAGTCTAAATACAATCATGAATGTTTCCCACTGTGAATCACAAGGATCTTCAGATACCCAAGAGTTTTCTTGCCTTCAGGAAACACTTTGTGAGCTCTTCACTCAGATGAGTTTAAAACCCTTCTAAACCTTAAGAAACCTTCTGAGGTCTGCTTCCCATTAATCCTCTACCATCAGTTGTGTAGGTAGCCTCTCCCTTTTGTCAGTTAACCCTTTCCCTCCTTGACTTGCCAGGCTAGCTCCAGAGCTGCTGCCTTTTCTTTCCACCCAGGCTGTGTCCTAAGTCACTGTGGCAAGGCTTGCTCATGGCTTTGCTCTCTTTCCTTTTTCTGCTACTCCTTCTCGGTCCTTGCTTCCTCCTTGCAACCCCATCTAAATGTGTCATCTATAATGACTTTATCCTCTATGTTGGATCAGAGGAGGAATGACTGCTGGGAGGAGCACAGAAAAAAATAAATGCCACGGTGCACCTGTAGCAGCAAAACCTGGAACCTTCACCTGCCCCACCTACCATAAAACATGTGTCTCCCATATTGGTCTCTACAGCCGCAGCAGACACTGTAACTCTCCAATAGTTTGACTTTATCCCCAAACACATACTCTTCCATTGTCTCCCAAGACAGTCAGATGCCAACAACCACCTAGTCTAGAATAGATGCAGATCACTACCAGTTCCTTTGCAATGCTAATTTTTTTTAAAAGGCAAAATCTCTTTGCTTTCCCCAATATAAAACTCATATTTCCTTATGTTTTTGGTTTTGGCTCCTGATGATCCTAGGGTTAGTGCAGATCTCAGTTATGACTATGACTCACCTGCTCCTCTCTCCTGATCACTCCCAAGCAACCAACAATTGCCTGCCAGGGTAGATTCACACCTTAAGCGACAGCTGTGGCTTGTCTCCCTTGTGAAGGGAAGGTTCATGTATCTAACCTTGTACTGAACACATTATGGAGCTGCATGTATTCTTGAGAATTTGGTGTGTTCTGCAAACGCCAGTCTATAGGAAGCAAGCACAATTGCCACCTGAAGTGTGAAATGGCCTTTGGTGAGAATGATTTCCTTAAAAGAATTTATGCCTTACAGAAGCAGCATGGAGCTACACAGGATGAAGGAGTAGTTGAAGATACACACAATTATTGTCAGAATCTTCCCTTGTCCTTTTTCTCTCCTTAAGCTGAAGAATGCAGCTGTGACCACAACAGCTAAAGAGACACAGCTGCAGATTCTTTTAGAGAGGCAGCAAACATAAGATAGGAAAGTGTGGGGGGGTTGTAAAATGTTAAATGCTATCTTTTAAAAAATCAATTAAAAAACTTAGTGCACGTAGTAAGATAAAATCAGATTTAAAGATGCTCCATAAGCGTCCTAGAGCAGACATGAACAACTTATGAGCCCAGTTGTGATTCACAAAGTCAAATCCACTGGACGTTTGATAGATCTATTTTTAGCTGCTTGCCTAGAACTCTGAAAAACAGAGGGGTTGTCAAGTACCTTTAGGGGAAAATATAAAAGTAGTGAGCTTTATTCAGGTTTGTGAGTCCCAAGTTGTGCAGAAGAGTGGCCATGTGTCCTATGTTACAGAGGGTCGTGCTCTATTTGAAGGGCTACCATTTAAAAAAAGCAGGGATCTTGAAGTTGCCCATCAACTGCTAGGATGTGGACACCATACTGTGCAGGTTTCAGATTCCTTGGTCTGTCTTCCCCAACATGGTGACATATACTGTATTTCCAGTTTCTAAATTTGCTTCTACAGTATACATATAAATTTGCATGAGCACATTTTAAACAAATCAATGTCCCTTTTTGGTGATATATTTTCTCTTTTTAAGCAACGTTGAAGTAACCAAACTATTGTGTAGTCCTACAAAGATTACTGTGAAACTGCTCTTAACAAATCACAAATAATATCTGGTGTTAGCGAGTAAGGTCTCATGCGTACTGTGATGATTCAGTGTTTTGTATCGAATGCATGCCACACAACCCAGGCTTGTGCCCCAGAGAGGCCAATTTGCTGCTGCTAATGCACCAAAAACAATGCAGGAGGCAGCAGTTGCAAGTTACCGGTCTCCGAGGTCACAGCAGGCACTGTAATTCTCCAGTGGTTTGACTTGACCCCTGGAGGCACACTCCATTGACTCTTGAGACAGACAGATGTCAACAACAATGTATTAGGGTCTCAGTAACCAGAGTCAATGTTTTTATTTCTTCTTCTCCTGGATGGTTTAGGTTAGTTCAGTTTCAATGCTATTTTCAAGTAAGAACGGCTTTGCTAATGCAAACTTTTTTTAAAAAAAAAGATACAACGTGGTGCCTCGCAAGACGAAATTAATTCGTTCCGCGAGTTTTTTCGTCTAGTGAATTTTTCGTCTTGCGAAGCACGAAATCCCATAGGAATGCATTGAAATTCAATTAATGCGTTCCTATGGTCAAAAAAAGTCCAAACAAAGCCAAATTTGGTACAACAAGAGTTTATTAAGTGCTCTTTAAAGTCACACATACTGTAAAGAGCATTTCAAAAAGTGAAGGAACAATAAATTAAGTTTCTAAACATGACAGAAAAACATTTAAAAATCAACAAAGTGTACAGTGCATTTTCTAAGCCTCTGGGGGACAACTCAAAGAAGGTTCCTCTTCCACTCTTTGCTTCTTGCTGAAGAACCCCCTCCTCAACTGTTCCCCCAGCCACCCACCACACAGAAATTCAAATCCAGAATTTTTTTTAAAAAACAGCAGAGTGGCCCAATGGTCACAGAAAATCATAAAAATGCAGAAAAAAAACACACACAAGCTTCCAGATTCTTGCAGACCCCTCCTCAACTGTTCCCCCAGCCACCCACCACACAGAAATTCAAATCCAGAATTTTTTTAAAAAAACAGCAGAGTGGCCCAATGGTCACAGAAAATCATAAAAATGCAGGGAAAAAACACACAAGCTTCCAGATTCTTGCAAACCCCTCCTCAACTGTTCCCCCAGCCATCCACCACACAGAAATTCAAATCCAGATGTTTTTTAAAAAAACAGCAGAGTGGCCCAATGGTCACAGAAAATCATAAAAATGCAGGGGGGAAAACACAAGCTTCCAGATTCTTGCAAACCCCTCCCCAACACCAAGTCCTTGAATTCCAAACACCCCAACCCAAAATCCAAAAACCCCAAAAAAAGTTTTAAAAGTTTAAAAGAAGTTTTGGAAAAGCTTCAAAAATCACCAAAGTCTTCAAAAAAGGCTACCACACCGCGTTCTATGAGTTGCTCCTCGAAGTCAAGTCGCAACTGTATTAACGGTGTTAAGAAAAAGGAAACAAACTTGCAAGACGTTTTCGTTTTTCGTCTTGCGAAGCAAGCCCATAGGGAAATTCGTCTTGCGAAGCAGCTCAAAAAATGGAAAACCCTTTCGTCTAGCGAGTTTTCCGTCTTGCGAGGCATTCGTCTTGCGGGGCACCACTGTATATATTTCTCCCACCCACTCTAGGCAGAGCCTGGAAGATCTCAAGAGCTATTCTCTTCCCATAACCATTATGTTTCAACAGGAGGCAGCAGCTGATTGTTGAATAAGGAAGTCTGGAATGGAACTGTGCAAACATAAAAGCAGTCAGTTCTTCCAAAAAAATAAACTTCTGCCACCTTATTTCAAAGGCCTGAACTCTAATGTGCCTTCACAGACTACTGAGGGAATTATATAAAAATGATACAGAACTAAGAAAGTCAAATTATTTTCCATGCTTTGATGTTTATGTGTTTTTTGCACTGCAGGGCACTTGTGAAATGTACAGGGAAAAGCTAGGAGAATGAGTGAATACTGCTCAAATAATTTGGGAGGATGGAACAGCAGAAAAGCCGCTTTGAACTCAGCCTGATGACATATCTTTTTAATCTTTCTGCTGTCACCTACCTATGCCATGAAAAAGTTGCTTTTACAGTGAACCTGGTTGTAAACACACAAATAAAACTCTGTAACACTTCTTCCTGCGAAATTAGAGGTGGGATACCTGTTCTCTTTCAAGGGTTTTGCAATCTCTCAGATTGGGGGGGCTGCACAAAAGTGGATGCCCCCTGGGCTCCTCTGAGAGGAGGGGCAAGGTATCAATTTAAATAAATTATCTAGTTAGAATAAAGGCTACCATGGCGAACCCAGATTGAAACTCCAAATCCTATGTAGGTCAAATTCAGAAATAGGCTTCACTGGGCTTCATGGGACTTCTCTCAAAGAGGTATAACAAAGGATTTTTAAAATTATAATTATTTAGTATAATCAGCCAATACAGCAACTACTGCTCTAGAAAGCAAGTATAAGTAATTCCTTTTGGGGCTTTAGTGCAATACACACACTTTCTTTAATGACGCAACTTCTGTCTCTGTGAATTATAAGTTTGCACACCTGTGTGGTCTACTTTGAATTTTCTCATTTTCTTCTGTAACGATCTATAAAGAAGCATGGAATCGAGATAACATTCCTCCAAGGTATTCTGTTGTGGTGAAATTGCATTTTCCCAGCAATAAACTACATAATGCTGCTTGGAAAATGTTATTTTCCTCAGCACTCAGTACTAGGGTTTCTGTTTCAATAACAGGTGCTATGTGAATGGTGCCTGCATAAATATCACACACACATTCTGGATAGTGCCCAGGATGAAACTAACATCAAACAGCACAGACTTCAACCATACAATTTTTTAAAAAAATCTTCAGTGGCTTATTGTTCTTGTTGTATATTATTCACATCTGAGGGCATTCATTTAGACCTTTAATTATAGCCCTTTTAAAGGCCTTAGCTTTAGCAAAACTATTTACTCACTCACTGCACATAAATATGCCTGTCACATTTACTGCATTGTTTCCTGTTATCTCTTGACTTTTGAAGGCTGTACATACCCGTCACCTGTTCTTATGTACATGTCTGTCCTGATGAAAAGAACAGCATTACATGATGCTGTTCAAAGTAGTTGTCTGGCTCCATTCTCCCCCTCCATTAATATCAAATAGACCATTACCTGGTGCAATGATGTGACATTCTACATTTCCCCACCCCATACATATACGTGTGTGTGTTGCAACAAATTGTTTATCCCATCTATATCCTGTCTTATAGAGACTGATTGATCTAGTACTATGAGCTACCTGAAAGTGGATTGTGCAAATGAAAGCAATGAAGGTGTGCTTTGCAAACCATGTAGATAGAATCATAAGCTCCATCAGGCACCTGGAAATATTTCAAAGAGCTTTGAGGACATTATTCTCACAAATATTAAGAGGAAGCAATTACTCCAGTAAGATCTGATCATTTTCAGCCGCAAGAGTGAAAGGTACACAATATTGTAGGCTTCGGAATATAGATGGCACTGTAGCCATCCAAATAGTCACTGCTGAAGGCCAATGGTATTTTTTCCCCTATGTGACTGATGGTCAAGTTATTTTTAAAAGAATAAAATATTAAGACATTCAAGGCTTTTATCTCTGAGCCTTGGAGACGGAAAGAAGGAATGCGAAAATAGGACGGTGACATGAGTTAGTCCCCAAATGTTCCTTGCCTGTAGCATAAGAAACATGTCTTAAGAACACCAGTAGCACTTCTGCTGAGAAAAGTGTCAGGACCCTCAGAGAGAGGCACAGGAAGGTCACATTGCACCTCACAAAGTCTTCACTAAGCACAATGTGCTATTTCCACCCCCACATGATCATCACCCACAATCATCACTATGCTTTCAAATTGCATTATAAACATCTTGCTCTATGAGCCAATAGCTTCACGTAATACTGAAAATTTTTTAATAGCCTTATATGTTGTATTTCTTAAATTATTGGTATTATTATTAAAAATAAAAAGATTACAATAGATTGTAAACCTTATCCCTTTTTATAATTATATAAGATGTAACTAGTCCAAAACTTTGCATATTCTTTCTAAATGTTTGTTTTGTTTCAATATATTATGAAGGATTAACAAGAGGAAATACCCCTGGTAGAAAGCATATATTTATGTGGAAATTGTTCACTTTCATTGTGTACTTTTTGATGTGTTTTATTGTTTGTTTAGGAATACTTTTGATATATTTCTAATTATGTAATTCTTTTCATGGCGTAAGCACCTTGAGCATTGTTTTAACTAACGAAAGGCAGAATACAAAAAAAATAATGTAATGTAACATAATGTAATATGTTTCCTCCATATCACCCTCTTGCAAAACAGTGGAAGCAGTGTGAAGATTACATATCTGTCCATCTTTTTCATTATTCACTAATAGATGGGAAAACACAGAATCTCCTGTTGCGGAGGGGAGACAGACCACCTTTGATCCTCCAGACATTGCTGAACTACAACTCCCAACATCCCTAACCATTGGTCATGTTGGCTGTGGCTGCTGGGAACTTGAGTCCACCAGTCTACAGGGCCATAGATTCCCACTAGTGCCCTCTGACTCACATAACATTATAGGATGTAGCACTGATATCCACAGACGTTACAGCTTTGGCAAGCCTGAGGCATGCAAAAGATCATGTGATTGCACTGCCCTGTTCTTTCGAAAAACACTGCTGTGACCAGGAGAACAATTCATACAGCCCTAACCAGGAGCAGCAAAGTGCAGCTGAGTAAGCTGTTGTTTATCTTATTAAGGGCAAACTATTATTTGGTAAACCTCTGGAAGAAGGTCAGGCTTATATTAAACTGTTCTGAGTCTTCTGCTTACAAACTATAGAGAGAGCTTGTTCTTTTGTTGCAGGTGTTTTATGGACAATTGCTCATTTTCTGAATTGTTTGTGCACCTTTGTGTATGTTATGAATTCCTGGGTTGTTTTTCGTTTGTTCGTTTGTTAATAAAATGAAATATAAAAATAACCTGCACCCTCCACCTCTGTAATTGCAACACAGCACCGCACAACGCTCTGCAGTGTAGTGTGTGCCTTAGGAAAGGTGTGGTGATATTATCAAATTGTTTTCCCAAGTGGCCAGACAATGGGTGTGATTCAACTAAGTTGTTGCGTGTGCAGAACGATTTCGTGCCCCCCTCACTTGCACCCCTAAATCTGCTTTGGGGGGGGTTAGGGAACCCCCAGGACAAGTTTAGGGGTGCATAGGACAGGAGAGGGTCAAAACTCCTACTGCATGAGCAGACCTCACTCCCCACACGCCTATTCAATATTGAATAGTTTTGCCTGGAACAGCGAAGCCTGTGAACGTACGATGCATCTCAAGCGAGCCAGACACTTACATGTGCACATAACAATCCCTGTTCCTCCTTTGAAATGTAGCAGATCCTAAATATGACTGATGGAACAGAACAGCCATTCATTGAGTTGTTCCAGCGTTTAAATGAAGTTACAGTACCTGTTCAAAAACTACCTCCAGAATTCCAAATGCTTCTGCAGATGAAAGGCATGTGGGGAATTGTCAGGACAAAAGAACACATCAGATCAGTTCAGAGGGTAGCATTCTTGCCTCTGGGCTATAAAGATTGTAGGTTTCAAACACACACAAGTATTTAGATATCAGTCTATCACTAGGGCAAGTGGGGTGGGGGTAGGCAGGTGCCAGACGGAAAGAAGCAAAATATTTCATACAGAGCTCTACAGACGGGCTTGCCCACTTTGTTCCTTTCTGAAGGAAAGCTGTAGTCTTCAACATTCAATTCAAAATCCACTTCAGATTCTGAAACTTAAATGTGTTTTGTTCCTTAACCCTGCTAAATAGCAAAGGATTTTAAGCAAGGAGAGAGATAAAATCTCCTTTATCTCTCTTCTGACCTCAAGCAACAGTAGCTTCCCTGCCCTCCAGGCTCTGAAGCTACTACATGAATAAAATACTGAATGAGATGAATTAATGTATTAGTGCCCATTCTCCTCAATGAGCATGCATGCACATACCACCTTGTCTATTGAGAATAATGAGACCATACTTCCTGAGCTTCCACTGTCCGAATTAAGGGTGGTTATTTCATTGGACAGGACCTTTTCAGTACCTTGATTATAAAATCATTTCTGAGTTAGGGACACTGTCCCCCTCCCCACCCTGATCCAGGTCAGTTCCTTGAGACTACAAAGTATTTTGTTCTGCCAAGATTATGGGCAGAGCTGATTGACTTTGTTCATGTTGTTTCTGAAATTGGCTTTATTAATGTCAGTGTACATATTTTATAGTGCTATATTTTCCAGCATAAACAGTCTTCAATTGTCTCATTAAGTAGAAACAGGAAGTGTGGTTTTTTTTAAAAAAAGAAACACACAAAAAGCATATGGTTTGCCTACAACTGCTATTTACTAGCCTTTAATTGTGGCCTCGGCCCAGTATACCTGAAGGAGCGTCTCCACCCCCATCATTCAGCCTGGACACTGAGGTTCACCTCCAAAGGTTTTCTGGAGGTTCCCGCACTGCAAGAAGTAAAGTTACAGGGAACGAGGCAGAGGTGGTCACTACCTCCCTGTGGAACGCCCTCCCATCAGATGTCAAGGTGATAAATAACTACATAATTTTTAGAAGACATCTGAAGGCAGCTCTGTATCTGCATCAAATGTCTTTAACATTTGATGTTTCGTTATGTTTTTATATTCTGCTGGAAGCCACTCAAGAGCGGTTGTGGAAATCCAGCCAGATGGATGGGGTATAAATAATAAAATTATTATTATTATAATTATTCCAAGTTTATGCTGGATCAGACTAAATGCTGGGTGATTCTAGGATGACAAAATTAACTTACCTCATTGCTGCATCTTCAGTTTCCCTCATGGAACTAATGCACCAGTCCATTCACTTAAACTAAATCTCATAGAGGAATATTCATCAATGTTTATTCATGTAGAATGTGCACACTACATTAGCCACAGTCCTATAAATAAACACACTTTTTCATGCACATCACATTAATCTTGATCCCATAAACAAATAGCCAGAGATTTCTATGAACCCCCCTGTAGAAAAGATACTGTAGCAGAGGAAACATCTAGTCCATCTAACACATCTGGTGATAGAAGATGAAATCATATTATTTCACTTATTAGTTTATGATAGTAGGTTTATTGAGGGGAAACAAGAGTGGTTTCGTTTAAGGAGGATGCATACATTTAAGTACAATGATATTGATTTTTAGCGTTGTTATGTTTTAATAGTTTGTGTTCCTGCCAAGAGCTTGGAACACAGCTTTTAAAAACAAATCCAAGTAAATAAAATTCACAATCACATGAGCAGAATCTGAATTCCTAGTTCACGCTGCAAAACAGTCCTTTACAAGATTAGGGAAAAAGTAGCATCATCTTGGAGTCACAAAGCATTACATCTGTTTACAGGTCACCCTGGAACACCCAAAATGCTTTGACTAATCAAATACAAAATAGGAATCAACTTGCCAGCAGCAGCTGAAAAGCTTTGGAATCAGCCTGAGTAGAAATTAGAAAATTATGAATAGACATCCGCTACACATAAATTCTTCAAACACAGCAAACATTTCAAGACTGCATTTGCAGATATTTTGATGTTAATGCTGGGAATTATCAGCACTGAAGAGAAATGCTCTCTTCAGTGCTGATAATTCTACCCAGAATGTTAAAAGGGTATTGTAGGAGATGCACAGAAGATGTAGCATTCAAAAGCCGGCACAGTCCTTCCCTCAAATATTCAATAAGAAATGTGGCTGTATATAATGGGGGGGGGGAGAGAGAAGCTTTGAAGGTCCACAGCAATTTCTTTCCACATGAGCACAGCCACCATGGAAGGGCTTTGATATCATTGTGACAATTTTGTTTCCAGGTCAGCTACAGAGCTATTTGTAGGGTTGAAGGGGACACCCCTACCTTTACACTGTTCTTAGACGTAAGAGCAGGTTATTTGAGAGAGGGGGGACTCGTAAGGGAAGCAGCTGGCCATCTCACATCATCAGAAAGTACAGAAAGGGAGGAGTAAAGCACTGATGTTATGATAGCCCAAACAGTTCTGTTGAACTGAAGCAAGGTTACTTTGCAAATAAAGGCCTGCTCACCAGCAAGGCAGGGAAGCTAGGAAATGGGCTTGAATGAAGAGCCATGTTTAATGACAAAGGAATAGTCCATGGGACTCTCGAGAGTCTCCTCCAGCACCATAATTCAAAAGCATCAATTCTTCGGTGATCAGCCTTCTTTATGGTCCAGCTCTCACTTCCATACATCACTATTGGGAAAACCATAGCTTTAACTATACGGACCTTTGTCGGCAAGGTGAGGTCTCTGCTTTTTAAGATGCTGTCCAGGTTTGTCATCGCTCTTCTCCCAAGAAGCTGGCGTCTTTTTATTTCATGACTGCTGCAGTGATCATGGAGCCCAAGAAAGTAAAATCTCTCACTGCCTCCATTTCTTCCCCTTCTATTTGCCAGGAGGTGATGGGACCAGTGGCCATGATCTTTGTTTTTTTGATGTTGAGCTTCAGACCATATTTTGTGCTCTCCTCTTTCACCCTCATTAAGGGGTTCCTTAATTCCTCCTCACTTTCTGCCATCAAAGTTGTGTCATCTGCATATCTGAGGTTGTTAATATTTCTTCCCGCAATCTTAATTCCGGCTTGGGATTCATCCAGTCCAGCCCAGTCTTTCGCAGGATCACCAACAAAATAGTGTACCCAAAAAGTGCATATAAGGCAAAAATGTGCATAAAAATACTTGTATTAGTGAAAATAATATTTTATAAAGCATTGTATTACAGAAACATGCTTTCAGGAATGTGGATATTAGGCAAAATTACATACCAAACATTGTGTAGTAGGAGAAATTCGCTCTAAAATGCTGCTGAATTTTCATGAGAATTTATTTTAAATGCAAAAATATGGAAAGCTGAACTTGAGATTGGAAAACAGAGAAACTAACATTGACAGACTCATCCATCTCATCTACAGAGGAAGCCAGGAGTCTCAGAGACAAAGGAACAGAAACAGGGACAAACAGTATATTCCCAAGTGGTTGAGCTACTTCCAGATCACTTAGGAAACTGACATTTAGTACTGATTACTTGAAAAGTCTGAAAATTGCACATGTTCCACTTTACTGTTAAAACTATGGATATTGTTTAGCTCATAACAGGGCCAATATTCCTACTCTGGGCAAGCTAAGATGCGTATAGAAAGTTGCTGCCCCTTCAGGGCTGGATTTGGGAGGAGAGGATGCTCCCAGGAATATGTGTCTATGCTTGCAGAATGTAATCTTCATTTACCAGTAGAGTCTCAACTCCCTACAGTGCAAGGCCATATGTGTTACTTACAGAGCATGACATCTTTCTTCCTAATAATGAATAATGACTGTAGCACAAGCATCACCTCACAAGTATCAATAGCTGTTTATTCCTGCCTCTGTGCATGCTGCCATTTAAGATTAATGTGTGTATTGTAGATTACTGCTCAGAGCTAACAGATAACTGAGGCCCACTGAAGGTACTGGCCATCTCAAATCACATTTACAGCTAAGAAGAGATGGTTTAAATGAAACTACACAGGCAAAGCTTGTGAATACCTTGAAGTACAATAAAGTAAATGCAGGGGCAGGCTTCCTGTTGCTGGCATTTACAATATCTTACGGAATCCTGACTTCTACAGTGGGAACCATAACACTTTTGCAAGACATAAAGCCAGACTATATAAATTATTTGTGAACACTTCAAATTACATGCATAGACCTGGCATGCTTGGAATGTAGGATGGTGGACCTATTGGCAGGACTGGGGCATCAAGGATCAGATATGATTATTTCTCCTTTATATGTTCCAACAAAATAATTCTTGTTTCTCTTTTGCTGATACCTTGTCTTACAAACTGACACTTGTAAAGCTACATATAAATTGGTTCATTAACAAAATTGACCTGCTAGTCCCTATTTCTTACCTACTTTTCTCAGGAGGATAGAATTAAACCAAAATTAATTGTTCCATTAAAAACAACATGCGGAAACGTGAACCTGTATAACATTTCATCTTTCACAGGTTCCCCTTGGGTTTATTTTTTATTAAATAGGTTGTCTTTAACTTTTCCATTAATTGGCATGACTTTTTGGTTACAACACTAAGCAATTGAGGCTGTTTTTTTGTATTTTTACTTGGTGGAACTGCAGTTCTAAAAAGTTACTCCCTTCTAATGCCAGGACTTCTGCAATACTTCTAAATTAAAAGGTGATTTTAAATATATTCACTGCACCATGGTCTTATATTGAGAAACATCAATTTATTCACTGTGTACCCAGAGTTGAGTCCCAAAATATTAAAACCTTTTAAAAAATCTTGGATTTGGTTGCATGCAGAATCTGAGTAAAGGCCCAGCAAAACATATCAAAATCTATTTAATTCATTGATTTGTGAAATAGTAGCCTCCTCTCCAGCCAGGAAGTTGAATCCAAGCCTGCCCGCCAAATTGGCCAATGGCAGGCAGGCTTAGTGGGGGGCACCTAATAAGAGTGGGGTACAGATCATATCATTTCATTTCAATTTAACATCCCTATAACTAGGTCAACTGGAGTGAAACAAAGGAGCACTTACAATTAGAAAATGCATCTTACTGTTCTTTAGCCATGGGAAGGGAAGAAGAATTCCAAAACTTAGCCAGGCTGAGAGGAAGCATAAGTAGGTTTGTAATCATTCACCAAATTATACTTTGTATTCATGAAAAACACTTCAGGTAACCTGTCTGTCACATGCCCAGTGGAATCTGGGCTCAGAAAAACAGAGTCACACAAGTTACTGTGTAAATTCATCTTCATACAGTATAGTATCATAAACCACCATTAGTGTGAGAATCAATTTCATAATGACCAGGAAAATATTGTAGACCAGATCATAAGAAGTTTCTGAAATGACATCAGGAGTCTTTGGAAACATAAAAGTTTCAGCTCTGCCCCAAACTACCAATTACTTTTGCTTTTTGAACTCTGTCAAAAAGATTGACCTCGAATATTCTACACAGCTTCAGTTAACTATGGATGGATTTATCACAGTTCTGCTGAGTGCATACAATCATGCCTTCTATGCACTCAGATGGAGCTCTGAAAAGCCACACAAAGTTTCTATGAAAGACATCTAGCCATTAGTAAACACTTCATGTCCCCTACATTGATTTCTTTCTGAATCCATGACTTTAAAAAGCTAACCTATGCAACACATTTCAAAAACAAGACTGGCAGCTAAATGTTATAGCCATACTATACCAGCGAAAAACAAGTAAATTAATTTGTTTTCCCCCCAACAAGAAGATCCTTGCAGCTTTCAAAAATCTGTATCTAGGAAACAAATCTAGTGAAAGTTATCACTATGCTTACTTTCTCTCTACTTCAGACAGGAAGAAAAAATGCCCTGACCACTATGACTGCAGAAGCCCAAAGCTATTTGGATCCTTTCCAGTCTGGGACATAAGTGGTTTTGGTCACCTTTGTGGACAACTGAGCCAGAATCTAGACAGAGGATTATGCTGTGGAACCTTGTTGAGATGTGATTTGGAGATAATCATGGTAGCTCTGCTCCTCAGCAAAAGGTGGGCTGTATGAGGTACTATTCAGTGGATTTGTAGCTGGTTGACTGACCGAACCCAAAGAGTGCTCACTAATGGTTCTTTGATAACACTGGGGAAAAGTGAGAAATGGGGTGACAATGTCATGTCATACCCCTATTTCAAATTTCCCACCCTATCCAGAATGTGCAACAAAATGGTGTTGCTAAGTATATAGTATGCTATTACAAAAGCATCTGCTCATTCAGAAGCCACAGCAAAAGAAAAGTGCATCAAGCCCTTGTTAAAAGTCAGCCTGATACATTTTCTACAAAACTGACTCAAAAGCCAGTTTATCTTCTTCTGGCATTTGCTAAATCTAGCTCTTTAAAGTCTACATGCTTCATGTTTGCTAAACGAAACAACTCTGAATTCCATGCCTGCAACAAATGCCAACATTTTCAGCTGGAAAGTGATGAGGAACAGCCAATGCCATGATGTAAGGAAATACTACATGCTCAGTTAGTACCAATTAAGGAACACTCTGATACACAGAAAGATCTTTGTCTGTGTCCCTCTGGTCAAGGAGGGTCAACATTTACATCTTAGGGCTGTACTGAAGGAAAACAAAACAAATAGGTTCCACCACTTAAAATCCAACACAGGTTATCACAGCAATCCAGAAATCTGTGTTTTCCGTGCCTGAGGGACTGCTCTGGGCTTAATTAGGTTTTGGTTTTACAAAAGCATCTGTTGCCTGTTGCACACTCTGCAAATCTGAGGGGACCACTACAGGCTTGGTATATGTTTTGTTTTTACAGAAAACAAAAACTTTATCAAGCCTTGAACAGCCCTATTGTCCCTGAGGCCTCAATGCTGCATGTGCATGCAAATATAGAAGTAGTCGGAGAAAGCTGCACAACGGACAACAACAAAGTGAGCAATCTGAGGGAGCCCGAACAGTCTATATATTCCTTGGCAAGCATTCATCTTTCCCTTTTACTGCAGCCAATTAAACATCAGAAGTTTGGTTCCCAAGCAAAAATGGGGTGGGGGTGGGGAGTGGGAAAAACAACCTTTGGAAAAGAGAGAAAGAACTGCTGAACGTTACCAAGAACGATAAAGTCTATCTAGGCATGAAATACATCCAAACAATGACACCATCCTTATCTTTGACTGAGTTGTAAAGGAAAGAAATTAGGTATACTAAAGACCTTCATTCGTAACATAAAAACCTTCTCTGTAAGCTAAAGCCTCTCAGCATTATCATTAGTCAAGATTCAGAATATAGTACTAACTTGATACAAATCAATAGTGCTTTCTGCTATTCCAGCATTCACGGAGCGGGCTTTCTTCCACTTTGTCCAATATAGTAAGGTACGCCAGAATATTTGTAGATATGCCAATTTCACAAAGTGGGACCATATCTAGGCTTTCTGCATGCTTACTTTGATAATCTAGCAGTGTAATGAACTGAGAGGCACTCCCAGCAGAGATGCAGTGCACCCCCTTAATAAAAGCAGCTACCACCTGCTCCTTTGATTTCCATTACTTCCCAGGCAGAAGGGACTTAAAAGCTATGATAATTTATCTGAGGGGGGGGGGAGTACTTTTAGCAAGCTCTCTGGTATGCTTAGGTGAGAACCCAATCCATACCTTTCCTCCTGTGTCTCTTTTCAGCATGGTCGAGTAGCTCAAGCATTGAGTGAAATCAATCCAGCTAGGCAGATTCATCAACTCAAGGCTTCTCATTCAGGTAATTGCATTCAATGTTAAAATGTAAACAAATAAAGACATGGTAGTTACATAAAAGAAAGTAAAAAGTTGTTTATCCAACAAATGCAATTTATTACAATCCTATTGTAGCTTGTTGTGGTGGTGGTTGTTGTTTAGTCGTGTCCAACTCTTCGTGACCCCATGGACCAGAGCACGCCAGGCACTCCTGTCTTCCACTGCCTCCCGCAGTTTGGTCAAACTCATGCTGGTAGCTTCAAGAACACTGTCCAACCATCTCGTCCTCTGTCGCCCCCTTCTCCTTGTGCCCTCAATCTTTCCCAACATCAGGATCTTTTCCAGGGAGTCTTCTCTTCTCATGAGGTGGCCAAAGTATTGGAGCCTCAGCTTCATGATCTGTCCTTCCAGTGAGCACTCAGGGCTGATTTCCTTAAGAATGGATACGTTTGATCTTCTTGCAGTCCATGGGACTCTCAAGAGTCTCCTCCAGCACCATAATTCAAAAGCATCAATTCTTTGGCGATCAGCCTTCTTTATGGTCCAGCTCTCACTTCCATACATCACTACTGGGAAAACCATAGCTTTAACTATACGGACCTTTGTCGGCAAGGTAAGGTCTCTGCTTTTTAAGATGCTGTCTAGGTTTTTCATCGCTTTTCTCCCAAGAAGCAGGCATCTTTTAATTTCGTGACTGCTGTCACCATCTAAATCCTAACTTAAAGCCTCCACTGAACGAGGGAGGGGCTCAGGTCCTGTTCCTGAGACAAGATCTAGGCTAGGAGTGGAGAACCTTTGGCTCTCCAGGTGTTGCTGAAATGCAACTTCCATCATCCCTGGTCATTGGCCATGCTTACTGGAACTGATGGGAGTTGCAGTTTAGCAACATCAGGAGGGTGGAAGGTTTCCCACAACTGCTCAAGACAGTGAACAGAAATAGAGACAAAAAAACAAACAAAAGCATGATGTGGTATCTAACATTTAATAATAATAATAATAATTTTTTATTTGTACCCCGCCCTCCCCGACCAGGGCCGGGCTCAGGGCAGCTAGCACCAAATATGAATTACAATAAAACGTACAATAAAACAACAACAAACAAACAGTTAATTAAAATACGGCTTAAAATACAGCTTAAAATACACCCTCATTTTAGTAGTAGCCCATAAATCAAGACCATAAAGGGAGGAAACATCAGATATTCACCCAAGCCAGCTATCCAATGCTGGTCCTACATGGGCCAGCAAAAAAGCCAAGGGAAAATTTATATACCAAATCCCATAAAAGGGATCAGAGTGAGTCTAAGCCAAAGGCCAGGGGGAACAGCTCAGTCTTGCAGGCCCTGCAGAAAGATGTCAAATCCTGCAGGGCCATACAGTGGTACCTCTGCCTCTAGCAATATCGCAAACCAGCACCATTCCATTGTGACCTGTGTGCAAAATCCCCGTCCACAGCTATTAGAAAACTAGTTCTGAAAGTTTGAGGAGCAATTTCCTTCTCTGTTACTAATAGATGGTTTGTTTTTTGTTTTGCATACAGCAATTTCAGGATTTTGGACTAAATTACCAAAACAGTGGATGCTTTGGATAGCAGCAAAAATTGTATATGGATAAACCCACCCACACACTGCTGCATACCTTAAATTAAAGAGTACAGTAAATCTATATTGTGCACTCTGATAACTCAGTAATCTCAAATACTTTCCCAAAAGCACACAGTTTATTATAATAACATCACTTCTGAAAGCTAAAGGTATTTTAAATGAAGCAAATAATGTTGGAACATGGCTGGTTCCAATCAGTAATGGCTGAAGATGAAAGTGGTGGTATGAAAGGTGATGCAGAATAGGAGGCTATGATGGCTTCATAGCTGGGCAGGTAAAAGGGGTGTCTACAGTTTTATTTTTCTAGAAAAAGAGGTGCTGGAACTCACCATGAATGCCTCCCTTATTCTCTTACAATGGCAATGGTGCCCACTTGAGAGGTGCCAGAAATGAGTTCCAGTGAGTTCCAGCTTTGGATGTCTAGTAGCTTCAACGTCTGGGGAGGAGGAAGATTTAGGAGATCACCATGGGGTGGTCTGTGTGTGAGGGGTGCTGCAGAAAAGAAGGCAGATCAGAGGCATGGATGTGAAGTTGAAAATGTGTGTAGAACAGGGCTGTAGAACAGAAGGGAGGTGTAGCTTCAGAAATGCAGCTAGAAAGGGGAAAAGACAGCTTAGTAGTTGCATGGGTGGGAATGGGAGACTCTAGGGGATGGATGTGGAGTAGGGACTGGCAAGAAGAGTGAGCAGGGGCACAGCCAAGAGTCATATATATGAATGATATACATCATGTATGCCCTCATATCTAGATTTACATAATCACCATGCTGCAACATGGTTGAAGTGAATTCCAAATAATGAATTGCTAATAAAAGTTTCCCAAGTTCAACCTCAATTATCAAATGAAGAGGCAAGAAAATATACTGCTTAAAACAACTACTGGAAACCTAATTTGCTTTCTCTAACAGAGCAAGAAATATCTCAAGAAGAGAAACTTTCCAACCAGAGGAAGGACAAGACAACCACATGCAGAATTGAGAATATATGCAGATTGGAAAAAACCTCAGGCCAGGAATAAGTGGGAGGGTTGAGAATCTTAATTCCTTCTTGACAAATCAAAGTGGAACTATTAACTTTCCAGGAAATAACAGCACACTGTATTCTGAAACTTTCAGCTCACACAACGAACATCTGCTCCAAACACTGATAGGAACAGGTGGGCAAATAACGTTGATGTGAATTATTCAAAACCAATTCAACCTGTGCTACTCTTGCAAATATCATGTGGGAGTGCTATAGAGGCAAGAACATTCATTTTCTATCAATGTAATTTATTTTACTGATTCACCTGGGACCACTTGATATGGAATGAGTGTCCTGCACAGACAGCACTTGCAGGTTGGAAAACAGCACAAGCCGCATATAGACTGTGGCGTGTGTGTTGTATGTCTATCTGATTGCACTGCCACTCCCTGAAAAACTGACAAATGACTTCCCTGCGCATGTGCAGACAGCAAAATCAGTGTGCACACAACTGCTGTGCAGGATGGTTACAGATGACGTACAAAGTCTTAAAACTTAGAACTGCTATCCCAGTAGGAAATTAAACATGTTTGAAGTGGCACTTATCTTCCCAGGGGAAACAAGATAAATAGGCAAAAGTTATAGAAGTAAGGGCTTTAGGTAACTAAAGAGCCAAACAAATAGTTCCATGAGGCCATGGGCCCTTTAGACTTGTCCCCCTGCCCGTAAAATCAATGTGGAAAGTTGCTTTTGAAACTGAGGTTTCAAGAACAGTTTACAACAGTCTCCTGTTCAAAGAAGGGAAAAGTCATATCTACCATTAGATATGCACACACTTCTGGTTGACTCTGAAGTAGCTCTTTAGACACTGGTTTAAAAACATTCCCTAGAAATGACTTGCTTGTCCACTATAGACCAGTGTTTCCTTTTTGTTTCTTTGGCTTGTGTTTTTTCTTATCCATTTTCTTTCTCTTCCGACTCTTTCCAATTTCGCCACACACACTACCCCTGTGTGCTCCTGTGGTGGGCCTACCTACCCACCTAAAACAAAATTAATCTATTACAATGGTTTCAAGGCTGAAGTTGGAATTTTATTCACCATATTAACATTCAGAGCTATTACAGATGCTAAAACAGAAAACTCTGCTTGTTTAATTTTCCCACTTCAAACTAATTAAAATTGTAACCCAGAATCAGTTTAATTAATTTTAGCGTATCTGGCAACATTACTGCAGTGGCCTGGGGGAGTGGTACATCTCTTTTGCCCCAAACTGAGCTAACAAATATTCCAAACAAAAGCAAAACCTTAATAATTTTGACTTCATTACTGACAACTCAATCCAAATGTCAATGGAATTTGCAAAGCTTAAAATCCTAATGGTAGTAAAGCTGAATAATTAGACTTAGGTCATAAGGACATCATGTTAGAACGGTAGATTCTAAATAATTAAGAACTAGTAAATAGAAAAACTGGAACATAGTTTAAAATGCAGTTGTGTGCACATCTACTCAGAAACATGCCCTGAGTTCAGTTAGATTTACTCCTAGGTTGGATCTAGACACATCAAAAAAAACGATTCAGTTAAACGTGTTGTAAACTTCATGCAGAGAAATCCTGTTGGCGAAAGACAGGAACCCACAGCACCATCTGGTGTCACAGTGTTATAACGCATATAGAGCGCTTTATCTTTACGAATGTAGCTGAGTCCCTAGGTAAGTGTGCTGGAATGCAGTTTCAGGCTAAAGTCACTGCTATCCAAAAGCATAAACTATTACAGTTTTATTGCAGATGCTGAGCATCAGCTTCTGCACCAACACAGTGTTGCCTAAACAATACTGAAGTTTGCTTTTTAAGCCTTACTTTATAGATAATTGATTAAGACCACCATTAGTAAAAAAATAAAAAATGTTTTATATTAGTGCAGGGAAGGCAAATATAAAGGGTGGTTTCAATATTAGCCATACCCACAGTAGACCCATTGAAGTCAATGTCTGTTGGTTTTAATGGACTGACTCTGAGTATGACTCAGTTGGCTATGTCCAGCAATGTTGCTTGTTGTATTTATATCTGATAATCCTGACTTTAAGACTTCAAAAGCACAAAGTTTTTAAAATTAATTTCCACATAATAAGGTATTCTCATATATTGATATTAAAATAAGATTTAAAGGGGGGGACCTCGCCTGTTTGAATAGTTTCAAATTTGAGAAACATGGTTGGTATTTGTTTATGAACTATATTCATATAAAAATGTTCCAGATTTTGAAATTTAAAAAAATAAAGCATGACAAATGTATTATTTCTAATATATATATTTCATTGCTTCAATATGAAGCAGAGTTAGAAGAGGTGAACGAGTTTATAGTGTGATGGGCCCAAGATGTTAGCATCAATATTCATATGCATCTATGGGAATATTTATGAAACCTAGAACATAGTTACTCATTAAATATGAATATTAGAGAAAATTACTTCCAAATGGTATTTAAATGGTATGTTACTCCAGCCAAGAAAAGCAAAATCAATTGCAGACATAGCACCTTTGCTGAAAACTTTAAAATGGGCAGATATTTTCCATATGTAGTACATCCAGGGGCGTAGGAAGGGGAGGCGGTGGGGGCCGACTACCCTGGGTGCCCCCACTGAGGGGGTGACATTTGGCATGCCGCCCACGACTCCCAAGCCTACCCCGAGCCATTGTGGTAAGGAGGGAGCTGTGCCACTTTGCCGGCAGCTTTCCCCCCTTCCTCATATGTTTTGACAGCTTGGGGGAGGCTTGGGAGTCACGGGCGGGCGACACACCGAATGTCCACCATGGGCGGCTCGCTCTGCCCCCGTGGGCAGCTTGCTCCGTCCCTGGCTGCAGGGCCTGCACGCCACTCTGGGCACCTGAGCGGCTATCCCGTGCCTGGGAGGGCACCCTCCATGCCATCCCCCCCTCGGGAGTGTGCCCGCCTTGGGCAGCGCAGGCATATGCACCGCCGCTGGGTACATCTATTCTTTAGCAAAAGCATATTGGAGGGAAATTATATATGTCACTAGAAAATATTTTAGGTTGTCTGATACCCTTGGACCCACTGTAATAATGTGACATAGACTGCAAAACCAGAGAACTAAGTTCGTATACAATACCTGTTGCAGTGATATATCCAATATTAGTGTGTTAAGAAAATGTAAGATCAATATTAAAATGAAAATAGAAGAAGAGGAGGAGTTTGGATTTGATATCCCGCCTTTCACTCCCCTTCAGGATTCTCAAAGCGGCTAACATTCTCCTTTCCCTTTCTCCCCCACAACAAACACTCTGTGAGGTGAGTGAGGCTGAGAGACTGCAAAGAAGTGTGACTAGCCCAAGGTCACCCAGCAGCTGCATGTGGAGGAGCAGGGACGCGAACCCGGTTCCCCAGATTACGAGACTACCACTCTTAACCACTACACCACACTGGCTCTAGGTACTAAACAAGGATGTCCTTTCTCACCGTTGTTTTTTACTCATGCAATGGAGCCTCTAGCAACAGCAGTGAGGGAGGATTCAGAAACTGAGGGTTATGAAGTTTCTGGTGCACAACATAAAAATCAGTTTATTTGCAGATAATAGAGTTCTTTTGATTTCAGATCCAATCTCATCTATCACTAAGATTAAAACATTATTAACTCAGTACGAACATCTCTCTGGTTTCTCAGTCAGCTACTTTAAATCTGAATCCCTTTTTATAAATGTAGGAAAATGATATGTCTAAACTTATGATATGTGCCAAATCAATTAAATATTTAGCAATTCACATTTCCAATTTTTTCATACATTATATCACATGAATTATAATCCAAGTATACAGAAATTATGACCATACTTTTTATTATTAATTTTTATTGAGAATATTTCAATTGAACAGAATATGGGGGGGGATACAGTAAAGAAAAAGAAAAGAAAAGAAAAGGCATATTACATCACTATATAGGCAAACAACAAAAATTCCATATGTTTGTCTGGTATGTAAGTATGTAAATGTTATTATTATTCAAATAGATAGATGGTTACAGTGCTACCTCGGGTTACATACGCTTCAAGTTACAGGCGCTTCAGGTTACAGACTCCGCTAACCCAGAAATAGTACCTCAGGTTAAGAACTTTGCTTCAGGATGAGAACAGAAATCGTGCAGCGGTGGCATGGCAGCAGCGGGAGGCCCCATTAGCTAAAATGGTACCGCAGGTTAAGAACAGTTTCAGGTTAAGAACAGACCTCCGGAACAAATTAAGTACTTAACCCGAGGTACTCTGTATTTATAACCTACTAAATTTTTTATAAACATTTTCCAAATATCGTTATACTTGTCCAGACAAAGTTTATGTAAAATAAACTCCACTGTCTATTTTATGTAGTAATCTGCAACAAATGTTTGAGCCCCATGCTGAAGGAGTGGTCAGATTGTTCTGATTCCCAAAGGCTTTCCTTTTTATTGAATAGCTGCAGGCATGATAGCATGGAGGAAGTAGCAGACTGAAACTACGTTGTCATAAGACTGGCTCTTCTTCATCCTGCTAGGCCTGTATGGTTTTCTCCCACAGTATCTCCTCCTATGAACAGATGCCAAACTTTGTTTGTTGACTTTTATACAGTTTTCTCTATATGCTAATAAAGGTTGATTGACTGATGTAAAATAAAAAATAAAATTTCAGAGTGGTTTCAAAATGAAATGTACATGCATTTTTAAAAAATCTTCAGTTGAAGGGGCTAGCAGAAGTCTCAAGCAATGTCCATTTCAACTGAATGTAACAGCAAGTCACATCTTCACTTAATCACTGGGAAATGAGGATGCTATCACCTAAACCATGAATAACTTGAAATAAAAACCCCATGAACACAAACCTTAGCTCACGGAGGAGGAGTGGATGATAAAATTATCAACTTCCTAATCATTAATGCTGTTAATTGCATTGGATGTCGACTGGGTGCTTCTTGATATGTGTGTTTATTTTCTCCCTAATCTTTAGTCCCATTCTCATACCCGAAAGTTGTTCGCATTGTAACAGCAGGTGGTAATAAGGATCTTAGATTCAGCTGGCAAAAAGCATAATGTGTGATGGCATAACTGCGTCACTTTCCGTATAAACTGGCAGCACAATCCTGGACTGTGCAGCTGTAACCAGCTCTAGTGTGACTTGCCCAGTTTCCAAGCATAAAAAGTTACCTGATTTAAGCCGTTATAGCTAGTGTGTGCTATACAGTAATGTCCAATTGGCCACATGCCTCTGCCTCTACAGCATGGCAGTGTGTATACCAAAGCAGCCCCCTGGCTCTTTAGCAGAATGGATTGGAAAGCATGTCTCAGTAAATGCATTGGGTACTTGGAGATGTCACTCTTCAAATTCAGTCACTAAAATTACAGACGGCACATTCCAAGGCTGAAGAGATGGTGGGGCAATGCCAGACTTAGGACAGCTGGCCCCTCATCATCCCTCCTGTTTCGGAAGGGGAGACAATCAATCAAATAATAGCTTCTGAGTGACTATTGTGACATCAGCCTTGTACGAGTTTGCCTTGAAGTAATCTAAATAGAGAAAGTTCTGAAATACAACAGTATAAGGACAAGTTGACAGATATGAAGGAAGCAGGAACACAAGTCCCCCACTGGGAAGTGGAAGAGTGGTAAAGACTGCAGACAGGGATAGGAGCAGGATGCGCACCTGAAAGCAGCCCCTTTCTTCCCCATGTCCAAACCCTTCATCAGGCTGCTTCTGGGGAGTCAGAAGCTGTGAGCAAATCCTGCTTCTGTTACTGGGCTCAGGCAGCAAGCATTCCCTCAGGAACTGCCTCATTGCTCTCCCTGGCCTTCCTGATCTTCCTCAACCAGCATTCAGTTTCTCTGTCTGCTTCCACACACAGAATCTTATTGACTTTACAAGGAGAACAGAGCATTACATACTTCCCATGCTCAGAAGAAACTGCAAACAATAACCAAGAAAGTCTAACTGAAACCCAAATTGACTTTCCCAAGTCCCAGATCTATTTAATTTCTGTGTAACATAAATTTATCACACATTTTTGTTTAAACCTAGAGTTTCCAGTGAACCAATTTTTTTAAGCATGGCAGGATCCAGTCCACCTTCTCTTTGACATTCATTCCATTGCATTTGGGGGATGAAAGTTGCTCTCTTGGAAAATGTTATAAAGATTACTATCGAGGCTGGTTTTATTCACTTTTTGTGTCAGTGGTCTGGAAAAAAAATATGTAGCAAGGTGATAAAGAAAAGGATAATGGCACAAAGTGGAGGGGCGAATCATTGTCAATTTAAGAGGCAATGGTAATAAACTTCAAAATGATTTGGGCCATGCAGGAGTAGGCTGGTAAATGATTTATGTGGTTCACTGGAGAAAAATGGAAGGTGATGATTTAGGATATAGTGTTTGTCACAGGATTGGTTTAGCAAAAGTTTGCTGGTGAAAAGGACAAAAGTCACTGCACACAGTTCTCAAAATGCATAGAAATAACCACTGCTTTGCTTTAAAACAATGCCTCCCTCTTTTGATTTTTGGTGCATGCAGTAAGTTATGCAAAAGCTTGATCCATAAAACAGTTGAGCCATCATGTTGCACTTAAGGAACTTTGGGGCTACAACAAAAAGTGGAACTTCTCAGAATAAAAATATGTATATTATATTGTTTGCAATTCAGGATAAATATGCCTTTCTACCATGTGTATCCATGGGCTGGGTAGCCACTGTGTATATCATTTGCCAAGTCTAATATTCAAGACAAAGGAACTACCCTATCCTAATATGCACACATTTTCCTCTATGGAGATGACATCCATGAAGGGAAGTTAATGAAAAAAACAGCTCTTAATCTCTGGATACAACCAGTTCAACTATAAGTATACCAACCCAAGTAGATCACAGCATCACTCTGTATTCATTGGATAAACTATACATAAGCACAAGAGTCTAATATGAAGCCTTATAAATCAATTAAACCATCTGACCTTCCTCAAATACAAAGAAATTTGGGTCCCATACCAGCAGTTAAGTGGCACATATAAAGATACTGTATTGTTGAACTTATGAACTGGTTTCTGAATGAAATTTGCTGCTGTTCAATATAATACTTCACAAGAAAGCACTTATTTCTGTGCTGAATCTGGCCATTTCTGCAACTGCAGATAAAACTAGAGATATCCTGGGAGGAAAACCACTGAGGGCTCAAAAAGTCCACTACTGCAAAACCACTTCAGTTTATTTGGAGAAAATATGTTTTATTGGTGGTGGTAAAGGAAGTGACTTTTTGGAGAAGACAGCTAAATCACTGTGCTAAACCTGGCATAAAACATTTTATAGACAAGGGGCGTCCTGCCAGCCATGTACATAGTTACAAATGCTTGTTTTATTGCTTTTCATTTAAATATGTTATCCTTTCCTACAACAAAATGGTGCTTATTTCCAAGTCAATGTCTTTAGCATTAAGGCAGCAGAACCAAACTCCATTTTATTCCTGAAGTCATGCTACTGCTTTGCTTAGGTGAGCATAAAATATCTAAACATGCTCATAATATTTCTATTTTTATCAGGGTTGGTCAACTGTTTCTTTTGGCTTTTTGTTGTTACATAATTTACAACTGCTTGTGATATGTAAGAAGAGAAATGTTAATTACATGTTTCACAAGTTAATCAATGCTGTCTAAAAAAAGAGCCCACTTTGATGGGGGTTTTTTTTAAAAAAAACCATTAAGTGCAAGGTCCAAGGTGTAGGTGCATCTGCCACAGGGTCATTAAGTTGGCCTACAATCAGTTTTAAGCTAATACATTAATTCAATTGGGCTGAAAAGACAAGGAACATGATTCTGTGATTCACAACTATTTAAATCAGCATCCTTGAACTGAAGCAAGTTAACAACAACCAGCTAAATTCAAAGGGACTAGAACAGTTTAAATGTGTATAAGGCAACTGTAGGTGATTTGTGGATCACACTGTAAAACCCTACCAGCCACACACAAACAAAAAATACAAAAATGGGAGGAAGACCTGTGAGTGATGCGTAAATCAATCTCCAGATCCACTGACATGATAATTAATCCCACCCTGTCAAGGGTCAAATTCCCACAGCATGACATTTTTGATCACTGAGACTTCAAAGCATATCTTTTTGAGGCTAAACATCAAACCAAAAGCAGGACTTTAAATCATTAACAGCATTGATTGGCTGGGGGGGGGCATTTTGAACCACTGAGTAAAACAAATTGTGCAATTGCAGGGGCTCAAGAACCAACGAAACTATGCAAAAACGTACTGAATTAGGATGGATGTCGGAAGACTTGTCGTATGTTTCACCTGAGCCACAGACCTCCAACTATATCCCCAACAATATGCATGGAAATAAGAAACCCACTTTACATGCAGATCTGCCAGCTCTCCTTATTTTTATACTTATCTCCAGAATTTATATATATCACCTTTTTGTCACGCAGTGTATCTGGCAGAACACCATGGGAGAAATACTAAATTTGAGAACTAACCTCTCGTGCTCCCACTTGAAAAACTGATTTCTCAGCTTCATCTTCGTTCTGGACAATTTCACCGTCACCAGAGTATCCAAATCCATCCGTTTATCAATTAGAGCAGAACTAAACTGAGCTCGTTAGATCAAAGTGAAGACTTTTGAAATGCTGTTCAGCTTGCTGGTATTGCTGCACCTTGATATGACCACACTACAACTTTCCCTGACCTACGTACCTTTCTACTGACTGTCATTTGCCTGGATCAGTGGATATGAAATTTGGTCACATCACATATTTTGTATTAAGAAACCGTACCAGGGGAGAGAAGAAGTGATATAGAGCTTCTGTTTTAGATAGTTAGCGTGCATCTGCAGTGATTTCTGGTTCTTAGATAGTGTTGCCCTCATATTTGGAGGGGGACCTTTCTGAGACCCCCATATGCTGCTGTTGTGGGGTGCCTCAGATGCTGAAAGCCTAGTGCTTCTCAGCTCTGCAGTGGGGCTAGGCTACCCAGTTCTATCCCATGCCAATTGTGGTATTTCATAGTATTTCACCTTTTGTCACTGGGAGCAGTATCTTGGCATATTCCAAGCATGGCCTGTTGTATGGCCCCCCGACAGAATTTCTAAATAGCTGCTCAATTTGTATTTGGTGGGGTTGGTAAAAGGGAGACCCCTAAGGACATATTTCAGTCTGCTGTGAATCCCACACAGTCCTGAAGAAGCTCTGCAAAAAGGAGACTATTAGCATTTAACTATTGTAACATATTTTGACCCTAAATTTATTCTTGACCATGTTCAAGATTTATCACAGAAAAGGAAACATCCTAAAAACGTTGATCTGATAGCAAACAAAAAAGGCCTGTCACATGCACAGTATTCAAGATGCAGCTTTGTTCAGACATATTAAGCAAGCACAGCATGCACATGAAAGTACCTTCTCCCTATGATGTACATACACTTATGAATAAACATTTTTATTCTTGGCATGGGCACAATGATGCCAAAACATTTGAAGGCACGATTAAGTATCTGCAGGCATGCATCGTGGATTTGCAGCATCTGCAGAATTAATCACGGGGAGCACAAATAAGACTGAGAAGCTTACTGCCTCAAACAGATTTTTAAGAAGACTTCTTTATGCTTACTCTCCTACCGTGCTACATCAGGTTGGGGAATGGTGGGATGACCTAGGAATAGAGATTAAAGAACCAGCTTTTAGCTGTTCCTTGTCAGTTTCACTAATGCTCACAGTTCTGCCCCATTTTTTATTTTTATTTTGTGTGTGTGTGTGTGTTTTCTAAAAGAGCATGCACAAAAATATACACACAAATTGTATGCATTTTGAACACATTTTTCACATAAAATACATGGTTTTGTGTACACTTTTGGGGACTGAAACTGCATCGTGAAATGAGGAACAGTGCATAATGTGACTGACAGCAAGCCTGCGCATGTCATATTGGGTCCGCAAAAAAGTGGACCAAATGACCTGTCCATGCTGATCCCTACCCAGGAAGCCAAAGTGGAATGGAGCTGGGAACAAATCTGAAGCCAATACACGTGAGTTTTAAAAGGACTAAGCAATAGGAAATTTGAGTGGGGCACTGAAAAAGGGTTCAGACAGAAGCTGTAGAATGACTGCTTCTATGATTACTGTCTTGTAAAGAATAAAAATGAAGATCTGCCATTTTAGCATCACAACTCTAGATGTAGGGGACTTCAGTTTTCCTTACGCTTTGATCTTTGGCATGTCCTCATGATTTGTGATGTGCACCAAATAGGTCTTAGAGACAAGCCCATAGTTAGTCCCAACAATGTAAACTATAGAAATAACACTGCCGCACAGCTTTTTAGGCCCTCTTCTTCCCTTTGGCAAATGTTGAAATGGCGACAAGATCGCACTGGCCTATTTATTCTGAATGTTTGTAAGTGATGCCAATAAAGGTTTGATGATGATGATGATTTTAGGCTCTAATTAGTGTCACTTAGCTGTTCATTATGCATTTCCAGAGTAGTCTTTGATGCAGAGCAATGTGGCATGCGCTAGCAGGACAATATTCACCCAGCTGGTTTTGCCATCCGCTATCATGTTATGAAATAATAATAATAGTAATCCTATTATTCATAAATACAAAAACAACAGACTGAGAAACAGCTCTACATAGACGCTAGAGTGATAAATTGACCATTTACTTAAAAAAAAAAAAAATCTATCCAGCAGGTATAGCTATTGTGTACTGGTGCCATCTTGTGGTGGAGAGACAAGAGACTAACAATTTTATACATACCTGTTCAGAAGTAAGTTCCAATAGACTTACTGTGTGTGTATGGACTGCAGCCTAAAGGCTCTACTGCCATCAAACATGAAAGAAAGAACTGAAGTCCTGTTCCTACTCTCTAGTTTTTAGTGGATGTTCATATCACTTGACCACTGGTTTCTAATGTCAAGTATTCCACAAAACCCATGTATAGTCATGGTCCTTTTTAAATGCATCACAATGGGAAAGAGATGTGGGCCTTTAATTGTCACAGTGATAGCAAATGTGCTCACTAGGCCTACAACATATGCATTCTTCACTTGGCACCTCCTGTACTGCTGTGCAGTCAAAGCCACATTGACACACATTTACTATTCTCTTTTATGTATGGCGTATTTTAGTTGTTGTTTGATCTCATTTTCAGCTATCTCAGTTACGGCTTAAAGCCAGTAACTGTTCATTTTAATGTTTACTACTCACATATGAGCGCTGTTCGCTGTAACTGCTTGCTTATGTTGGTCTGACTCCATTCTCAGTTGATTAACTTTAATTAGCATAACTCTCTATTTAATGTACAAAATTAATGCTTTAAATAATCTATATTTTAATCACACAGCTGATCATGTATATTTTGATTGGTCCAGGGGCTAGTGCTAGTTACTGGCAATGCCACACGTTCAGGGTGTGCTGGCACCAACATGTTCAGGGTGTGCTTGCACCAACATTTTGAAATTCTGCCCCTTTGGCAATTAGACAGGTGTCTTCTACTCTGTGTTGTAGACACATGTTGAAAAACCTCTCCTTTTAATCAGGTCCCCAGCAGAATTGTTGCTTTTAGTTTGCAACCATTACTATCTATAACACAATATTTCTATGATTTCTTTATATCTTATGTATTTTTATATGATCCAGTTCACTGCTTAGATGTATATTGAGTGGTTTATAATTTTTTTAAAATAAATACATAAGAGTTTATCTCTGAAAAACATGTTTATGTGTTCTTCTTATGTATGTCTTACTTAACAACTAACAAGGATTAACCACTCCCATATCTTGAAGGATGTTGCTCTGTTGAAACAGACTGGTGTTTACTCTTGCCTACAAAGAGCGGCACAGAGTATTTTTCCTTTTCTGTGTAATATGTGCTATAATTAGTGATAAGCATAAAAAGGAGAGGGGGAGAAAATTCAACTAATGACATGTGACAGAACTTCCTTTCCCACCCCATTCCAGTACACCCTACTTGTCCACTGCAGCCAAGGTGCCCATAATGATCCACTGACAGTTCTGTGCTTGGTTGCCTTGCTTCCACCTGAGCTGAATTTCTGATTCACGTCAGAGGCACTTTTTCCAGTGCAACTAAAATCTGCACATTACTAGCCAAGCAGAACCACCAGCAACATGGTGCATCTTGCCTTTGGCTCCTACATGGCAGCTATTGTGACAGTTGCTTCATTCATAGGAGAAGACATGACAAAGATAAATTTGGAAAACTCACCCACTGTAGCACCAGCCTGTCCTTCTCATCTGCTACTCCAGAAGGCTTTTAACAGTAATTCAGAGCGAGGCAAAAAGGTCGGGTTTCTGTATATATAGATATAATGCCTTTCAGAAATAGGCTAGTTTGCTACACACACACAAACCATATATATCTATTCTGGTTAATATTTTCTTCCTGAGGATTTAAATTGGCAATGGTTTTTATTAATTGCTTGTGGGTACCTTTTATTGCATATAAATTTTAAAATGCCAGTATGGGAATCTGTCATACAACAGACTAGCTATAGCCACACTTGAAATTCTTGATGATCAGCCTCCAGGCACACCACTCATTTTGCTACTTATACCTTCATTATCAGTTGACTCATTAATCATAACCTTCACTTGTAAGGCAGAGTGAATGGCCAGAGGCAGCACTTAAGAAGCTAGAAATCTCATGCTTATTTTGTTCAAACACAGAATTATAAAGAAACATCCATCCCATCACTACTATATATTGATTTCTTTAAAAAGGATCACCACCAATTTTAAATATATATATTAAGACCAATTGATCCATTACTTTTATGGTTATTAAATCCCAATTCCATTTAGTTCAAGTGTTAAGAGTAGGAGACATCATAAGCAAGCTACTCAAAAGAAGGAGGGAAGGTGCCTTATTTATAAATGATATACTCCGAATTCAAAATAGATGCTGTGAAAAGGCATATGCAATAATATCACTCCTGCAACCCTGACAGACCTATACTGAGGCAGTCTCAAAATAATAGCAATTGCCAGTCAATATGAATAAGTACCTTAGAGCTAAAGCAAGCACATAGATTCTACTCCTGTCAGTTTAAACTTTATTCACATTCATGTAGTGCAAAGCCCTAAAACTTGAATAGGTGATAGCACATAAATTACTAGGTGTCTGCTTAGAGAAAGCTTCTTCCAGCCCATTTCTACATATGTTTATCCAGAAATAAGTTGCACTGACTTCCACTAAGATTCCTCCCTAATACATCTGCATAGAATAAAGAGTTCTAGCACATAAAACATATGTCTGGATCACTTTTAGCAAATTTTGACTCATATGTTTACAAAAGCTCTGGAATGACTAACAATTGTGCCATTTAACCTGTTAGTCCCAGATCCATGGAAGGAAGTTCTTTACAGTCTGCAAGTTCATACATATTCAGTGTCACTCTCTTTGTGATGTTTTCTCTCAACTTCCAATGCTGTACCCTTAACAAAAAAGAATTCCAAGGTCAAGCCTCGATGCCAATTAAGGTTTGTTCATAGGATTTTTCTAAATTTTGGGGATTTTTATTGAGAGTTCTTTCAAGGAAGCCAGTGGACAGCTGGTTAACCAACAATAACACAAAATGAAGAAATGGACATTGGTTTCTAGATTGATTGCTAAATATTTAATTGTCTTATCTCTGTTCTGCACAAACTGCAAACATTTATATTGCAGCCACAAGTTTCCCCAGGAGAAGTCATAGCCAGAGACTTGTGGTTTTCATATTTATCCATGACATGCAATGCAAGTTCACAATGTCTGCATACATACTTCACAGCTTCAAAACCATGGCTTTAGGAAGCTGTGCACATCGCGAATCTAGCAAACAGTGCAGAATTTTAGTATCTTGAGAAACTCACACATTTCTAACCCCTACGGGAAAAAAGCTTGAGAGTACGTAGGCTTTAAAAATAACAATAATAACCCTCCCTTCCCGTTCAACACAAATGATTTTCCAAACTGGACCCACTCTGGAGCTTTCTTCCATCTTTTAAAAAGCTGCTAGGATGATTGATGCTGAGCTGTACACAAACACTTAGGATTGCTGCCTTTTTTCTGACACCTGCCTCCCAGGATTTCGCTCATAGCCTGTGGCCAAAGTGCTCCGTGGAGGAACAGAGCGAGAGGCATAGCAACTGCTTTCTCACTTGGTGCTTCAGGGGCATTTAAACTTTAAAGCGTAAAAGCAGAGGAACATTCTCCAGATAAAGACTGGGTTGCCTCCTAGTTGCCTCCCGTTTTCCTGACAAACTAGCTGTGTGCCATTAACTGGTGAGTGTGAGGCAGAAAAGCAGCTGTGCCTCCTTCTGGCATGGATGCCATGGGGAAGTAGCTGGCCGATCCCCTCCTGCAAGGATCCTAACTGCCCTCAAGGCAGCTGTGGATGCCCTGCCCTCCTGGCCTGGCCCTTTTCACTTGCTCCTCTCCCAGATCAGATTGACGCGGACCACTGCTGAGGCTGGCTGTTAACTTTGAAAACTTGTGCCTGGGCTTGCTTTTCTCTTCTCATAACATGTATTTTTAGGTTGCGAAGCACACTACTTCCCTCAACAAATTCTAGGCACTGCAGTTTTCCCCTAACAGGGTGACAATTTGCTGCAACCCTTAACAAACTACAGTGCCCAGATTCTTTTGAGGGAAGTAATATACAGTGGTACCTCAGGTTACATACGCTTAAGGTTACAGACTCCACTAACCCAGAAATATTACCTCGGGTTAAGAACTTTGCTTCAGGATGAGAACAGAAATTGTGCTCCGGCGGCATGGCAGCAGCAGGAGGCCCCCTTAGCTAAAGTGGTGCTTCAGGTTAAAAACAGTTTCAGGTTAAGAACGGACCTCTGGAACGAATTAAGTACTTAACCTGAGGTACCACTGTACTTCAGGCATTCTTTAAAGATATAGTATATATGGTCTGCCTCACTGCAGACCAACAAAACTAAGTCTGCGAGAATCAACAGGCTTCAATTCTTGCCACACCTGAAGTTTACCTGACTCATTGCTATTTTTCTAGAAAAAGAGATGCCAGAACTCACCATGAGCACCTCCTTTGTTCTCTTAGAATAGCAATGGTGCCCACTGAGAGGTGCAGGAACTGAGTTCTGGCGAGTTCCTGCTGGAAAAAAATCCCTGACCTGACTCAATTTACAAAACAATAAACTTGATTTGTCTATGCATCCACTCCAAACTTCCATGCCTGTTAAATAATACTGGCTGCTACAGAGTTTATTAAGCTATGCCACAGGAGACAGAAACGTGGAGCACAAACATACTTCTCACTGCAATTCTTACAACTGATCTCAAAATGGCCGCTGTCCCATGAGCTACCTTGCTGCACATACCCACTCACATAACATGTTGGTTTCTACTGTCATTACACCAGTTATCAAGGAAATAAATAAAATATTTACCAATATTTAGCCTGCATAGAGAAGAAGATCATGCAGGGCCCACTATAGTGCTATACTCACCAACTAGTCAAGGCAACCAGTACTTCCTGTTTCCAGCAAAATGTGCCTGTGCAGCTGATTGGTTGTCCCTTGTGCCTATCACAAAGTCAAATGTCACCTCCCAAAATTATGCCACATCTGCCAATTTTCAGCTCCTGAAATTAGTGTCTCCCTCCCTTCCCTGTCCTGCATCTACATGTGTCGCCTGCAATTTGCAAATTAACAGTCCCACAGGTGGAGATGTCTGAATTTAATAGAGGTTGCTGCCCCTTGCTACAGAGCAGAATAAAAGAACACACATCAGCACGTCAAAAGCCACATAATGCAAGGACTGGCCCCACTACAGCAAATAGTTCATTCTGCAAAAGCTGCATTAGTGGCACTCAGCAGGCTAAGCAGTTATTTAAAAGATTAATATTCACATCTGCAGACTATGAAGTTGTCATTATCACACAGTTTTTTCCTATGGAGTTACAAGTTCTGTTGAGTCTAAGCAGTTCTCCATTCCTCAGCTGTTATGCATTTTTATTGTTCTGTGGGAACAAGCACACATACACACATTTCTCTGTAAATCACCACTTCATATAAATTGAGGCCATTAAGCTAATCTCCTGCTCATCATGAAACCTTTTCCTGTTTGATGGCCTATATTATTTTTATATGATATCATCAAGCAAATTATGTATTTTTAATCAGCTTGGTGGGTTTTTTTTCCTTTTTTTGATAGAATTTGATATTCCAGACTTGAAAGCAGGAGCAAACCCTGTGTTACAATGATGCTACAGTACCCAATTTCCTCAGGAATCGTGTGTTCTAATGACAAGACTGTGTTTATACATAACCACTTGGTTTGACAATACCTTTTTGCAGTCTCCTTTTCTCTCCTCAGTTGTCTTGAGCATGTGCAACAGGTATAGCTCCTGCTCATTTTAACTCCAATGCAGCCCCTCCAGATGTTGCTGAACTACAACTCCCATCATGCCTGACCATTAGCCATATTGGCTGGTGCTGACAAAAAAAAATAGTCCAACATCTGGAGGGCCACAGGTTCTGCCCCACCCCCATTTTCGATGGCAAAGCAGAAATTGCAACAGTTTAAGTTTTGGAAGCCTCATCTGTTGAACCTCTGGGTTCAGAGGAGAAGATGGTGAAATGCAAACAGGGGACACAGAAAGGGCTGAACTCCTCAATGCCTTCTTTGCCTCAGTCTTCTCCGATAAAGAAAATAATGCCCGACCTGAAGAATCTGGAGCAAATGATTCAGCAGAGGAAACACAGCCCAGAATAACTAAGGAGACAGTACAATAATACTTGGCTAGTTTAGATGTATTCAAGTCTCCAGGGCCAGATGAACTGCATCCAAGAGTATTAAAAGAACTGGCAGATGTGATCTCAGAACCACTGGCAGTCATCTTTGAGAATTCCTGGAGAACAGGCGAAGTCCCGGCAGACTGGAGGAGGGCAAATGTTGTCCCTATTTTCAAAAAGGGGAAAAGAGAGGACCCAAATAATTACCGCCCAGTCAGTCTGACATCAATACCAGGGAAGATTCTGGAGCAGATCATTAAGCAAACAGTCTGTGAGCACCTAGAAAGGAATGCTGTGATCACCAATAGTCAGCATGGATTTCTGAAAAATAAGTCATGTCAGACTAACATGATCTCGTTTTTTGACAGAATTACAAGCCTGGTAGATGAAGGGAACGCAGTGGATGTAGTCTACCTTGATTTCAGCAAGGCATTTGACAAGGTGCCCCATGATATTCTTGTAAAGAAGCGGGTCCAAAGCGGTCTTGACTATGCTACCACTCAGTGGATTTGTAACTGGCTGACTGACCGAACCCAAAGGGTGCTCATCAATGGTTCCTCTTCATCCTGGAGAAGAGTGACTAGTGGGGTGCCACAGGGTTCTGTCTTGGGCCCGGTCTTATTCAACATCTTTATCAACGACTTGGATGATGGACTCAAGGGCATCCTGATCAAATTTGCAGATGACACCAAACTGGGAGGGGTGGCTAACACCCCAGAGGACAGGATCACACTTCAAAACGACCTTGACAGATTAGAGAACTGGGCCAAAACAAACACGATGAATTTTAACAGGGAGAAATGTAAAGTATTGCACTTGGGCAAAACAAATGAGAGGCACAAATACAAGATGGGTGACACCTGGCTTGAGAGCAGTACATGTGAAAAGGATCTAGGAGTCTTGGTTGACCACAAACTTGACATGAGCCAACAGTGTGACGCGGCAGCTAAAAAAGCCAATGCAATTCTGGGCTGCATCAATAGGAGTATAGTATCTAGATCAAGGGAAGTAATAGTGCCACTGTATTCTGCTCTGGTCAGACCTCACCTGGAGAACTGTGTCCAGTTCTGGGCACCACAGTTCAAGAAGGACACTGACAAACTGGAACGTGTCCAGAGGAGGGCAACCAAAATGGTCAAAGGCCTGGAAACGATGCCTTATGAGGAACGGCTAAGGGAGCTGGGCACGTTTAGCCTGGAGAAGAGGAGGTTAAGGGGTGATATGATAGCCATGTTCAAATATATAAAAGGATGTCACATAGAGGAGGGAGAAAGGTTGTTTTCTGCTGCTCCAGAGAAGCGGACACGGAGCAATGGATCCAAACTACAAGAAAGAAGATTCCACCTAAACATTAGGAAGAACTTCCTGACAGTAAGAGCTGTTCGACAGTGGAATTTGCTGCCAAGGAGTGTGGTGGAGTCTCCTTCTTTGGAGGTCTTTAAGCAGAGGCTTGACAACCATATGTCAGGAGTGCTCTGATGGTGTTTCCTGCTTGGCAGGGGGTTGGACTCGATGGCCCTTGTGGTCTCTTCCAACTCTATGATTCTATGATTCTATGGGTTATCATAAAGCTATTTAAGGTTACAGAAGCCTGACCAGAAAAAGGCAGCGACACTAATCCATACTTATCTTTTGCCTCACACTTTCTAGGCACAAGTCTGCACTTTAAAGCTTCATGTCTGAGCACTTAATGTTATTTTTGGTCTGCCACTCACCCCAGGAAAACTCACTCTTTACTGTCAAATTGGAACAAATGACAATTTGGGTTTTCTGTGGATTACCATTTGCTCCAGTTCAATGGTAAAGAGTGGGGTTGCTGTTTTTTACTTTTGGCAGGGAAAACACTAGGGGCAGGGGGAGCACTCAGACATGGTCAATGCTTTTTTTCTGGGGGGGACGCAGGGGGATGCATACCCCTAAACATTTTGTGAATCTAAGTTTGGCCTTATTGAGGGGCAGTATTTCAATATGAGTAGGAAAACGAGAGTACCCCTAAACATTTTTTTAGAAAAAAAGCACTGGACATGGTGCTTTAAATTAAGTTTGGATGAGCCCTAACTCTGCCTCCTAGGAACACCAAGGCCATAGCAATATGATTAGAGTGATGGAAAACTATACTGTTGCTTCAAAGCTTTTAAAGAGGCAGAAGGCCCACCCATCTTCTGTAATGCAGCCATTTTCTGTCAAGAGCTTGAATAAAATCAGTTCCTAACAGAGGGATAACTAGCTCTGTCATGGCTGGTTCCAAATTTTATGGGAATTCCTCATTTATTAGAGGGCTTAGAGCAGTCTATCTGCTCTAAGCCATCTGGGGTTGATGAGAGACATAGCCCAAAACATCTGGAGGACTCCATGCTGAGGAAAGAAGCAGCTCTTAAACTGAGTTTGCCCATCACTCTTTAAAAATCCCATTCAACGACACAGAATCATTTAGGAAGTCACTTTCCACTGCTAAGGTGCTTTTCATTATGTTGAGTGTTCAATGCTGGTCAACAAATATTATGCACTGTAGTGTATTTGGAATAGAGAATGGCAATGCAGAGGTATGATATTGCTCCTGGCAACAGAAAACATTTCCAGGACACTGAGATTGCAATGAAATGTTATCAAATTATTGCTGCAATTGCCCTTGTTCATGGATGAGCAATGGGTCGAGACCAATACCCAAGAGGCCAACAGCCTGAGGGAGTAGAACAAAAGCATGTGGAAGTCAGTTCTTAATGCCCCAGAGTTGAAGAACAAAAGGAGTAGATGGAGCACTTGCAGCCAGTCCTTAGCTTTGAATGCCAGGATGGAAAGCCTTCCTAGGTCACATCAGCTATCAAATGCAAGCTATATTAAAAGAAAAAGAGTGGTAACCCCAAAGAACATTTGAGGTTTCCCTGGCTGGAAACGGGTCCCCAAGGAGGTGACAAATGCTCAAAAGGAATCTGACACAAGGCAGAAAACCACCTTTTTTTAATGGCAAGGGATACTCTGATTGTCCAGGGATTTGCTCTAATGACAGTTTACTTTCCTTTAGCAAAAACAAACATGTCAAGCAACTCCAATGAGGCAAAAGGCTGCAATGCAGAAAGAATTCAGCTACCAGAAAGGGAAGGCACAAAAATTCCTCAAACCAGAAGGCAGCCTAAAGTCACTTCCAGAAAAAGAATATACAGTATTGTCCTGGTTTGATTTCACAGTTTTCATTATATGTTACCATCAAGTGGTTGTTACCCCAATCATTCCTGTAGTTTTCCATCACTTTTCTCACTGCGGAAGGTCCAGGTGATTTGTTGCCATTTGCTCCATTTAGCCGGTGTTGTTCTTCACAACAGCGCAACTGTCTGGAAGGGCCCTAACTTTTTAATACTTTGTTCTCCCTCCACTACATCAGGCTTGATAAGTGTTTTCTTATGGTCTTACAGGTGTGTTTGTATTCTTTTAAAAAGCCCTGCCTGTTCTTCCAACTCGAGGAGATAATGAATTAAAATTTACCTTTGGGGTTGGTGGAGTGAACAGTGCTGTGGAGAATAGCTGCAACAATATTCAACTTCCAAAGGGAATTACCCACTCATTTAGGTTGCAAGCCTAGACACTTACCTGGGAGCAAGTCTCATTGAACAAAATAGGGTTTACTTTCAAGTAAACATGCGTGAGATTGCTGTGTTACTGTGCTGGTGCTAACTGGGAAATATGGCACTGTGGTCTGTGTTGTAAGTACTGTAGAATGAGTAGTTTTCAAATTGTAGAACAAGTAATGTTTGAGTAAACACTTAAAAAAACAACCACACACACACATACATTATTCTGATAAAAAGAGCCCTGCTGGATCAGGCCAGCGGCCCATCTAGCCCAGCATCCTGTTCTCACAATTGCCAACCAGATGCCAACAAGAACCCCGCAAGCAGAAAAACAGCATTCTCCCTATCTGTGATTCCCAGCAACTGTTTTTTAAAAAAACAGAGATTGTGGTGAGGAAGAGTACCAAGCGGCAACTTGGCTCCCTCAGCTGCCATGGCAGCTATAAAAAAAGACAAGTAGCATGCCAAGGATAATTACAGTTCTGGTCAGCTCACCTCATAAAGAATATTGTAGAATTAGAAAATGTTCAGAAACGGGCAGCCAAAATAAGCAAGGGACTTTTTAGTTTAGAGAAAAGGCAGGTGACACAATAGTTTATAAAAATTCTGTACGGGCTGGAGAAAGTGGAGAGTATTTCTTTCTCTCAACACTAGAACTTGTGAATATCCAATGAAGCTGAATGCTGGAAGATTTGGGAAAAATAAAAATAAAGTACTTCTTCACACAGCACATAGTTAAACTATGGAAATTGCTCCCACAGGAGGCAGTGAATGCAATTTGGACACCTTAAAGGGGACTGGACAAATTTATGGATACGGCAGTCAACGGCTACTAACCAGAATGGCTTGATTTTGCCCCCACTGTAGGGCCAATATGCTTCTGAATACCAGCTGCTGATAATCACAGGTGAGCAGAGCCATTTGGCATCTGGTGAGAACTGGATTTGGGACTGGGTGGGCCTTTAGCCTCATCTGGCATTCTCCTCCTGGTGGTATACTGTAGTATAAACTCCACTCTTTATAGGCTTTACAGGAAAGGTGGTTACAAAGGTTATATGTGTGTTGATATTACTATTAATAGTTTTATCATAATGCATAGGGCAACCACAATGAAGTGCACCATCTGCTATGGTGATGACTTAGTCTGACAATAGCAGGCATCCATTATTTTTAACATCTTGGTCGCCAGTCAAGGAATGAAATGGACTTTGGTCCCAACTTAGACTATGGGACGTGTAGGTAATAAATTGATATTGTACATATATCTGTGCAACTCTACTAAGTGCTTCTCATATAATTCATGCTTTAAGTTAACTATGTGGCATTAACACCAACTGGGGAAAACATAGCCAAAAAAAATAGTCTACTTGAACATGATAATTCTAGTGCACACCACTATTATTATGCTAACCCACAATTAGGAGAAAGATTCAAATTTGTGCAACTATTAGAAAGGTATTTTAAGAAAGAGAATTTTAGTTACAGCAGCTGCTCTACACATTATTCTTCTTTGGGCTACAGTGACCTCCAGTGTCTGATTTTAGATGGCACTTTCTAAGGCCAAAGGCTTTCATCATTATTTTAGCACCCATTTTTTCCAACTGCCACATATACAAGAAAATGAAAGGATTCTCACTGGAGATGCTATACCCTTGGAATTTTAGACTGATTGGTTTCTAATTGAGGGTTCTGGAGCATTCATTAATCAGCTGTTGGTTCTAATTGTTACATGCCCTCAAAACCAGAAATTAGACACAAATACACAGATGTAAAAAAGTACCTGAAGTGACACGTGGGAGAAATCAAGGGAGAATACTTTAGGAACTGCACTGTGCAGCACCTCGTTTGTTCAGATGTGCACAAAAATTATATCAAGCAACTTATCTGCCACTCTGTACTATAAGTGATAGGAAAGTCAATCAAAAAGCAAAGGTAGCCATGTGGGCTGATAGGGGGAAAATCCAAAATCCGTATTACCTTTATTAGGCCAACCAAAATGTCACAAAATAGCATCCAAAGTTTCCAAGACTAGATGGTAAACAAAGCAACCAAGGAGAAGAGGACAGAGTTTGAGTAGTGGTAAAACCATTAAATCTGCACCTTATAAATGTCTTGATAGAATGTGGGACATTGTGGTAGACATCAAAAATGTTATGTTTATAACCTACAGAATTTTAGGTCTAATGTTCCTGTGGGAATTTCAGTATCAGTGATGCATAGAAGAGCTTAGTACAAGAATTGCATTTTTTTTCAAAATGTGTGATACTTCCCTTCCATGTCCTTCAGACATAATGGTGTTGCTAAAGGAGTGGAGCAGTAGCCTCTAAAACATATGGGAAAGAATCAGATCCTCCTCCACGTGGAAGAGAATGTTTTCTGGAAAATAATACCAGTCTTTTGTAATTCTCTACATTCCCTTAAAAAAAATCCCAACTTTGTGACAGAATCCTACGCCCATCCTGCTAAGTCCTAACCCAGCAACAATAAATCATTGGGACAGCAAAGCTCATATTGTCCATTCCCCTGCCAGTCCCAGGATTAGTGGGACACAGAACTATTTTCATCACTGAAAGAGAAAGAGGCTGCATTAGGATGCAACACCACACCATGCTTTAGCATTCCAAAAATGGGCCTTCTCCTCAATTGGGGATGGGGTGGGGATACAGCCAAGTAAACATGCCCAGGATTGAATTGTAGGTGGTGGCATTTTCACATTAGGGAAACTTAAGTAAAGTCACTTGCAGCTTAGTTGACCTGCAGCCCTAACTAAAACAGGTTTACTGGGAAGTCAGCCCATTAAACCCAGAAGGAATTGCTTCCAAATAAACTCACAAAGGATCAAAGTATTGGGTGATTTATATCCACCCTGGATATTTGTCTAACAGAGGTGCAGGACCTTTGGCCCTCCAGATGTTACTAGACTGCAAGGATGATACTGCTATGCCATCATCCCTGCCCAGGGCCAACGAAAGTTGGCTTTTCAGATTTCAGGCTGCAGCAAATCCTTTTATGAAAGAGAAACACACAATGGCCAATTCCTCATCTCTGGCATTACATAAATCTGCTCAAATCTGTCTTCCAGCTACAAAGAATGCTGTGTTTTGCCTAAGGATGGATAAAAACCTGGGTTGTGCTGTGGAGTACACAACAGGTTCATGCACACCAGCGTTTTAGCTAACTAAAATTGGAACCATAGGACAGTACTGAGAAAAAATGCATCTTGGTAACCAATTTACATGACAAGCTACCACTTTTATACAGCTTGTGTGATACTTCATATTAGTGACCACATACATCCAGTTCACCATCTGAGCACCATTTGATGGGAAAGCGAGACACAAATTTAACAAAGAGGGGTACAGCAGGCCTGTGATTGTCAACTACAGCAAAAATCTTCAACAGATTTTTCTTTCCAAGTAAAATAATTTGCCCATATCATGTGATAAGCAGTGCATCAATAATCTCAGGATTTTTTTCAAGTGACTATCCATTGCCTGCTTAGATACATGCAGGTTTTGACCTCTTGGTGTACACATGCAGAAAATAATTAGGATTATTGACAATGAACTTTAATAATTCTATAGTTCTATTATTTTGGTCCTACGTTTCCATTCACTGTAACTCCAAAACATTGGCAGAATCAGAATAAACACAAGATCAATTTCATTTGCTCAACTTTATTCCACCAAAATTCAATGTCCTTGAGAACAGATTTGACCTTTTGTTGTTAACATTTTTGTGGAGTTTAAATTCTAGGTTTTGCTTCTGAAAAGAAACAGAATTGCATCACAAACCAGTTGGTCCCATGGCAGTAACCAGCAATTATAAGGAACTAACCAATGGATGTAATGTGCAGTATGATCTTAACTAAGGCTGCAATCCTACATACATTTACTTTCAAATAAGTTCCAATGAACAATGTGGGACTTGCTTTTGAGTAAGCGTGCACAGGAGTGGGCTGTAAAACCTAAGAAATATTAGCATGTTGAATTAATTTGTATATGGATCACAGCTACATTTTCTCAGTCTATTTTATTATTTTTTTTAAAAAAAACTGTGCATTCAAGGTGAACGCTGTTACAATCTTCTGTTAGCCTTAAAACATATTTTATACAATATATTTACAAATTAAACTTCTTAGCATTATCACTACTGTACAAGAAAATAAAATAATTTAGGATCTCATGAAAAAAGGTTTACTGTATTCTTATGCCCACAATATATTAATCAAACAATGAGCTCATTCCACCGTAGTTTGGTATTGCGTGCATGAGCAAAACCGTCCCTGGGGCTTGCAGGGTCCCTCTTCCCCTTGCATGGTCAGCCCCAGTATGTAGAGGGAGTGCCAGAACACCAAGCCTGCCAGAACCAAGTGCCTTGGACAAGATCTCCAGCCAGTCTTACTAGCGCTGGCTAGCCAGCTGTCAGAAAAGCATCACCCAATGGGATTTCACCCTTACCGGCTTCCAGTTGTCATAGTATCCAAACATGGCAAACTAGGATATGCTTCAAACATAAGTCTTGCTCAACCCTGAACAGGATATCATCATCCATGTAGGAGACACAGGGCTGTGCATGCCCCACACTCCCCAATGTCCCTGTGTGCATCTTCTCCACACTCCCTGTTACTGATCTTCCTGTTTATCTGAACCCTTTTACCACTACTGACTTGAGCAGAAGTAGAAACCTCTGTGCAATCAGGAACCATGAGGGGGTTTCTATTTGTATTCAAAGAAATGCTGGTAAAAGCCCCTTTCAGACCTTTCCTGATAAACACAGGAAGGCTGAAGACTGAGCAAGAAGGACCAGGACAGCATGTGACCTTGTGTCTCCTACATGAGTGGACGTTTCCTGTTTAGGCATAACACCTGAGCAGGGCTACAGTTTGCCCATAAACCGGGATCAAGCTGTGTCTTGAGACTGGGAAGTCAGTTTATGGAAGTCAGTTTAGAAACTATGCCAAACAAGGAGAGAAATACATGTACATATCTTGAAGCTAAGCTTGCTCATACACATGACACCAAACCATGGTTTCACACTGCATATAAAATGTCGCCACTATATTTTTCAGCAATGGAACATTTTGGCAAAGCTACCATTCTTATAGGGTTGACAGGCTATTCCCTTTTACTATTAAATAAAGCCTATGAATGGCATGGCAATGTAACAGAATGGCTATATTTAAACAGTGCCATTTAAGAAAATTCAAAATTTCATATCATTCCAGATGCTTCAAATGTGAATCAACTTTAATTACACTGTATTATTCTATCTATTTGTCCTATGAGTTAATAGGGAGAATGAGCTAATAAGCTTTTGGACAAATATAGCTGCTCGGTTGATAAGCTTCCTAAAACAGAGTATTTTAAGTCATTGGTGTACAAATAGTGCAAAAAGTAAAACTTCAGTTTTTGTGGCTTAGTTGTGCAATGCTAGCCACAGTCACAGTTAAATATAAAATAGGATCCAGTTGAAATGAATTACTCGGGCAAACTTCCACACAAAATTCAAACAGTGCTAAAAGACTGGGGCAATAAAAATAGCTTCATTTCAGATTTTTGTAGAAACAGTGCAGTGCTGAATACCCCTGAAGATAATGCTTTTGGCTATATCCAAAAGCTGACTGTCTGGAAAACTCCTTTAATTTTTGAGACTGAAGATATGCTACAAAAGCAATTTAAATGAGAAAGATGGGGAGGGGGTACCACAGGCATACTAGCAGTTTCCCTTTGATGTCATGCCAAATTACTTCTTAAGAATTTAAGTGCATGTGGGAGTTCTGTGATGGGAGTTTCTGGGAAAGGATGTCTGCAAAGCATTTGTCGTCACATGCAGAGCATGGATGCACCCAGGTTTTGGGCCTACACACAACTCTTATGGAAGGTCATCATCTTATTTCATCACAACCTGATAAGCCAGCTTCTGGATAAAAGATTGCCCAACAATTTAATCAAAGACTATTTGTAGAAACAGATTTATGAATTTTGGGTATCTCCAAACAGTGTCCGAGGAAAACCTGTAAAAGGAGTTAAAGGACAACCAAACCTATTACCATTATTCTGACTTTTAACATTTAGCTTCAGAACATTATGTTCAGGTATGAGCAAGACACACACAGAGAGAGAGAAATACAGCAGTATTAGTACACAAATACTTTGTGAACTGTTTGTCCAGCCCAACAGTACAGAAAGTGAATCACAACTCAAAGTTCAAAAAAATAAATTCAATTGTTTTCTTATAAATCCAGCAATTTATGATGTTACTAATCATGGAAGAAACAATACACTGTTAATTAACATGAAGTCCAGAAGTGTCCTTTTCATAAAATCAAGAGAAGCCAAAGGATTTTCCCTTTTTCAAGCAAAAATATACAAGACACCATACACAAATGGCTGATGAGAACTGGGCCCATGGTGTAAGGATTAGACACTAATCATAATGCCACCAAAATCAAAGGAGATCCAAGAACTCTTCAGAATTATCTTACAAAAATAGCTGCATTAAAATTTGCAAGCTCTAAAGCTATTATTTTCAAGCCCTATAAAAAGGCAACCTTTGAAAGGATCTGGCTCAGATTATCGGCACAGTACAAATATTAAAAATGCACACACAATGCGAGATATTTCAAATGCGCTTTAAAGGGACTATTGCAGCTGGTTTATTATGTAGCAATAATATTGCATAGCTGGAAAATGAGGTCACTTGACTTGCACTAACTGCAAGTTTACACACAGAAGTGACATATACCATTTGCTAGTGGGTAAGTGACTGAGAGCAAGGCCATTTATGGTCCTGACTATTTATGAACACTCAGTACACCATTATTATTTTTTTGTAATTTCTCCAGATGTTATATGGACATAGGTGCCATTTCGGAATGAATCATAGATCAGGTTAACTCAAAAATTCACTGCCTGTCAAGGGATATATATGACTGGCATACAGTTTTGGTGGTGAATGGAACAGAAAAATCCATTCATGTTCAGTACATGTATATCTGTGTCTGACAACTGATTCATCACATGAGGTAAGGGTGTATTCTTAGTGTTTAAATGATCCTTCAACCAATATGAGAGGGCAAGATTTCATAGTATTTAAATGGTCTTAAGTGGTTTACACATTGCATTTCTTCATGTGGAGGTTGACGGAATAATCTTCTGCCTATTGAATGATTCACATCTGCTATTGTGATTGAACAATGCAATCCTTTACATGTCTATTCAGAAGTAAGTTCCACTGAATTCAATGGAGATTAATCCCAGGTAAGTAGATATAGGGCTGTGGGGCCCTAAAGACTGCTGCTATCCTGTGGAGAATCTCCACAGTGCTCTCAAGACATTCAAAGCAACAAAATGGAGATTCTCCACACTAGAGAAGTATAAACAATGCAAAGCATTAGAGCTGCAGCCCAGAACTCATACAGAGAGAGACCAGGGGCTATATGTAGCAGACTAATATCCTCCACACAGAAAGAATAATGCATAAACAGGTCCTGAAAAGAGATTTCCTACCCCAACCCTGGAAGCAATTCATTGGCTGCTGGCTGCATTCTCGGAAATACAAAGGGTGAAACACATGTAGAAACTGCCATGTTCCTCTTTAAAATACTCAAGTGTTGAGCAAGCAACAACCAGGCTCACTTGTGTTTTGAAGAGCGATTAGGCACCCTGTATGTGCATTCTTCAGGTGTATTTTGTACTACAGTTTCTGTGCCAGAGTACAAAAGGTATCATAAGATGTAGCACTGAGACTCTTTTAAGGAAATTGTTTTGTTTTTATATCCAATTAAGGGATGAAAGCCCTTGTCAAAAATAATAGAATCTTACCTTATTAACGCTTGTTCAAAGCAAGTTCAGTTATATATTCTACTTCACTCTTGATATTTGGCAAGTGATAAAAAAGCTGTCTATCTACATAAGAAATAAGTTAAGTGCTCTTGGGGAAACACACACACACACACACACACACACACACACACCCCACCTTTAAAATGCACGTAGTAAGGGGTTGGAAGAGAAAGGAAGGATATACTTCCTTGTTAATCTTTTGTGGCTGCTTTCCTTAGCATTACACATCTCAGAAGAGCTGGAAGTTACAAGAACACAAACTTTCTAGGAACAAAATAATTCTCAGTTGGATGATGACAGTGAATATAACAGAAGCTTGGAGGTTTTTAGATTTGAGTTGAGCCAATTAGCTAGACCCAGCTTTTCTTATTTCCCCCAAATCACTTCTCTCTCCCTTTTGGACTAAATGCTTAAAAGTTTGAGTAACTTCAGTACACAGCTATAATAAGGAAAACATAGTGAATATTTGAAAGGTCAGCAGTTAGGAAAAATGGCTGGAAGAATTACCGTGCAATCCTATACATGTCTACTCAAAAGTAAGCTCCACTAAGTTCAACAGAGCTTACTCCAAGGTGATTATGCACAGCACTGCAGCTTTAACCAACTACATGATGGAAGCATTAAGACACTTAAAGGTTTTTAAATCTTGGGCAACTTGTGGTATTTGGCCAAATGCAAGAGGTATATAGGGATGGGTGAAGTTCTAATCTAAACTTGGCTAGCATTTACTAGATTATTATTCTGGCTGACCACCCAGTTTGTTATTCAGAAGTCCCATTTGCTCAGATGGGCTTCCCTGCTACTCTCAGCCCTTGCTCATGACAATATCATCCATGTACAGTATCATCCTACAAGTCACAGTGCTGGATGCAGCTCTACAAACCTGGCTGTAACCCTGGAATCCACTACTGAATCCCACCACCACCCTGGAAATCTGGTGACAACCATAGTTGATGAATTTAAAATACTCTTCCATGGTACCCAGATGCCCTTTAAAAAGCAGGTGCAGTTTGGGTTTTCTGAATTGTTGGCAATAGTCAAGGCGACACCATGTTATGACTCCCCACCCCTTTCAATGTCAACTGTGGTCAGAATTAATTTTGAAATAGCAATACCTTCCCCACCACCACCAGCCCGCCTCTAGAACCTTACATTTTAGTGCGGTTACTAGTCTTTGGGTAGTTTACGTATGCTTTTACCCTAGAGAAAGACGCTGCTTGGCTCATCCGACCACATATACAAAATAGGTTTGAAAATTGCAGTTCTACATCTAGGATAAAATTCATACAATGTACACATCCAGTGTCCTAAATAACACATTTACAGTAGTCAACTAGTGTATGTACATATGATGGGGGCAATATACCATATGAGCTAGAGCTCCCAGTCTTATTTATTCAGGTCTGGTTTCCTTTCGAGGGTTGTTTCAAAAATTCCAGTCTCAGTAGTAGATTTGTCTAAAAGGTTTGGTAAGTAAATAGAACATATTATAGTGTATATGCTACTTCAGTAGTGAAGTATTCCAAAATACCCTTTCTCCTGGTTACATGCCATAGAGATACATTTCCTTGCTCTTGAGAAATTCAGTTCAAACTCAAGTCTTGGCTGTACATAAAACAGCAGATTGCACCAAGAAAAACAAGCAACATCTCATTTCTGGAACATGTTCACAGCAAGACTTTTCACGTTGCTGCACTGCCCATTGCTGAGCAGAGGTTGATGGTTTTAGCACATACTTGTCATGCTAGGAGTGCAATATTAGTGTGGCAGTTAAGAGTCAGATTTCAGTATCTTCCAAAACCCACCAAGCAAGATGGTCATTATTTCTTGTCTTTGCAGTCACTTGAACATGTGTCACAATGGTTTATGGATCACAGCTACACCTACAAGGGAAGAAGGTACACATGCATTAAATTTATATACCGCCCTTGATCCACAGATCTCACGGTGGTTCACAACATAAAATTACACAAAACCACAATACATAGTAAAAATAAGAAAAAGAAACCAATAATCCCCCCTCCCACAGCACATTTAAAAGGGCACTGTATGTCAATCAGCCCAAGGCTCGGTTGAAGAGAAACATTTTTACCTGCCACCTATAGGTATATAATGAAGGCATCAGGCGAGCCTCCCTGGGCAGAACATTCCACAAATGGGGAGCCACTGATGAAAAGGCCTGTTCTCTTGCTGCCACTCTCCAGACCTCTTGTGAAGGAGGCACACAAAGAAGGGCCTCAGAGGATGATCTTAGAGTCTGGGAGGTTCATAAGGAGAGAGGCAGTCCTTGAGGTATTTTGGTACTGTGCCATTTAAGGCTTTAAAGGTCAAATTCAGCAAAACTAGGCCTGGAAACCAATTGGCAGCCAGTGGAGTCAGGCCAGAATTGGTGTAATATGCTGAAACTGTCTTGCCCCTGTGAGCAACCTGGTCACCAAATCCTGTGCTAGTTAAAGTTTCCAAACCATCTTCAGAGCCAGTCCTATGTATAACATGTTGCAATAATATAACCTAGAGGTTACCAGAGCATACACAACAGCAGTTAGGCTGTTCCTGTCCAGATAGGGGTGTAGCTGGGCCACCATACAGATGATTTTTGGAGTAACCTTTTACCTGCACTGGGACTTATAGAAAGCTCAAGATACACTTGGGGTACTGACTCTTTTCTGACCAGAGACTCTCTTGCCTGTAATGGCCACACAGCAGGTAGAATTTAAACAGATGCATCTTTGCCAGATGAACATCAGAAATGGGGAAATACCATCTGTTGGATTTCTACATGCCAAGCAGTAGCACGTTAAAGGCCCAGGTTCCTTTTAGGAGTGAAATTTCTCTACCAGGAAAAAGTGTTGCTAACCCTGCCAAGAATCACAGCAGAGATTTGAGAAATGCAGATTCATCCAGCCAATCCTTCTGCTTCCACCTGGTTCAATGTACTGCTTACCTGCATAACTTCTTCCAGTGCTCATGTTTGTTGGTAATAATGTCCATTTATCAGTGACAGGATTATAGTATTCTACAGATGCCAAATTGCAAGAGCCATCATCTCCCCCAACCACATAGAGAAGACCGTTCACTGAACACACACCTATGGAGGGGAAAAATGTGTTATTTTAAGTTTACATGGCTGTGGCATGGAGGGGGAAGGAACTCTAGCATTCAGGCTGGATTCACTCCAGATCCTTCAGGGAGCCCCAAAGTATGAACCATCGACACTGAAATTGTGCACTCTGATTGTACTCAGAAATAATATATCATTAATTTTCATAAGCTGTTCTTGTAGCAAGGTGAGAGGTATTTTTTATAATATTTAGGAATGTGCAAAAAAAATAGAAGTCACTCATTATTCCATTCATTTTTGTTAATAAGCACATAATGTGTTCAATGTTATCACATTCACTTCATAACTCACATCAATGAGGGGGTTTGGTGGGGATAGGGGGTTACTTTGTTTTTCCTGTCACCTGCGTACAGGCAGTTGCCATTTCTCTTCCCCAGAACACTCCAGTATCCAAGGGATTTGAGGAAAATAACATGAGGGATATTTGGAGATAGCACCAAGAGGACATCTGGAAAAAAGTATCCCTGAATTTATTATGTATTTGGACATCTCTTTAGATACCGTAACCAAATTTTGCATGACTGTTCCTGAGATCAAGGAGGTTTCCATCTATTTTTGGATACAATTGTACACCATTTTGAAACAAGATGGCAGAATGAACCTTTTTAAAACAGCACTCATTTTAACCACTGATTTAAGAACTACACTGATTTTTCTTGTTTCACAGAACTCCTAAGCAATGCCAGTTACAAAGCAGCTAGCGACTGGCATATAGATAACAAAGACCTTTTCCTGTTGGAATTTGTTTTGTAACAAATGAAAAATGAACCAAATTGGCTCCATTTGCAACCCTGTTTAAAGCACTGGGCACAATTCAAGGACTGGGCAGCAGGAACAGCAAGGATAGGGGATTAGGAGCTGTGCAGGGTATAAAAGGCTCAGCCTTCTGACCACTGGAGGTTGTATGAAATAAATAAATTACCCTTTTATTTCTATGCTTTCTGATGACAAAATCTGTTCCATACTTGAATGTTCTCTGTGAAGTCACGAGAGCAAGGAAAATGTTCTTGTAAAGAAAACAGAGGTTCTGGAATTCATAAACTCCCTCTGCTAAATTCCATATTCCTTGTTACTCACTACAGACACAGATGCATAAAACACACACACCTTCAGGACTTCCTGTCTTATAAAGTATGGAGATTTAATTTTAAATACCTAGAAAAGCAAGATACAGCTTATAAAATTGATGTTTTTGTTTCAGTATTACTGTAAGCTTCTTTGAAAGGTTGCTTATACTGGAAGGGCAATATATATAAGTGTGCTGTGGTTGCTTGGAGGAAATTACAAAATAAATACCTGCATTTCTTCTACACATATTCATATCTGCCACTTGTTTCCACGTATTTGTTCCAGGATCATATACTTCCACACTTTTCCTCACCAAAGGGCCATCATGTCCCCCAGTAGCATACAGCTGTCCACTAAGTACACCAACACCTGCAAAACAAGAGGACAGCAACTCTGAGAGCTTCAGAGCATAAGTTACTCCTAAGCGGCTGTTTCATTCAACAACCCCATCATAAAAGTGAGCTAAATATTCAATGCAGGAGTTTTCCTCACATGTCCAAACACTGGGATCCCTCGCAGAAAGACAATTCATACCCTTATAAAGGCCTTTGCAGAGAATGCCTAAGACCTGGGGCAGAAGTCTTGTTAGAATAAAGTTATAAACACAAACAGAAAAGTAGCCGGTCCCTGGTGGGCCCCCACAGCCAGCTTAGCCCTCTGAGGCCTGGAGCAAGAGAGCCAGTGTGGTGTAGTGGTTAAGAGCGGTAGTCTCGTAATCTGGGGAACCGGGTTCGCGTCTCCGCTCCTCCACATGCAGCTGCTGGGTGACCTTGGGCCAGTCACACTTCTTTGAAGTCTCTCAGCCCCACTCACCTCACAGAGTGTTTGTTGTGGGGGAGGAAGGGAAAGGAGAATGTTAGCCGCTTTGAGACTCCTTAAAGGGAGTGAAAGGCGGGATATCAAATCCAAACTCTTCTTCTTCTTCTTCTTCTACCTGGCCTGCCCCCAAACTGCACAGGCCTGCCCTTATACTACAATTACAGGCCTAGCATTTGAGAATAGTATGACAATACCGTATCATTAGTCTTATCACACATTGCCAGGAAAGGGGCAACATACATGGTACTATTTTCAAGAGCTCTTGTAACAAACTTAGGTACTGTTCAGAGATTTAGCTGTGACAACTAAACAAGGAGGAAAAACAGCACAGTAAGATACCTGCACCACTGCGGCGAGTACTCATATCCGACACATATGCCCACTCATTTGTAGCTGGGTTATACTGTTCTACAGTACTAAGGCACTGACGTGATGCTCCATCGTAACCACCAACAGCATAGAGTTTACCTAGAAAAAATGAATATGCAGCACTGAACATCAACAGGAGCAGTTGGGAATATTCACACTTCAGAACATTTCATCACTGATCATTTGTACCATGTCAATTACACAATCCTTTTGTGATAGCCGCCTACTAGCTTGATAAATACCTGTACATATAACATGTTTCAGTTGACCTTCATCATGTATACCAAATGCTCAGATCAACAAACACTCGCTAAGTGAGATGTTCTCAAGGATAGTTCGCTGCAGAAGGTTGTTCCATTATTTGCCATGTTACAAAACGGGTGAAAATGTACTTCTCTTTGATCAAGTGCAAATCCCTTTAAAACCCTGCTCTTTCTACCAAAGTTTCATTTGGGGAGAAGGCCTTTTCGGCCATCCGTATTTAAAAATCCAACAAAAAACCTCCGGAAATAGGAAAAGCGTCATACCAAGCTTCCACAGTGAAATATAGAGAACCATTTAGCAGGGAAAATACTTAGGTAAGGATAGTTGGGATGACTTCTCTGAGGGCACAGAAAAAAGGTTTAAAATCATTGTCAGAACTTATAGAGTATGAAAAAATCCCCAAATTCCTGACAAACCTTGCACATCTCCCAGCTTCAGAAGATGTGAAACATCCATTTCCCACAAGATGGAGACACAGAGCCACGGAAAAAAGCCATTGATAGTCCTTCCAGCTCTCTTCACATTGAGCGTAACGAAGTAGCTCTCACTCAGTTCATTAAATTTTGTATTGTGAATAATAATAATTTTATTATTTATACCCCACCCATCTGGGTTTCCACAGCCACTCTGGTTGGCGGATCATATCGAGTGGCACATGGAAAACCAGTGTAAGGAAGGGGGGAATCTGGGGTCCAGGGCCTCAAGGACCCTAAATGGCCCTCAGGACTCTTCCTGGGTCACATCTGCTGCTAGCCCTACTCTGCACCCACTTAAAATGCATTTGTCAAGGTGGAATTTTTCCTTAAACTGTGACAATGCCTCTTGCTTGCCTGGATGGAGAGATATGGGGGTGTAAGAAGAAAAATCTGGAAAGGTAAGGGTCACATCTATTGCCCAACCTACCAGTAGCATACAGCCCCCCCCCCCAAAAAGATAGTCCATAAGAATGTGGTGCTTGGCATTGGGCTGAAAAATATTCCTGACTCCTGGTTTAGGACCTAGGCAGAACTGTGAGATTGACACTGCTGAAACTTACAGAATTCCGTGATTTTATGGGTGAGGCATACTCGGCATCAGTGCAGACTAGACAGACTAGGTTTTGTCCCTCCTCCCAGTGCCTTGATACCTGCCAGGCCAGATGGCAAAACACTAAGATAAACTTCCCAACGCAGTAGAGAAGGGGGGGGGGGACCCCACAACTTAACAACTAAGCGTGTCTCAATCACTATTGTACTCAGCCTGTTCCCATTCAAGATGGGATAATGATTTCTGGAACACGCAGTGTAGTCCGACAATGTTAACTGCCTTAATTTTTTGTCTTTAAAAAAGTGCTTGCTGCTAGGCTATCACACTTAACTGTGCTGCTGCGGCCAATACAGCAGTTTGCTGTCTTTACCTTCCACGACCCCAACTCCAACGCTGCTTCTTCTTGTGTTCATAGGTGCCACAAAAAACCACTCATTGGTCTTATAGTTATATGCTTCCACAGATGCAAGACCTATTTTTGAAAATAATATTAAGGCAAGTTTTCTACATCCTTAATTTAGCAGAGTATAACCCCTCCTTTGTCACAGGTACCATCCTGACTTAATTTTTCCAGGCAATACTCTTGTCTTAATCTTTCCAAGACAAAAAGGGGAAAGGAAGCAGGTTGAGACTACTTCAGGATCAGGAACTGGACACCTAAACCAAATACTAATAATTTTGCACTGAGAATCTGTATCTCAAAATACCACCCCAGTTCTCATCACTTGTGATTACTCAACAACCATGCACTGAAAAAAATGACTGGGAAGTGCAACCCACCCAAGAATTTCTTCCATCCACTGCAGAAAACTACACCAGACATAATAAAACAGGTTGTAACAAAGGTTTTTGTTTTGTTGTTTTATAAAGAAGAAGATTTGAAATGTAGCATCAGGAGCACTGAATTCAAAGGAAGTTCTACAGTTCTTGTAAAGTGTTTAAGAGCGAAGATATGAACAGCATTCACCCAGTTTTGTTTGTTTAGCAACCTACCTGTGCTTCCATCAAACCCACCAACAGCATAGAGGAGTTCATTTAGCACAGCTGCCCCTAAAGTGCTTCGTCTTTCTTGCATGCTGGCTATTGACGTCCACAAGTCTTTCACTCCATCATATACATCTACTGTTCGGACTCGTAAAGAGCCATTAAAACCTCCCACAGCATAGACTTTGCCTGCCATGAATACCACCCCTGTTAAAAACAAATTGGGAGACAGAAAAATGGAAGGCAGGTCATGCCTATAGGACAATTATTTTCTTTCTCTTTTTCCTACCAGAACTTCAGGAAGGTCACCAAGCAATATCTGGAATATGGTGACAACTACATATGGAACCTGTAAAGTTTGAATGCTGCTTGTTTCATGAATCAAGTCTATGAGAGGGTAAGCCTGGCATTGGCATGGAATCTCTCCATTCAATAGGTCTGATCCATGGGAAAAGCAAGCTTTCAAATGTTATGGCCTCATATACCACCATTACCATAGTGGAGCATTTCACTATTTCATACATTACATAAAAAAGGCTGGGTTTGCCAACAAATGTACGCTCAAACAAGGGGAATAGAGCACAATATCTGAAATCACGTTTGTTGCACTCATGCTATGTATGTTCAGCTTACACAAAAGTATTGATATGTGAAATGGCTCTTGCTGGCTGCTGAAGTCCATGAGACTGTTATTACTGGGTGGAATTCAACAGAGCGCTGAGGAGATTGTTCTATCAAAACAAGTATAACTGCCTGCCAGACACAACTAACATAGCAAAAGCTGCCAAGAGACCAAGCAGAATCAATGGGGTTGCACTCCCCGTCTCTCTCCCAACAAAGGCCATCATACAGGGTGACAGAGATATGTTCCATGCCAAAACCAGGCCTAAAAACCAACTGAAATGGATCTAGAAAATCAGTCTCATCCAAGAGAGCCTGGCTCTGTTAACAGAAAAGGGCTAACTCTAATGTTTTACTTTAGCCTAAAATTCAACTGAATATATAAAATCCGTCCTAAATAATTTTTGTGATTGTGACTGAGGCTATTTTTTTTTAATAGGGAAAATATTTACCTGCTCTACATCTCCGAGAAGGAAGTTCAGCAACTTGATCCCATCGCTCCTCCTCAAAATCATAACACTCTACACTCCGAATAGCTTTAGGTGCTTGCCCACCAACCACCATCATTACCTTGGTAGGAAGGGAGAAAAGTTACCATGAGAGCATTTTCAACAGCAAACAGAAATCCTTGATCTTATTTGGGGCCTTAAATGGCAATAGGACACCATCAGCTATGTGAGAACTCACCCAAGAAAAAAAAGCAAAGTTTACTTCAGATGCATGAGAAGTTGGCATTTGAATGATATTGAACTTGGAAGTACAGTCAATACATTATTGGATAAAATACTGATTGAAGCCTTTGGGCAAAGCCTATGTACTCTAGCTTTCAGAGATTATCTAGCTTCCTTTGCAAAAGGTAATTAGTTCAGATCCCAGAAGAGCTACATTTTAATAAAAGCATTTGATAACAGCCTAGCAATGATATGAAAATTCTAAGAACAATGGAAACGCTGATGGTGCTTAGTATCAAGAGAGACTAGTTTTAACAAAGGGAGATTATAATTCCCACGATAATGGGAGGGGGAGGGGGAATTACTTGAACAAGCATTTAATGGCTCTGTGTTTGCTTAAATTATATATACATACACAGTGCTTCTTTTCTTAAAAAATGTATGCACACACTGTGTATGTGTGCATAAACCTAGCTGCATTCAAAATGGCAAAGTTTTCAAAACACATGCACATACTAAAACCATAGTGCTCCTTTACTGGCTATTTGCTTTGAGAACCACTTTAACCCAACATCCCAACACCATCTGGGATATAACAACACACAACAACAGAGCAACCTTTCCCTTTTTGCCTCTGACTGGCATTTCTCCATGCAGTAGTGTGGCAGAGCCAAGTTTATGGAACAGTGGCTGATTGCAATGGGTTTTGAATCAGCTTTAATAGAAAAACTAGAATAGGAGTAGCAGTAGTTGTCAAAACAAGAAACCGCAACGTTTCTCTGTTTGGTAAGAAATTATTCTAGTAATGGTGTAAGATGACTGTTGGTTTGCTAATAAACATCTTCCATGGGTTGAGTCACATATGCCCTAGTCAAAAAACAAAAACAAAACATGTACCACCATTACCACCTATAGGAACTTCAGCAAAGTTGAACCATTTACCCAGGTCAAAGTGGGAAGTCTCTTTCCAACATGCTGACAATTTAATGGACATTCATGTGTGCAAAAGGGCAATGAACACTGTGTGCAGATATGTCTGCATGCGCCCAATCCTCCTTCAAGGGGGAATGATCATGCAATTCTAACCACTGTGCATATCCATGTAAAGGGGGCATGTGACCATCATCTTGGGTATTTCAGCAAGAAAAAAATTGCTTACCTTTGGCAGACTGACTGGGGTCCTTGGTTTTGTTCTAGGATTCTTTATCAACTGCCGTTGATCCAGAGGAAGCAAGTGGTATTTCATGGCCTCAATAAGGAAATCTTTACATGTGTTATTGTTCTTGATTAAAGCTTCTTCTTCAACTGTCTGAAGACACCAACAAAGATATTAGTACAATGGCTATTATCAGTATTATCAGTCACTAGCAGGCCGCTGTAATGCTCATTCATGATTTCAGTGTAGCAGTAGAAATAAAACCCCAAACTGCTTCTTCCACATCATTATCCCATTCCCCTATTTCACTCACTACAATATTATCTACTTCAACTGTGCAGTAATGCTTGTGTTGTGTTAAACTGTGCAAGCTTAGTATAAATGTTTTGATTAGTGCATAACTACAGCAATCCCATCTTAAAATATTTACAACACTACTTAATACAAGCTCCAGAAGACAAGGAACTATGAGATCTTATAACCTGGGAGACAAAAGCTTTGAGATATAAAAAACATACACACCCACAGGCACACACACCCCACAGTGGCAGCAATCCAAAACCTCACATGCTTGGGGCTCAAGTCACAATTCAGAAAAGACAGAGCTCCACAAATGCATAGGGCTCCTTCTCCTTTAGAAGTCAACAATGCAAAAGGTTGTGTTTTGAATGTTCAGCTGCATAATTGAACTGTGACTAAGATTAATTTGCACTAGCAGTTCCAGACATGGTATTTTAAGGAATTAAAACATTCACACAACTTCAGAAACCGGCAGTAATGAAACAACAAGGAGATATGCATGCTTGTGTCTCAGCAGCTCCAATCCCCAGGTTCTTTTTTAAAAATTTGGAATCTTTTTTTAAAAGAAAAAAAAACACAGTTCTGTGAAAAGAAAAGCTTGGAAATAACTATAGTGCACATGTAGATACTAAACAAAGAGAATGGCCATCTTCGCATAAACTGGCAGTAATTTTCTCCAGTGCTTCCCCACTTGATCTATCAGTGAAGCAAGCTCAACAATGTATCTGCTAAAGACAAATATCCCAAATTTCTATATTATCAGGACACAAAAGTGACAGCTTTACACTGCACCAGTTTTTATGGACAAGGTTAGCTCTCATTCTCTGCCCAGCAGAACCTTCAAGTGAAAAGGAGATTCAGAATATGTTTATCTGCTAGGATGGCACACACATAATTATGAAGGCTATCCAAGGTTCTTTTGATTGATCGCAAGCCACAAACAAGCAGCCCAAGCGTATATTATTAAACTTTTAGTGCTGTAGATACTAGAAGAACACTAACCTGTACAAGGTAATCTCTGGGCAAGAGAGGGAGGCGGACATGTTCCATCAACTTAGCCATGTGTTCCAAACGAGACTCTTTTTCATAATTTATCCAAGAAATGACAGCTTCAAACACCTGGAAAGAGCAATAAAACACCTGTCTTTTAAAAGGGACATAAACTGTTAAATCCAACCTCAAGCAGAGGTTCAGTAAGTAATGAAATAGGTTTGGAAAAACCAACTAAAGTTATTTTCAAAAGCAAGAAGATATGATAAAAAGATGGATTTAAAAAGAATCAAAACTGGCTTATTTTATTGTGATTGTATGATTTTCTGCATTCTGAAGGGTCCAACAAACTTTGTATTAAATGTCTACTGTACAATCCCGACCACAAAGACTATCTAATGCCATGAATATATGCACAACTTAAATGCTGTTTTTCGTTGAGCTCAGTCCAATGCCCGACAACTTGAAATATGTGTTTCAATAGGAGTCTTTCATGACATGAACCTTCCAACTGAAAACATTTATGATACTCATGGGCATGTGAAGGAACATTCAAGAGAAAGGATGTTCTGATGACTTACTATGTAATGGAACGCATAGGGCAGCTGGGACTTTTGGACTTAAGTGGCGATGGCATTTGTGCACATAAATGCGTTGGCACTTTTTAAAAACCGTATCGTCTGGCCAATGTAAATTAGGGATGGGACATTAAATTTAAAGTGGCGCTAATTGCATTCTATTCTGCTTGCTGTACTTTCTACAGAAGGTTAATTAATTGCTCATTTAACTCTGTTTTAGAATTGGGAACTTTGACCTGTGTGTCTTCTCACCCCTTCAACTTAATTAGTGGCTGCTGAAGAACTGTCCTTCCTTTCCCCACTGCACAAGATACTTAGCTGCATTTAGGTGCTCTGTGATTTCATCTGCATCAAATCTTTCCTTAGTGTACAACAGTCATAACCTTGCTGGGTTACCAGATATCACATTGCTTTAATTTACACATTTTACCCTTTCCAGAATTCCACCTTTGCTCTTGACCACAAGAAGCAGAGGCTTTTAATCACAAATATGTACAAATTAAAGCTAATATGGGGCAAATTTACTTTGGAACAAGCTATTAAAGGGACAGATTTTTATTTTATTTTTAAGAAGTACCATACTCACTTTATTTTAAACTATTGCTCAGTTTGCTGTTTTGCACTTGCACCAGAGTTATACTAAAGGCAGGTGATTCAGTCCTGCTGAACTGTAACCTGCCTGGAAACCATATGCAAGCTCTTTGAAAAAAGATCAATGTGCAAGTGAAATAATAAAATAAACATTTAAAACTATTTCCGAAATCATTAAAAATAGACTGGAAGGAAAGAGACTTTTATTTTTATTTTACTTCTGACACTGAAGCTTTTATCTGTCTGTATAGTAGCATGCTAATACAACACAGTTCACTGTAAGACATCTTGTGTGTCTATACAAGACTTGTTCCCTGCACAGTAACCAATATAAATGACTGTGGTTTATTAGAAATAAAACAAAACACAGTCTGTGGCTGGGATGTAAAACTAAGCCACTAAACATTCTTATGTGGGATAGGACTAAGCCATTTAGCATGTGGGAAGGGGCCAATGTATACAGCAGCCCTCATTGCTTACCTCCAAATAAGAGTGATCAATACAGTGGTACCTCTGGTTACGAACTTAATTCGTTCTGGAGGTCTGTTCTTAACCTGAAACCGTTCTTAGCCTGAGGTACCACTTTAGCTAATGGGGCCTCCTGCTGCTGCCGCTGCTGTGCGATTTCTGTTCTCATTCTGAGGTAAAGTCCTTAACCCGAGGTACTATTTCCGGGTTAGCGGAATCTGTAACCTGAACTGTTTGTAACATGAGGTGTTTGGAGCCCGAGGTACCACTGTATCAGAAAGTTTAAGTAATCACATAAAGCTTATTTAACTGTGCTTAAAATGCTTTTTCCTGAGTGGCAGGTGGTTCAGCATGCTTGTTTAACTGTCTTGATCCAAGACAGCAGTTTCTAAACCAGGAACCCTCCAGATACTGCTGGATTCCCATCAGCCCCAGCCAGCACAGCCGATGGTCAATGGGAGACATAGTCCAACAACATCTGGAGGCCACAGGTTCTCCACTGTTGCTCTAGATACACACGGTTCCCCCAATGAAGCGCCACCTTAAATGTTTTTGAAAAAATGTGTCTATTTCTGGAAATATTGGGGACGATCTGCTTCTAGTGCCCATATATTTTGTCATTCTTTTGCTGAAAACACTGCAATATTGTTATATTTCTGCATTACAGACTGTGCAGCAGGCCAAACCTTTTCTTCTGATGAAACGGTTAGCTTGTCACTTGATATCAAACTGCAAACTTGGTCTAGGCTAAGGCTAAGGAATTCTTCACCAAGCATCACCTCAGGAAAATGCTGCTCTGTTCAAAACAACCAAAAGTTGAGAAAATGAAGGTTACAATGAGTCTAAAGAAGGGACTAGTAGAAGCAGTAAATTATATTGCAATTTTATGTTGTGAAATAATAATAAGAAGAAGAAGAAGAATGACATAGCCTGCACAGAATTACCACAAGCAAGGAAAGAGGGACAACTCCACAGCCACAGTGCCAAGCACAGTCTGCTGTTGTGCACATGAATCTCCGTATTCAAAAACAACAAGCCCATACCTTGGGGTAGCGCACATACATTGCTTGCCAAAGGTCACTCCTGTCTGAAACACTGCTGTCATAAGTGTTTGCAATTCTGTTATATGGACCAGCAGCCCTGGCTCAGTATAAAGCAGCTTTCCTATGGGCAGAAGCAATCAGAGTTGCCTGTAATAGCCTGGGAAGCTGCCTGCTACAGAGGAGGAGTTCTCTATTAGCTATTGAAATGTCATCCCTGTATTTGCCAGCAGGTGGCCCTTGCAGAAACAAATCTCAGCCAAACTATGCACAATACACTGGTCTACAGGCCACCCTTTAGGGTAGAAATGTAGGAGTGCGATAATAATTTTGCAAAGGCAGAAACTTACACTTAGCAGGCCCATGTCATTTGCTTTAAGTCACTTTTTCAAAGGCGATTTTTTTTTCTAGTAAGTGACCTCATCTGCTCCCTCTTACTCACTTTTAACATGCAGATATTTTGTTTGACCCAGTTAATGTATAGCCAAAGAACTTGGATAGCATTTTTTGAATGACTTTTCATTAACATTACATAGGATTCTGAAGTAAAAGGGTTCATGAAGTCCAATAAAACAACAAAAGCAGCTCTTATAATTACCTAACAGCCAGATCTAAACTGAACGCAATACTTGCCTGGTTAAAGATTAAACAATTCTAAAAATCAAACCTTGAAAAGTGAGCCATTTGTCCCAGACACCAGTTTTTCCTTTGCTTATTATGCTGCAAGCAAGTGACTGAAAAGGTTTCATCTGCATTTGCAAGTAATTTGATTCTAGGATGGCCATATTTGTACTACTTCCTAGAGGCCTGTCCTATATCTGAAGGGTTGTCAGAGGACAGTCCTTTATTTGAAGGATGGTCTGGTCCAAGTCTGATTTAAATAAAAGAGAATGGTGAGACCTTGAAGTTGCCCATCAATTGTTGGTGCCTGGATGCATTTGTCACCATCTTCCTCGTTATGAAGAAATACACTGTATTTCTATTTAAATTATAGTAATTATTTCTAAATTTGCATCTGTACATATACATTAGCATATGAAAATTTTAAATGACTGTGTTCTCCTGTGCCCTCTTTTGCAGTTACTCATTTCATCTATTTCTGGTGCTGCATTAAGTGGCTATCTTATTTAACACCTGCCATTTTCTAATCACTGTGTTTCTAAGCACAACTGCAAATGTCACTGTGAAGGCGGCTAACTGAAAGTAGGTCTAACGTCTCAGAGAGCAAGAGCCTGCTTCACTGTAAGGAATTTTAAGCCTATGTGTTGGAAACACTTTATCTGAAGACTATCAAAAATTTAACAGACAGCCAAAAGATGTTCCTGGGCTCTGTATTTCTGTCCTGCCCCCTGGGCATAGATCCGATTCATATTTTGAAAATCACTAACATTTCCAAATAATAGAGGGTAGGGGACACATAACATTGCTGGTGCAGTCCTCCTGTATCTATCCTGGATGCTACCAAAGGCAGTATAAAGTCCAGGATGAGCAGGTACATCAAACTATGGCTTTAGTAACATAGAAAATGTCATTGCATCTCAGTACAAAACTGGAACCAGCAGCTGATTTTGAAAATGACAAAAATTCTAAGTATTTCTACCCTTTTAAGTAGATTCAATCATCTGCTTCTCTGCCTCCTCCCTCATTCTTTGCTTATGAGGAAGCAAGCAGGAAATTGTCCTCCAGGCATCAATATTTCAAAACAAGAGACAACTTGGAGGCGTGTTTGATCACCTGCATAGGCGTTGGCCTGTTGCAACAGTTCAGTGCAAGTATGCACATCTGCAAAGGCGCGAATACCAAGGCAATTCGTGGGATGGAGCTGAGATTGAAGAAAGTCACAACAGTTTTGTCGAACATCCATTAGCTGCAATAGGCTAGCTGCTGGTAACAAAACCTGAAAGGCAGAGGAAAAAATGGCAGAGAATGAGCAACTATACTTTGCCTTCTTGGATAAATCTTGAATACAAAGAATGTGGTCCTCAAGGTCAAAGAGGCCAGTCATCATAGAAACTTTACATCTCCACAAAAAAACACACTTCTTTATGAACGGCACTGGTACATCAGCACCTGCTGTCCAACTTCACCGTGAATCATTTTCCATTACAGGCAGCAAACTGTTAGTATATCCAAAGGGCTCATACTGCTGAAAGAATCATATCTGTATGTGACATTCTGGTGATGTCAATGATATCTACAGTACTGAATGAAGGCAGATTGAGAAGATGGCCTGGGGCACTTACATTTGTTTATCTGCCAGGAAGACTCCTCACCAGCTCTAGCAATGAAAAAGCCATTTTTTAAAAGGCAAGGCCCTTTTAAAAGCTAAACAGTATTAATGTCACTCTTTCCCTCACTGCTAAATATGCATTTACTCTGTTGGAATCAAGCAAACTCATAAGCAGGTCTCCAAGGAATGATCTAGAAAAGCATGACAAATATCGTTAAAGACTTACCTTGCCATTACACTGTGTTGGCAAGAAGAAAACTGTGTTCATCCACTGCCTCAACTCACTTCATCCCAAAAGAACAGTAGTAAAACTGCAACGTGCCCTGGGGTGCATTCACTGTACTATTCCAGCAAGAAAAATCCAACCCAGCTGGATCACACAGGAATATTACAAATCAGTAACTTTTTCAGAGAATGCTAACCCCCAACAGGCAACAATAAAACACAGAAATTAATTAAGCTATGTTCTCTGGCTCTCAAACACTTTTGATTCCTAGCACAGATTAACTTAAATTAGCAAAAGGAAACTAATAACAACTGTTTCTTTTTTCCAGCAATTTCCTAGAACTGCTTCGGTGTATTGGAATTCCACTAATATGATAAAAGTTTCAAGTTTCAGTGTAGTTTTAGAACAACAGTTCCAAGTAAAGGGCAAATTCACATCTATGCTAATTATCTGTGAACCACATAACCCCGTTTCTTGCTACAAAGATGGCCTAGATCAGGCTTCCTCAACCTCGGCCCTCCAGATGTTTTGAGACTACAATTCCCATCATCCCTGACCACTGGTCCTACTAGCTAGGGATCGTGGGAGTTGTAGGCCAAAAACATCTGGAGGACCGAGGTTGAGGAAGCCTGGCCTAGATAGCCTACCAGGGCAGCAGTTCCGGCTCATACTTACCCTCCTGTTCTTGTGCATTCCAATTCCCTTCCTCACTTCCCAGTTTGTGAGAACTATGTCTCAAACCAGGTCTTCCCTGTCCACAACACTGGACCCTGTTATTACTGAACACCTGTTTTTATCTGTTTTTATCATATAGTGTTAATGTTTTTATATTGCAGGCCACTTTGAGACCTTTAAACACTAAACGGCCTGCATTGCAGGGGGTTGGAACAGATAGAATTGTAGAGCCGGAAGCTACCCTATGATTTAAAGGGCTTTCAAACAAGCATATAACAACTATAATATTCCATGGCATACAAATCAGATAAACTATGGTTAACTACAAACCACAGTTTGCATCCAAACAAGAACTGGAAACCAAAGATCAGACTGGGATTCTGGTTTGTATTAAAACTATGGCATACTACGATAACCATAGTTTGCCTTATATTCTGATAAAATGGCAAACTACTTACTGAGAACCAAACAAAGAGAAGGAATGTGTGAGCGCACAAGGAATGGTGCCAACATCCTTGGTTGTGATGTCTGAACAAGACCATTGCCCTTCGGCTTTGCCATTCCCCACCCCCCACCCCATGTAAGAACAGTAATAATTAACTTTTAAAATTCCACAGATTGCTTATATACTGAATGTGAAATTCTTCAAACATTCTAAATTGTTACATAAATGTCTGGAGCCAAATGACTGCTGCTCTACAGCACTTGATACAATTATTCAGCCATGACAGAAATTAAACTGGGTTGTGAATACTTGTGTTAAATAGCAGAGCAGGGACCCACTGGGACAATATGGCGCTGGCCTGCAATGCTTCCACTAAAAATACTCAAAGACAGGAACCAGCATTATCCTATGGTGCAAATATCTAAGCGCATTACTTGTGAATCCACATGATCTTTCAGCAGCAGGCCTGTCCATTAAAACAGAGTTCAGGACCTTCAACAATTATATCAGTAAAGCATTCAGCCATATCACTTTTCAAAAGCCAAATCCAAATTATCAAAACACAGAAGACTGGCATTGATTTAAGTTAAAGTGCTTTGACCCAGGGTGCTTAACTTGTACCTAAGTGATTGTCATGATCTACATGATCTTCTTATAACCCACCAAGGAACATGAGAAGCTGCCTTGCCCCAAGTCAGACCATTGGTCCATGTAGCTCAGTAATGTCTACACTGACCAGCAGTGGATGCATCTCCAAGGTTTCACGCAAGGGTCTCTCCCAGCTCTCCCTGAGATGCCATGGATTGCATCTGGAATCTTCTGCATGCAAAGCACATGCTCTCTTACTAAGCTTTGGTTAATATGTTCCAAAAACTCAAAGGCTCTGAGGGTTAAGTGAAGATAGGGCAGCCAACATGGTGCTTCCCAAATGCTTCAGACTACAACTCCTACCACCCCGACTACTGGCTAAGCCGGCTGCTGGGAATTGTAGACCACAGCATCTGTAGGGCAACAAGTTGGCTACCCCAATGTAAAATCTTCTGATAAAAGTACCCCTGACTATTAGGTCCAGTCGCAGACGACTCTGGGGTTGTGGCGCTCATCTCGCTCTATAGGCCGAGGGAGCCGGCTTTTGTCTGCAGACAGCTTCCAGGTCATGTGGCCAGAATGACCAAGCCACTTTTGGCGAACCAGAGCAGCGCACGGAAATGCCGTTTACCGCCGAAGCGGTACCTATCTACTTGCACTTGACTTGACGTGCTTTCGAACTGCTAGGTGGGCAGGAGCTGGGACCGAACAACAGGAGCTCACCCTGTCGCAGGGATTCGAACCGCCGACCTTCCGATCGGCAAGCCCAATGCTCAGTGGTTTATACCACAGCGCCACCCACATCCCAAACCATGAATATAAGCTCTTAAATTCTCTCTCACTCTACAATTGCAGTAGTGTAACATTACTGATTCCTGATTTTACACCAATGCTGTACAAAATCTTTTAAATGCACAATACTTTTGCCCCTAGAATACTAAATCTAAGCAGACAGCTGGAGAATGGAGAAAAAATTATTACCAGTGTAATCACAGTATTTCCCACATAGACTTACTCCTTATAGACTTACTCCTAAATGTGTGTAGAAAGCTACCTTAAACATCAAATTTGCCATTCAGTTACAATGTGACTGCCCAGAAGATGCCCTCTTTAGGGAAGATGTGTAGAACTTAATTTAATTTTATAAAGAAACATTGCAGAATTCTATTGCTGAACATAATGGTTGTAATGATGCTGATATGACCTGATTTCCAGGCACATCCTGAAAGATCTCTAACTTCAATTCCTAGGTAATCTTTTATTATTGGAATCATTTTAATCTCAGCTTTAAAAATGAAAAATTATGAAGGCAACTTACATAAGTAAAACACTAAAGCAAGTTCATCATAAAAACTATGTACAAGAAAAGGCAGAAAATCACTCATGGTAAGCCTTGGAAAATAATTTTTTTAAATTCAATTTATCGATCTCCCCAGGAAGGGAGCCACCACTAAAAAGACACCTTTAAGATCTCCTCACCTGAACATTTTCTTCTGTGACCTCTATCTCAGCGGTGTAGATGTAATCAATCAGCTTACTTAAGGTTAGTCCATCAACATCTTTGATCTCGATCTTCTTTGCTTTGCTTTCAGTCATATCTCCTGAAATTCAATTTTAAAAATAATTCCCCCCCAAAAATGTGGTTTGTGTTTCTATTTCCCCCACCCCACCCCCTTAGGTTCAACTGAGCACATGGAGAAATTTCTACCTATCCGTCTTAACAAAAACAAAAAGACTTTTAGCACATTCTAAACAGTGATCCCATTTCTAGATATCTAAGAAATACTACCAAGTTTATGATTCCCACTTTCAAAATTACTTTTAAATATCTGATTTGCAAGTTAAGGCATCTCTGCTGCACAGCTTTGAGAACAGATAGCTACAGTTCATACAATTGAAAAGCCAATATTCTTTTCTTTTTTTAACAGTATGTTTTAAAGCAGCTGGCCCTGTTTGATACTCTTCCATGAAGAAAGACAGAAATATTCTTTGTTCCCTTTTCTACATTCTTAAAAGGAACAGAAGCCAACAGGCTACTATCGTTATACTCACTCAATAGGATTGCTCTTCCTTTGAAGTAAACCTGTCTACAAAAGAAAGGAATTGGTAACTTGCATGTATCTTAAGATTCCATGCATTTATTTTGCAGCAGTACGTTCCATTGGAAAGTACGTCCATGTCTGTACTCAGTGACATAGCCTTCAAATGGGAGGTCTGTATAAGGGACAGGCCAGAATATCTGGTGTCCACTGCAAGTTGTACCAAATGTATGTACTTTTGAATTGCTTTTCTCTTTGTCATGTGTGCGAAACAATAGAAGTTATTATGATGGAAGTTGCAAATTCAATTAATAGCTTTCTATTACAAGTTCTACTAGCATGATATTGTCAAGCTTCACAATTCTACTCCTGTCTTAACCAAGTGGTAAGGATTCCCTACATTTGCCGACATGGTCGGATGGTCACCTGCACTAGTGATCCAGGGCAATTGACATTTGAGGAGGGAAGGCACTCCTCAAACCTGCAGTGTTCTATGGCTGGAGTCATCTTCTGAGGTAGTGATGGAGAAACTGTGGCCCTCCAGATGTTGTTGCACTACAATTTCCATCACTGACCACTGGCCATGCTGGCTGGGTATGATGGGAGTTGAAGTCCAACAAGCTCTGGAGGTCCAAAGGTTTGCCATGTCTGTTTTAAGAAATACCATCCCCTGCTTTTTCATGTTGCAAAATACCAAGTGTTTTTGTTTGTTTGTTTTTTTATTGAAAGATTGAAATACCCGTATCTCTCGTGGAGGAGGCACACATAGAAAGACCTCACATGATTATCACAGGGTCTGGATTGATTTATGAGGGGTTTGGCGGTCCTTGAAGTATTGCGGTCCTGAGCCATTTGAGGCTTTATAGGTCAAAACTATCACTTTGAATTGGGCCCAGAAACTAATTGGCAGCCAGTGTAGTCCAGCCAGGATCGGTGTAATATGCAAGCCAACTCAATGTATACGGTGTGATTGCTTAGTTGTGAAATATATACAGTCCTAGATGTAGGTAGCTGTTTGGGGCTGTAACAGAGGAGCTGCAATTGGTCCTCTTACCAAGAGGAAAAATTTGCAATCTCTTATTATTTGCACAAGCTGCAACCCCATCCATGGAGGGAGCAGCTTGAGGGTGGGCGTTTGAGCTCATACTGCATTTATTTTTGCTGGCTCTTCTTTATAAGTGCTATAGAAAGAGAGAGCGCTGATGTCAGGCAAGGCTCTTTTGAGCTATTTGTGTATTTCACGTATTCGTACAATAGCTGACTACCTCTCTAACTTTAGATCAGTTGTGCTTGAAAGCTTGAGACTAGGTTTTATTAAATTGTTGTGTAATTTCCCCTCTTTTCTGTCATTTTATGCAGCTGAAGTCAGCAACTAAATCAGCACTGAACTGGCCTGTGGGCCAAACACTGAACTGAGGGGGTCACAGTTTTCCTCGATCTCATTCACTGGTGGAAGAAGTATGGTAATTGGAAAGGAACTGTTAGGGTGGCAGGCCCTGCCCTGTGGAACTGCCTACCAGTAGAGATTCAGCAGGAACCATTCCTCCTTGCCTTTAGATGTCTTTCGTTTAGACAGGCCTCTACAACATGAATTTCTTTTATTTTAACCAGTTAGAATTTATTTATGCCTTTTCATTGATATTTCTGTTGATTTTGTTTTTATATGCAGTATTCCCCTTTGCTATTTTGGTTATGGAAGTACAGATTATGAATTCATAAATAAATGAACCCATAATAAAGCTCTTTCATACATGGTCTGAAAATTTGCCCATCTGGCCCACTGCATTCTTCTCTGACTAGCAATGGCTCTTCAGGGTCTCAGGCAAGGAGGAAGGCCTTTTCCTTCATTTGTTTAATTTAACTAGAGATCCCAGGGATGGAACCTTCTGGCTACAAAGTACATGCATTACTAGAATCTTTCTTCTGTTCCTGCCATCTCAGGCCAAGAAAGACCGTGAAGAGGCTGCTGTTACAAGTTCATACTGGCTTCCGTAATGAGTATTAAAAGGGAGAAGGGATGAACTAGGGGCAATCACATGTGTCACTGCTTGGCAACCACATAAGCATCTTTTAACTTAGTTTATTGTTAATCAAGAAGCAGAAAGGGATAATGGCATGGTAGCATGGCAACCACATGACTTTCACCTCCCCTGTCCTGCTGTTTTGAATTAAGATTAGTACAGAAGTGGTTGCCACTGGTGCACCTTAATTTAAAGTGACCCAGTGATGATTAGGATTAGGTCCCAACCTCTTCCATCTTCACTCTGGGGCCAGAAGGCATCCTTAAAGAGCCAGATCCACCAACTGCTCACTAATTTAGGTCCTCACCTACATTCCACCTTTGCAAGAGTCAACCTGAACAAGCAGTATCAGCACAGCTATTAAAATGCACTTTAAACAAGCACCTTGCTACTTCTAAGGGCCAATTCTCACAAGACAAGCATCTTACATGGAAGTGTTCTGATTTTTTTAAAAATCAAAACCCTACATGGACCCCACATGTTGCATGTCACATGAGATGAGTACACAGATGTCTATTTTGCCACTCGCCACTTAAACAAGGAGGAAAGTAACTATGGTTTGCAACTGCAATAGTTATTGCGAAAGCAGAAAATCCACACCTTACCTCAATAGCAAGCTATCAGATGTAAAATATATTAATGGTGCTATATACTTCCACAATTAAATTAATTACCAAACCATTTTCTGTAAAACAGTCATTCAGAAATCTGTGTTATTCCCCATGCAGTGTCTTTTGTTCTCTTGTAGCAAAATTCCTAAGAACTAGTTCACATGTTAAAGCTGCTACATACAGAGGGTGAGACAAAGCAAAGAAAGGGAGGCAAAGTAAACGTGGTGGTGGTGTTTTTGCAGGAATCAGTGGCAGCACAAAGGCTGAATCCCCACAAAATATCCCTCAAATCTCAGCCTCAGGCTCACCTACAAACTTGAGCCCGGTACCATGGCAGCCTTAACATGAAAATGGTCTCTATTATGGAGCTTACTCCGATCTTTGACATGCCTCACCAGTACAATCAAGTCTGGGATGAATGCTCCTAATGCAGGATACGTTATCTGGAAACGCACACAAATGGCTGTTCACATAGTAAATTATAAACCTCATGTTTCCTTCCCCCCGCCCCACATACAAAACACCTTTAAAAACAGTCACAGGCCTATACTCAAACCCTAATGGATACCAAACAGAACTAATCTGCATCTTAGAATCTGCACCCTACACTAGCACCCAACACATAGCTTGACTCCAAATATATTTTAATCAGCAAATAACAGTTATTTGCTCAAACGCCCAAAGATACCTGTAAACATTGCACAGAAATACGGACTGCAGGCTGCCAGGACAATACGATGGGCTTCGATCTCAACATCTTCAGCAACAATCACCACATCACAGAGAAGCCGCTTGCTGTGAAGACACCAAAAAATCATGGTTTCAGAACGTGCTTCCAAACTGTGCTTTCTATATGCAGACTTGAAATGGTCTAGTTTCCTTGAATGACTCTTCTGCTATACAGCACTATTAAGGGGGATGGGGAGGGGCTTGCTATAGCCTCTATAGGCAGCCCTCTGGAATATTCAGTTCATTTTTAATTAACAAACATGACAATTTAGCTAGATTTCAAGGTTATAGTCTCGCAAATTTATTTCAATATGTGGGTGAATTCAAGATCCAAGTGTTCAAACATACAAAGAACTGTTTAAAAAAACCTCATCCATTTTGATGAATACTGAGCTGAATATATTTATATCTACAGCTTATGCAAAAGGTTTTTTTTCCTCTGTAATTATGTGTGGGTGTCTTAAGACCAGTAATCCATTATTGGATGTCAAGTAATTTTTAAATAAATGGGAATAGCACGAAGAAACATCTTTGGAGGGGCTTTGTCTTTTATTCAAAGCAGTTGGTAACACAGCAGTAGCCTCATCAGTCTTGCATTGAGTCTCCTCCCTCTTCAAGCCCTTCCAAAAAAAATTACCCCCAAAGAGAACATACACTTAACTCAAACCTCCTGCATTGTCCTCAAAACAGAGGCTAGACCACACATGAATAGAAGAGAACCAGTGCCCCCCCACCAGATGATTCCCAACACTGCCATGCCTGCTACCAATAGGCCTGCTAGGAGGAAGAGACCATTTGTGATGGCTACCAAGAAGCAGATGTTGGCAACTTATTTTCCCTCCCAGCCTTTCTAGTTTGCACATGTTCCCTGTACAAGGGGTTTGCAAAGGGACTTAGTGGGCAGCAGCAGCAAAGGCCACTGTAGCTCAAATTGTGCATTATCTGCTTGGGGATGCCACACACAAAAAGGACTTGCCACTGGGATATCCCAGGTGGAGAGGCAGCAGATACGGAGAATGAATAGTAAGAGAAGGCAACACAATAGAAAGGGGTAAGGAAACTCTCCTCCCTCCCATGCCCCATACACCCCCCACTGATCCCCTAAAATAGCATCCTAGGCACATAGCGCACGCTAGCCTCCAGCCACTAGGGTTCTTGCATCACACAAGTGTAGCACACTACACAACAGCTAGGGAAAGGAGGGGACTCCACAGGTTAAGCTAAGAAGGAGGCCTCTTGCTGGCTTTCCGCTACCAAGGTCACCATGTCTGGACAAGGGCCACCTGTTCTCAGTCCATCCTCAGTGACAGTGAAGGCTGAAAGCACAGCTGCTATCACTGACACTAGCCAGTCCAGGAACTCCAAGCTAAATGGAAAGGTGGAAGCACCTGTTATTGACATAATACCTACCCACTATATACTTTACAGTGTGGGGAGGAGAGGAATGCAAGGGACTCTGCCTGAAATCGATGCATTTGTGGCCGCTTGACCTCCTACAGAAATGGCCACTGGCTGACCCAGCAGAGATACGTATAGAGTAAAGTGCTGCTCCCCCCCCCCCCCGCTTGCCTGTCCCCAGTCATCATTAAGTTCTCACTGGTCCAGACTTGCCATGTGCGTAATATTGCCATGGAAATCAGCCTTTGCTAAAAACAACAGATTTAAGGCATTCAAGCAAATGCCACAATTTAGTTCTACTACAGCTCAGCAGCAGCAGGGAGCCAAAAGCATAAATCGGTAATAAGCACACAAGGAAAGAGACAACAGAGGCTTAAGGGCAGCTGTAGTCTTACATGTTCAAAAGGGCATCATGCACAAGAGAAGCCATTAGTTTCCACAAAGAGCAGCACTGTCATACACTCCCCCATTATCCCCCACTGCACTCAAGTTACAAAAGGAATAAGCTAATATTATATCACTCCAAGTACATATTCCACATAACTTAGGCAGCCAAGTGCTCAGGCACATAAGCAACTTTACTCCAGTCCCCTCCTGTTCTGTGACAGCAGACTAGAAGTAGAAGCTATCAGCTCCAAGATAACGGGGGGGGGGGGTTAGGACTCTTCACATAATGCTGATGCCCCTTTTGACATTACAGACATGATGTGGGGAGCTGCTGTTCCATGTGTTCATCTGATAGCATTGCCATAATGCTTAAAAGCACACCACCATTTGGATCATTATCAAGGAATTTTTACCCAGCAATTTGGCGGCAAGCCTTTATGCATTATAGAATCTGCAGCAATTCCACAGCCACCTCTGAAGAGTGCTATAGTCCTGTCATGGTCAGAATGTGTTGCAATTCAAGAACAGTCGTACCACTGAAGTCAAACGGAATCCGTTCTGGAAGTCCATTCAACTTCCAAAATGTCCGGAAACCAAGGCGCAGCTTCCAATTGGCTGCAGGAAGACAGCCAAAATAGCTGCCTTGAATTTATGTTTCCTAGGGGATCTGCATATAGTATACACCATATCATAGGCAATACAATAAGATTTTGCTGCACATGTTGATATGCACAAATCTGTTATGAGCCAATCAAAGTCAAGCACTTTTATGTATGAGAAACTAAATCTCATCGGATAGCAGGGAATAAATATCTGACCCACAAATAACTCTTTAATCTATCCTGGGCACAACAGAGACATTTTGGATTTATTTACTGCATCTCTAAATAATGTATGGCAGGCAGATATGTAATCAGATTAAGCTCAAGAAAAGATGACAAACTCAGACACACAGACCCCTATCTTAATTACATACATGATTATTGTTTACCCTAGAGCCAATTTTTATAGACAAATGTGGGGCCAATGATGGACTGAACAAGGAATTGTGGTATTTAAAACAAAATAGACTTAACAGTAGAATAACATAGGAACCTAAACAGGCTCTTTTAGCCAACATGAAATTTCTAACTGGTGTGCAAGGATTGGTAGTCAAACAGAAATCAATTTGCACTAACCATTTTTCTCTGCAATTAGGCGTAGGTGTTGTAATACGTGTAACACTAGATTATCACTTTTTAAATAGCTTTGATCTTCTGGAGATCTTGATTATGTGGTGATTTGCACCAAATGAAAAAGCACACCAAGCATTCTTTTTATTTAAAGAGAGATTATTTTACGGTGGGAACATTTGAAAATGTTTAAGTGGGTTTATAAACAAATATTTTGTTTTTAGCAAAGCAGCAACAAGCATGTTTGTGTAAAGGGAAGCAGCAGCAAAGGCCTCCAAACATATAATACTATGCTTGCTTCTTTCTACTGAATAACCTGTCAGCTATCTTGATTTGTACTGAAAGTAGAATAATTCCAAGCCATTTCAAATATCAGACTTATAATATGCTTGATATCCTCCTGTGGCTGACTTCAATATCACAACACTCGCACCAATAACGTCACATCAGTAACACTGGAGGCAGCAATGCTTATGAATACCAGTTGCTAGAAACCACAAGAGAGGAGAATGTTTTTGTGTTCAAATCCTGCTTGGCGGTTTCCCCCACAAGGATCTGGTTGGCCACTGTGAGAACAGGATGCTGAACTATAGATGGCCACTGGCCTGATCCAGCAGGCTCTTCATGTTCCTATGAAGTTTTGCATCAAGCGACTGAGCTGAATAACGTAAGAACTTTCCACACTAGCATAAAAGCACCATCCTTGTGTGAGAACTACCTGTGTGATCTGGGAGACCGACATGACACAGAACTTTGTATTTTGAGACACAACCCTGCTTCAAAGCAATGCTTGAACGGAACCTCTTTTTTACAAAGTAAATATGTAGCTTAGATGCCTCCTGTTCAAACTAACAAGCGGCAAGTGCATGACAATGCAAATTGAGCACAAGAAGTACCTCCTTAGTTCATTCATGACTTTGAATGCCTTTCCCATGTGACAAGGATTGATGGTCACTGTTCGCTGGTCCTTATCTTCATCTTCCTCAAGTGGTTGGGGGGATCGCTTGATGCTAAAGACAAGGGGGGAAAGGAAGTTGAATTTTTTTTAATTCTCAAGAAATAAGGGAAAATATGACCCAATAACAATTCATGCAAAACTACTGGCATGCTCACTGACTGTGGTATCACAGTTTCATAGTTTTATCTGGCATTGGCAGCTGTCTCCACTATATTTTGAAGTGTAACTAGAGCACCCTTTTAAGATCTCAGCTATGCTGTACATGCCTTCTACACAACTATGTGAAATATGTGCTAGAGAGGCATGCATAATTTTTTTTTTCTGAACTGATACAAATATTTGTGGATCCCAGACTTGGGCATTTCACATTTCAAGTAAGACATATGCATACCTACCCACTTCTGAAAAAATTAAGAAAGGCAAACGGAAATTGATCATTTGGGTTTCAAAACTACAACAGTCAGATTACAGTGGTTTTATCTACTGAACACACACACACAAAAACCACAGCCCAATACTTTTTATTAAACCTAGAATAGGCAAGTGTATAAACTATTCTGCACATTACCAAGACGCAGGAATAGTGTGAGTCACACATCCTTTTTCCATGCATCCAAGCACTGTGCAAAGGGGAACTTGCACATTTTCTCTGCAGGAGTCACTTATACATCCTCTATAGTTAACATGCAAAACAACCCAATTAATCCTTCTGCCCAAGACTGAAGGTCAGTTCATATTACCTTAAAAGGAATGAATGTAGGTGTACAGAATGAGTCTTTTTCACTACATGTCCAGTTCCTAATGTTTCAATAGATGTACATCTATTATGTGGGCACAAACAACTGTCAATGCGCAATGGAAATCAGGACTTAGTTACGCAGTAAAACAAAATGCACAGCCACCTCACTATATGCCATAAAAATTAGTCCATGTGTCCTTTCTGTGTAATTTCATGGTCTTATGAACTGGGCCTTACATAAAAGACCCAAAACTCTTGTTTAATTTAAAATGCATAAAGTTACTCAGAGTTAATGTATTTCCTTAATGTAAAAAAGGCAGGTTATAGATCTAAAGGCAATGGAAACAAACAAAATAATCTTGCCAAACCAGTTTCCCCTCTAAACAAAAAGACAAAACAAAACACAGCACTGCCAATACAGCTGTATGCAAATACTTTCGCAAAGGGCCCGAACCATTTCCTAAAGAGAGAGGCCCAATTTAAACATAACACTGGGCAAGACAGAATTCAGCCATGGAGTGTTCCATACACCAGCTTCACATTTAAACTAGGCCATCAGGCCCTGCACATGCAAGCCACAGACCTCTGGTGTGGTAGCAGTGTATGCACAAGGAAAGGCAACACAGTTCACAAAAAGTGCTGGTGAACAGAATGCTGCAATAAAGTTTGCCTTACACACCCAACATATAGGTTAAATCGAGCTCGAGATTCCTTTGAAAACATTTTGTAGAATCCTTCTTGCTGTTCCAGATATATTTCTGCAAACCTTACTGTAGCTCTGTTTTTATCACCACCAGTATATATTGTTTGGGGGGGGGGGGAGGCCCATGAAATACCAGGAAGGAGGCTGAGGTGAAAGGAAGGTTCCAGTATCTTGCCTCATCCCTTTCTAGTACTCTCTATCCCTTTCAGGCACCTCTTCATTCTAGCTTTCCTATCCTCCTCTTCATTCTCTCTCTCTCTCACTCACACACACACACACACACAACATATTTTTCAGTGTATAAGACTAGTTTTTACCAAAAAATTATGTTTAAAATTGGGGCTCGTCTTATACACAGGTAGTGCTGAGGGGTGTTTTCTTAATTTGGAGTCCCCAAAAATAGGGGGCGTCTTATACACAGAAAAATACAGTGTGTGTATATACACACAAACACAGAGAGAGAAATATTCCTGTGGCACTCGCCTCCATCCACCCATCCAAATAAGCCTCTGGTTCTTTCCCAAAATACAGTACTTTAGTCTTCTATATAGGAATGAATGACAGTTACCTACTTATGTTGGGGGGAAAGTAGATGTATCGCTGGGCCAGTTATTATAGCAGAGGCTAAACCCTTTCTTAGCCCCTCATGTTCTGAGGCATTAAGAATCCATATTGCTCCTAACTGCACAGCTGTCTTCCTCAGTAATTCTAAAGGAGGCCTGAGGCCTGTGTCCTTACTTGGGATCTCCAGGATAGCCCATGACAGTTAACAGACTTCACACCATCAGGGCTTCTCCTTAGCTGGGGAAAGAGAGCTTTACCTTCCAGCGACTGCTACCACACACCTCAACACCAGTTTCTTCCCCACTTCCATTTAAATTAGCTGCACAGCGGTCAACCAATACGGTACTTGGAATATGCCAGGATACCATAGGCTACCAAGTCAAAATTGATGTGAATTTCAGAGGCAGCAATTCCCTTTGCTCCTGGGAAAAGAAACATGGGTGATGGGAATGTTCAGGATGTCGGACTGAAGTGGTTGTTGTAGGAAGCAGTGCTGTGCAATAAATCGCCGTATCCCGGTATTGAAATAACATCGTGGTAAGTGATAAGGCAATATACTGGTGAACAAAAGGTGAAGACTTAACAGCTTTGCTCTCTCCCTCCTAACCAATAAGAAATGATGGCAAGTGATAAGAAATGATGATAAACCCTCACACCTCTACATCAAAGCAATTAAGTTACTTGAGGAGGGGAAGTAGCAATGGGGGGGTGGCACAGAGAGATATCATGGCCTAGAAAGTACCCCAAAGTAAAGACAATAAAGACAACACTCAGAGGGCTACATTCAGTCCTAGGCCTGAGGGGTCATATCAAAAAATGTTGTCCTGTGAGCAAAAGGACTTCCACCAGCAAAACAGGATTTCCACTCCTGCACCAGAGGGTTGGTTCCCTTGGAACAGACTGGGGGGTGCCGGGGTGGGGGAAGTCCTTGTGCTAATTGGACAACTTTGCTAGACTCAAGTCATGGAACCCCACTCCTATTCTACAGAAAGAAAAGCTTTCCACCCTGGTTTATATGGTGGGAACAAGGACTGCTCAGGTGCTTGGAGAAATGAAAGGTAACTGGAAGACAAGGAGCATAGTGGCACAAATGTTGGGGTAGCACACTGGAGCTGAATGGCCAGTCGAAACCAGGGTGGTCGTGGCAACAATATTATTGGGGTGGACCCAATGCATCTGCTCAGAGAAGCGTTGGACCCCCTGAACCCATTTGAGTTTGACATGCCTAGAGTAGAGCAGTATAGAAGGTTGAAAGATTGTTGGCAACTGGCTAACAACTGCTTCTTCACCCTGCTCTCTCTTTCCACAGTCACAATGTTTTAAAAACTTCAGAACTTACCGGTATGTTCAATTTCCTGCTTCACATTTCAGCCTCCACCACCAACCTGAGTATTCCACAGCACTTTCATGGATGCAAGTATGTCCACTTTGAAATCACATTTGGAATTCCATTAAAACCAACAAACAAAATGTTTCTCCATGACCCAAGCTCCCTAGCAGCACGGCTGGCTTATTTAAAATCAGCAATTTGGATATTAACATTCTGTGCTCTGTTTATATGCCTCTGATGTATAACAGGCCTGCTTGTTTTAAAGCCCTGCCACTTCACAAACAGCAAACCCTTCAGCTTTCATCCTTGGATCATACAGAGATACAACAGAATTAAACCTGATAAGAGTAACTGGGAAGTAGGAAAATCAGAGAAAGACACAAGCAGAGGTGGAATGGGCTGCCTCCTTTATAAGCTGGCGCTTTCTGTTCACAGGAACATTTAATTAATTAATTTCTCCTGGCACACTAGCAGTTCTTCCACAATATACTACTTTTGCACCCTAGCGTACTACCTTACTTTCAGCACAAGGCTCTTCCTCCCCCACTGCCCGCCCAAGAGGAAACATTTATACTCACCAAACAGACCCCATGTTCTCTAGTCTTTTTGCCTCCAATCCCTACGAAGCCCACAAATACGTGCAGCTCTTCCTGCTTAATTTACATGCTAGCCAGCACATTGTGAAAGCTCAGTTCTACTGTTTGCCTGACAATTCACCCTTTCACGCCAGTGTTTGAGGACAGAGATGTAAAAGCCTTTTAAGACAGAGCAACACTCACTTTGGTGTTAGCAACTTTTTTTCTGCAGGGTTCCCCACCACACATACCACCTATATGTGCATAGAAAAGTGCAGACAATGAGTGTACATAGGGCTACGGAACAGGTCTTGCCACTGCATTGCCACTCCCACCCGCACCTTACCTTCATGCACGTGCAGGCATATGAACAGTAGTATTGATTATGCTATTATAAATAGCAATGAAAATGGTGTTTGTCATGCTGATCACTTGATATTGATGATACTGCTAATATAAATGTGGAGGGGCAAAGGGGGTGTTGAGGCACATAATGAGTTATTAGAAAGTTGAACTGCTTTTACCCACTGAACAGAAACCCTGAAGATGATCTAGTAACACAGAAAGTATTGGATGGTGCAGACAATAAAAAGCACCCAGGGACCTTGCCCCATTGGAGCACCTGCTGGTAAATGCACCAGAGTCTCTCCAGGGACTTATTTCTAAAGTTTACAAAATCAGATGTAACCATAATGTCCCTAGAAGAGCTGAGTACAGTGTTACCTCCGTTTGCAGACGGGATCCGTCCGGAGGTCCAGCCGGATCCTGAGGTTTTTGCAACCGGAGAGACCGCTTCTGTGCATGCGCGCGCAGCAAAAAAACGGATATATACTTCCGGGTTTGCCGCTTACGTATCCTGAAGTTTATGTAACCAAAGAGGTAAGCGGAGGTATGACTGTATTATTTGGGAATATGACACAATGAATTTTGGCTGCATAACCTTTATTAGATGGTTACCAGGATTCAAATAACAATTTGCAATAAATATAAAGGTGTCCTGGTGGCAGTGAGGTGCTGGAAATTTCTGGGAGGATTGTCATTAGAAACCTAGTATGAATTGGTTTGGACACTTGCTTTTGCTGAAAAGCCGATGTGTCAACTGAAAGCAGCCAAAAGACTAATGGACTGGGACTCATTCTGTGGTACACAGCACAGCTTTATTAAGCATCCTTCAGATGCAAAAAAGGCATTGGAGGGACTTGCTTGAATGATCAAGAAAACATACCACTGTCACTGCCTAACCTTATTACCCAGTCACACGCAGCTGATTTTTGTGGTGCTAGTTTTGTTAAACATACAAGATACTCATTTTTAAACCTTTTTCTTACAAGGTTTTAAATAAAAATTACAACCACCAAACAACTACTATTGCTGAAATATTTCAGTCATTGATCACATTAGTTTTTCTTGCTCCTATACCCAGACTATCACATATAGTAAGTGATTCAACAATCATATGAATTTATGCTCATTTGTCACACACCTGGCAGCACACAGGGAGAGCAAGTCCTTTCCTACACATTTTAACATGAGTAGCATTGCTCCATGCACTATGAAGAATTGGTTTTGAACAACATTCCAGAAAGGAGATCACTGCTGCTGTTGACATGACAGCTCAACAATTTTCATCAGGACTGTCAAGTTAATACTATGGTCCTCAACATTTAATTCTTTCTGCATATTCCCACTGAAGAACTGCAAGTGGACTGTGCTACTGGGAAGACCATTGGGATTTGTCTTTGATCACTAGAATAGGGTTGAAACAGAAATATAATCACTGAAACAACAGAGAAGGCTTTTTGTTTAGCACTATTTAGATGCAATACTGCCATAAGATTTGATAAGACTAAGGCAACACTTTTATGCTTTTTATGCAGCACTTTTTATGCATTCACTTGTTCTGACTGCATATTGGCCAGAAAGGGAATCTCATTGCTTGGGGTACGTGATCAGCTTTCCAAAATTTCAAAGACACTTTCAGCATCGAAAAGCAGAGACAGCTTGAGCAGCTTTTTGGCAAAGTCAACTGGTACTTTGCAACAATGCACAATCATAACAGTGAATGCATGTCAGTGAGAAGGGAAAGACATGTAGAGGAACCCAACACTTTCCATGGATAACAGATGCCTTGAGACAGCACACATAGCACACATGCCATCTACCAGGCTATCCCCATAGGGAGGCAGTCACTAGTGAAGGTACTCCCATCTGTCAGCATGGGCCTGGAGTCAAGAGCAACATGGAGTTGTAGAAACCACATGGGATTAGTCTTCCACAGTCTTGGAATTGCTTCCATGAATGCATTAACTATTGATGCAAGACAGCCTGTTCTGGTAACTGCTCCCATCAAAAATATGAACTGCAATGCACATCTACGTGCTCAGAAATAAATTGTTACATGGCCCAAGTACTGTAAATAGTTCCTTGCAGGGTGTCTATCATTAGTGGTGGTGTTCAGCAAGCAATATGAGAGTCCCTACAGCAGCATTTCTGCAGCCTGATGCTATTAAGTTGTTGTGGATGACAACTCCCGCTGTCAGAGATGATGGAAGTTGTAGTCCAAAACATCTGGAGAAGCCTTCCCAATAGGGTTTCAGACTGATCTAAAGATAGAAGTTAAAAGTGATTAAGGAGGTTCATCCCTGCTATCCTCACTCCTCCTTCCTCTAATTATTCCACTGTCAAAATTCAGTTTGCAACCTTCTTAGGGCTTGAAATCCTCGCCTTGAGCTCACCAGGTGACCTTAGGGAAGACCCTCTCTTTCTTTCTTTCTTTCTTTCTTTCTTTCTTTCTCTCTCTCTCTCTCTCTCTCTCTCTCTCTTTCTCCCCCACAACCAGCAATTTGGGGATAATACTATTTTCAAGACAGTGGGTGTGCAACACTCTGATTACTCAAGAGGGATTCGATGTTTTAACAGGATTACACACATTGGTTATAATCAGCATTTCTAGTATCATCAGTCATCGTCACCACCACTGTCATTCCTACATCCAGGCAACTGAACTCAGCTCCAATAATTTCAGCAAAGTAGCAATGCTTGGAGCTCTGGGCTTTCCAATACTTTTTTGCATCCCGGTTACTACAAGAAAGGAAATGAATGCATCCCTTCCAGTCATCCCACTCCCTTTCCTGGTTCTAATACCATTTATTCCTCACAAGTTGAAGCCAGAAAGAAAGTCTGACATGCAGTCCAACCCCCCATACCATGATGTATATTTTTCTTCAAGTCAGTGCCCCTAAGTTAAGTGGAACTTCATCCCCAATAACTGTTTGTTCAAATGTTTGTTCTCTATGTTCTAAGAACAGGCTGGGGGTTTTGTTCGTGCTGCCCAACCATCACCTGAGCTGTCCAAGGTTGCACAGAACTTGATGCTCAGGATCGTATTTTTATATGCATAGTTGTATTCTGTTATAACTTATTAGGCGAACCAAGCGGATACATATTTCTATGAAGACTGCTGAACAACTACCTTTAATAATATATCCACAGCTACCCCAGCTATGGCCCCATGAAACAGCTCCTGGTTCTACTGGGACAGCTGTCTGCAACTTAGTCTATTAAATGTGGTCGTCTCTCATTCTGAAACCCCATATACAGTTTATAACAAAGCTGTTTCCTTCTCACAAATTTCTCTCATCACGAACAAATGGGCAAAGTCCTCAGATTCCAAACTCATAGCAACTCCAGTGGGAGATCAAAGCTCTCAAAGAATCTAGGAGCAAGTGTGTACATCAAGATAACCAGTGGACAGGGAATGAGGCTGAGCTACTGATAGTGTACAGTAAGTCCACAGTCGAAAGCCCCCTTCTCTCCCTCTCTCTGCAATTATTGGAGAGATGTACAGATATACCATAAATGCGTGTTGACACCAAGGATAAGAGACCAGTAGACTGTGGGTAAAATAAACCGTTTTGCCGATACAGTTTTGCAATAGGCCCTGGATGGATCTCACCACAATCTTTAGCACATGCCAGGAAAATGAGTTCTGAAGGAAAGAGAGACCATCTTGCAAGCCTGACAATCTTCACTTATTCCTCCCCAAACACTGGGTATCAAACAGAGCAAAGTGCTTCCTCGTGATACATTCCCAATGGGATTTATTTAGAATATTTAGATACCACTCAGTAACAAAACATTATACTTTTTGGGGGGGGGGGAGGGCAGGTTACAGTAAAGAAATATAGGTGAATACAGTCGTACCTTGTATCCCGAACGCCTTGGTACTCGGACGTTTTGACTCCCGAATGCCACAAACCCAGAAGTGACTTTTCTGGTTTGCAAACATTCTTTGGAACCCGAACGTCTGACGGGGCTTCTGATTGGCTGCAGGAGCTTCCTGCAGCCAATCAGAAGCTGCGATTGGGTTTCCCAACGTTTTGGAAGTCAAACAAACTTCCGGAAAAGATTCCGTTTGACTTCCAAGGTATGACTGTACTGAAACCACATGACTGAGCTTATTCACACAGGTCTTCCAAATAATGCACACAGACACTCCATGAGGCTGAAGGACAACAATGAATGGAAAATGTCTACATGACCATAGTAACACATGTGGGTGCAGTTATTTGGACATATAGTGCAGCTCGGTGAAAATACACCATAAGGAACAAACTCTGACACAGCTCTGGGCATATGAAAGTGGGATGTTCCACTGATTTCAATGAGGCATTGGATCTCAACCTTTAGAAAGAAGTATCTGAAGCAGCATTCCATCACAAACCGATAGCAGCAACAAGTTAAATCATACTATACTATGGGAAGAAACTGCATCTCATGTTTCTACTGCTTCCATATGCAGCAGAGCCTCAACTTTTTCCCCTTTTCTGAAGGCATCCAGTTCACAATGTGCAGAGGAAGTGCTCTGCACATCCTGTTTTTCCAAGAAAGCAAAACTAAGTATTCTTTCCATAATTGTTTCACGCAGTTCAAATCCCGTTACAATGCAGGAAAAACACATTTCTATTTTGTAAAGTGGAAAACACTGCTACACCCTCTCACCGTGTTCCAAGTATTATGTTTTATAATCTTAGTTAAGCATCACGGATATTGTCAATGAACAATACAAGACAAGGCCCTTCTATTATGTGTACTGTACCTATTACTGTTTGCCTTTTCGTGTGCTATGTTACAGGTCACTGGTGGTACTGGTTTTGTCTCTGCTTTAGAAGGAGACATAGGCATTATCTCCACAATGGATCTGTAAATGTTCTACACTCATGTTGGTTTAAGTGTCTAAAATACTGCCAGACTGGTTAAGATTTAAAAGATCTGAAATAAGCAACCAAAAGCGAGGAAAGCGTGCTCAGTATCGTTTTGGCAGTTACTACCAAACTGTAAACGCTGGCTCACTTTTCATGTCTTTCCTTATATAATTAACTGTAACTTACATTTCTTTATGGAGAGGAAGTCTATCATGTGACCAGAATCACATCACAAGATCAATCACTGTGTTGATCAACCACAGTGATGGTCCGATCACATGACGTCCTGCATATCAGGGAGCCACAGGTGGATCACACAAAGCCATTATCTGTCTGCACATGCCAAACCCCCCCCCCAACCTCATACCCCAAAATAAGTCAAATCAGCAACTGTGACCAAAAAAAAACCTGCAGCAAGCAATAGTTACTAACATGCCGCAACAGGAGACCAGATTGTGTGAATCAACCCTGTGTTACTTTACTAAAAATTCTAATGTTTCCATAGCAACTGTTTGGGCTCCCACAAACACACTTCCTGTACTTTTTTTTTTTTAGTTTTATTAAATCCAAACAAGTTAGCCTTTCACCTATGTAATTGCTGTGCCAAGGAATGAAGCAGGCATGTATTTGCGGATTAGAAAGTGAATTCCAGAACAGCTGAAAAGGGGGGGGGGGGGATAAATTAAAAGGGAAAGCGGAGTTCAAGCTGGAGCCAGCAGACCTGAATTTAATCACTGCTCCTGCATTCTTAACGTGTGGCCGGGCTACTGCCTGCTGTTCACAAGTCAGACTTCTCACTTAATCACATAGTTGTATTCTATTGTGCAAACGAAGCAGATATATAGTTCTACCAAGCAGATATGTATTTCTGTGAGGATTGCCACCTTTTTTATGTGGTTATTAAACTCAAAACAATTAAGTTAAAAGCCTGGCCCGATCGAGGAGGAATGGTTGCTCTCAAAACGACGACTGCCTCCTTCAAGTAGCAAAGACTCTTAAAACTGCACAACCACAGGGCGCCCCAGGTCAGCCGCTTGCAAAGCGATTTTCAAGTCTGAAAAACACGCCGAAAAGAAGCGGAAGGAGGGAGGCAGGGACGGAGGGAGGAAGAGAGAGAGAATTTCAAACCAGGGCCATCGGAGGCAGGAAGTAGGAAAGGGAGAGAGAATCTGGAAAAGTGATGAAGGATTCGGCGATGAATGAGTCCGAGGTGGGGAGGGGAGGGAGAGAGCTCGCACTGTGCAAACATCACACATCTCCAAAATACAAATAACAAGACAGCCTGCCAGCGAGCAGGACTGGCGATCTTTTGGGCCACGACAAACAAACGCACGCAAATGAACCGCGCCACGCGGAAGGTTATTGCAGCAGCTAACTTTGGGAGTGATGCTAAATGGATCCGGCAGGGCTGTCCTCCCATGGGGATCGATCGGCCCACCGGAAAGCTCTGCATAACCTGCCACCCCTTGCCTACGCAAACACAAAGGCGCCTGCACTCTTCCAGTCGCGGACAGACACACACTTAATTCCCTCCCCTCCGACCCGCACAAACCTCTCGTCGTCCATTGTGCGCAGCCGGAGTGGAGCTTGAACTCTGCATGCACCCTCGTCTCCTGGCCTCGGGCAACGCCGCCGCCGCGTCTCCCACCGTTGTCCTCCTTGATCGGGGCGCAGCGAGCCGGCCGAATCAGTCAGCGCCTGTGATTCAGCATGGCTGCAGTCGGCTCTCCTCCTTCCCTCCGCGGAGCTGCTTCCTCTCGCTCCTAAAGCAACAGCAGCAGCAGCAGAGCTTAGCGTTGCAGCAGCAAACAGAACACTCCCTACCCAGAGCTCCCCGCTGCTGCTGCTGCTGCTGCTGCTCTTGCTCCAGCCTCGGCAGCCCACTCCCTTTGCCTCGCCTCCTCCCGCTCCAAGCTTGCTACTCTACTAGTCTCCTGGCAACAGCAGCTGTGGGCATAGGTGCATTTGCACCGCCCCAGATGCTGCATTTGCACAGTGCATCCTCGGGGCCTTTTTTATTTTAAACACACACACACACACACACACGGCAAATGTAAGAGAAATCACGTGCTTTTCCCCTGATCTGGTAATTCACCCTGCTCCCAAAACTGACACTTTTTTTGGTTCCCTTTTCTCTCTTTTTTTTCCTACAGGATGCAAGTGCATTGCATCACTTACCTATCTGGATTTTGATCCCGTCCTGTTCTAAAGTCCCCCAGCAAAGGGAGCCACCTACTTATCACATAGGTAAAAGGCCAGTGAAAAGAGGAAATATTAACATCCAATGACACCAACCCTAGAATTAAAAGTATTTCAGAGTGGGCGAGTGCAAACTGATGAAAGTATTAGAATGCAAGGCAACTGCCCACCCTTTCCTCATCTGAACCACTGGCTAGGCTCTCTTTCAGCCACAGAAAAACATCCTGGGAAATCTAGGCTGTATTCCTAAACTAAAAAGCATTCCCCACTGAACTTGGAGCGTGCAGGTGACCAAGTTCCCAGTGGGATTTGACTCACCCTTAAATGCCATACAAAGCTCAAACACACTTGCTGAGTTATAACTTTTCTTGTAATCACTGCAGCAGGGATCAAGCCTGCAGATTGCCGTTGCAAATGTGTTCTTACCTTCACTAGTTTGCCTGTTTTCTATCTTATTGATTGGTTCTGTTTCTGTTTATTTATTTAGAAATCTAATAATCCTCATTATTTAATTTGTATACTGCCCTTCATCTGAAGATCACAGGGTGGTTCAAAACATAAAAATACAACATGAGGACACAAAATACGCAATCAAACAAAAGCAATAACCACCACACCGCCGGGTTGAAGAGGAACATTTTCACCTGGTGCCTAAAGTATGTAATGAAGGAGCCAGGCAAGACTCCCTGGGGGGGAGCAGTCCACAAATGGGGAGCCACCACAGAAAAGGTCTGCTCTTGTTTTCCACCCTCCAGACCTCTCGTGGAGGAGGCACACAAAGAAGGACCTCACATGATTATCACAGCGTCTGGATTGATTTTTGTGGAGTGAGGAGGTTCTTGAAGTATTGCGGTCCTGAGCCGTTTGAGGCTTTATAGGTCAAAACCATGACTTTGAATTGGGCCCAGAAACTAATTGGCAGCCAGTGCAGTCCAGCCAGGATCGGTGCAATATGTCCCGTGCCTTCAAAAAGAACTATTCAATCAAAATCAAAAAATTCTTAACCCATTATATATTAACCAAACAACCACACAGCTCTGTCTTTGCAGTAGATTTTATATATTGTCACACAAACACGCAAATGTAAGCAGCTTTCTGAAATATTTGAACAAATACCTGTCTGCTGAAGGACCAAACAGCCTGTTCTTTCATCTGTCCTATACATTTCCACTCCTACAAAGAGAAAATGGAACATGTCAGAGGAACACTGTTGGTTTGCCAACACTAACATAGAGTAGTAGTGGGTAAGAGTGAGCTTCTGAATCCTTGGTTATAACCCTTATTAACTAAGTGATCTTAACCAGGTTGCAGTTTCTCAGCCTGTTTAGCATATGAAAAATGGTTAATTTCCATTAGCGGTCAAGGTACATCTTTTGTCAACAGAATACAAATGTATTGCTTCCCTGCAAACTTACATATAACACGAGTCCTTTCTCTTGCCTACAACAGGCTTTTTCCTAGGTGTGCTTTTCCTGCAGTTTGTCCACTTTATTGCTGTCCGCCTGAAACCATTCAGCAATTTAATTTTTGTCCATGTTGCATTCCAGCTATAATGTGCTACAGTGTGCAGAAATAATGTTTATTTAAGCATTTATTATTGATACTACATGCTGCTTGTATCTTGGTCTCTCCACCACACCTGTTAGAAACCAAGGGCAAGCGGACTACAGTCTTAGCATGCATTTATAGAACTTGCACATGACAAAACAGGCCATGCCCAAATACGTATTGGACAAAGCATTTCAGCAAGGTATTAAAAGTATCCTTTGTCTACTTCCAAACTCCCTTCAAAGCTGAACCGGTGGAAGTTGTTTTTGCTAGAATTCCCATGCACTGCCCTTCCCTATTAGCACTGCTATAATTCTAAATGTACTTATTTTGATGCCCCCATTGAAATTTCTAGTTAATATTTTTAGGGTCAACGTTTTAAGCTGGAAAGTAATTTGGAAAGCTGTTTGAGAGGACGACTGGAACTTCCTTATCATCTACCATGTTTAATTTTTAAAAAACTCCTAAGGAGAACTTTCTTTCCAATGGGTTTTTCCCCCCTTATGGACAAGAATTCAACAAGCAAAACATTTTGTTAAACAGAAATAGTGATAGCATGCAATTAAATACACGAGTTCTCCAAGGTGGGGAGAAGGGCAGCAGGGAGCCATTGACTGTACAGTGGTACCTCGGGTTACAAACACCTTGGGTTACAGACTCCGCTAACCCGGTAGTATCTCGGGTTAAGAACTTTACCTCAGGATGAGAACAGAAATCACACGGTGGCGGCGCAGTGGCAGTTGGAGGCCCCAATAGCTAAAGTGGTACGTCAGGTTAAGAATGGTTTCAGGTTAAGAATGGACCTCTGGAATAAATTAAGTTTGTAACCAGCGGTGTTGTTGTTTAGGCATTTAGTCGTTTCCAACTCTTTGGGACCCCATGGACCAGAGCACGCCAGGCACTCCTGTCTTCCACTGCCTCCCGCAGTTTGGTTAACTCATGTTGGTAGCTTCGAGAACACTGTCCAACCATCTCGTCCTCTGTCGTCCCCTTCTCCTTATGCCCTCAATCTTTCCCAACATCAAGGTCTTTTCCAGGGAGTCTTCTCTTCTCAGGAGGTGGTCAAAGTACTGCCTTGTCATGGCGAAGGGGCTTGAATAACTCAGAGAAGCTATGAGCTATGCTGTGCAGGGCCACCAAAGACGGACAGGTCAAAGTGGAGAGTTTTGACTAAACGTGATCCACCTGGAGTAGGAACAGGCAAGCCACTCCAGTATCCCCACCAAGAAAACTCCATGGACAAAAACAACCAGAGGTACCACTGTACAATTAAGCAGGGTAGAAAAGAAACCACATTTTGCAAACTATTAAACTCCTCAAAATATGAGGTGTGGATGATGGCTGTTAAGCAAGGACTCTAGGCTCTTATTAATTCCTCCTTGTCCTATGAGACATAAGAGCGCCCCATAAATTCTCTATGTTCAAATTAATCACAGCCACATAGAAGTGTTGCTGTACTGAGGTTGATTTCAGCTTGGATAAAACGACCCTTTCAGCACATACCTGATGGAACATAAAGTACAGTGGCATCCACCAGACTCACATTTGAAACTTTGGAATAATGTTTTCCCATAAAACTCTGTGAAACATGGGTAGGTAGGGGAAACTGTTTACTGAGGGGGCCTGTATTCTCATGTTTCTTATGAAAAACTAACAAAAACATTTTTAAGAAAAACATGGATAGTATGCTTAATGCCTTGGAGAACTTACAAGGAGAGGCAGACCTAAATGTTAACTGAAAGCTTCCATAGTATAAGGGTGTGAGAGATTATTTATGAGTCCTACATACATAACTCCAAAATTGCCAACTGCAGCTCTGTGCCTTAAAAGCTGCAAGTACCTCTTCTAGATAAATGGAAAAACACTCTGCCATACATCTATTTCCACATGTTGAACCCAGTGTGCTCCTGTTTTGGATTCTGGCCAACCATGTCCTCATTTGAAAGAGTCCATAATAGTTCCCATCCCAACTTTTCCAATTTCCCTCCAACAGTTGGCAAGCTCAGGGCTTGGAAGGCTGTTTTGAGGGGAGGGGATTTCGCCACTTTAAGGAATTTTACCCTTAACAATTATTCACACTTAGGGTTCTTGTGCATGGCTAGTGTAGTTTTGGACACACAAGGAGTGACACACAAGAGTCACTGTTAAGTTTCTACAAGGCCTTGCAACAAAATGTTGCACGATATCCCTGGAGTTTGTTACCTGCAGCTGAAGGGCTTGAAAAATAGAAGCCGTATCTAAGACTGGGTAACTGATCTGGCCTGGGCTTTTCACCATGTGCAGAAACTGTTTTTGAACATTTAAAAGGGAAACCATTCTGCACCAAAATCAATGGAGCATGAGGGTTTTAAATGCAATTCAGTGCTTGACTTGGCCTGGGAGAAAGTCTGACCTTGACTGCAACTCAAGCATGGAGGGTTTTTGTGTGGGAATCCAAACCCACTTCAAAACTACTGTAGTCTGCAACATTAACAGTGGACTGCAGTGCCAGGGACACTGTAAACTACTCTCAGGAATGAGGCCCAGCAACAAACTACACTGCAGTTTTATATTGCCCTCAGCCCAACTTGCACTTTGAAGATAAAATCAATGAGTAACATTGCAGCCTGACTGTGCCAGTATTCAGTATGAACTACCCTGCAGGGCTGTGTGAACCTCTTCCAGCCTCTTCCAACCTGCAATATGCACAAGGAGCTGCATTTGCTTTGGAATCCCTCTCTCTCTCTCTCTCTCTGTCTCTGTGTCTCTCTCTCTCTCTCTCTCTCTCTCTCTCTCTGTGTGTGTGTGTGTGTGTGTGTGTGTTTTCACACTAATTAAGAACTAAGTTCAAGATACTTTGGGGTAGGTTTTTTCGGAGGGAGGCAAGGTTGGATAGACATGCTGGTGCCCAATCCCAACTAAATTGAAATCCTATGTATCTCTACTGACTTTTCTGGCCAGCCCCGGAGCATTTTAAAACAGGTAACCTGATTTGCAGCAGAAAGCAGTGTGTCTCCTCCAACCACTCCATTCCATTTCCCCCACCGTCTGGTTTTCCAGGTGCTCCCCCATCAGTATTCCATACCCACTGAGAACGTGCTCAGTTTCATGGGGCTATTGAGGGGTGGGGGTGAGCAAGGGTTTTATAAAGAAGTTTTGTACTTAAGAACTCAGTATTACACTCAGCCTGCAGATACCTCCTTTTGGTTTGTGGGCTCTACCGTTTTCGCCACATAAGTGCAGGCACTCTCCCCTAAAGATCAAGAGAAAGAAAGATCGTTTTTAAGTGAAGGGCTTCATCATCAAAAGTATAGGACTCTCTCAAAAATCTTACCCTAGCAACCCTAATCAAGACAGTATAAAGGACCTCTTAGCTTTCATAAATTAATTCACATGGAGACTGATCTTTTTCTGGAACCTCTGTAATCCTAGCTCTGACACTGTGTGTTAGAATCACTAGCAATCCAAATCTTCAGATTTGCTGTGCCAGCAAATGAATGCTTAGTATTATCACACTAATGCCAAGGATTGAGATTTAGGCAGAGTAAGCTTGAAGTAGAAAGAAAATTGGCATTTATTGCTTACATTATTCAGCCACTTGATTTCTCTTTTGAAATCATTCACACAAACCTAGCATTCTGAGGACAAATTCTAAGGCTGCTAGCACGCTAATCCACTTGCAGCACAAAAATATAGTTTCTCTCAACCCGTAATTGTTCATGTTTGTCCTCACATGCTGCATTGATTCTAGATCCTGCTGACCACAAGGATGGGTGTGGTTATTTGATACACATTTGAAAAACTTCCCCCTGGTAAGGTTATGGGTGGTTGTGGTGACATGTTTTCAACGTACATATTGTTTTTTCCCTTGGCCTTATTTATGTGGGACTTTGTTTTTGTTTGTAAGTCCCATTAGGTCGCCTTGGGCAAGATAAAGCAACTAACGGATTTAACAAATAAGTAAGTAAGTAAGTAGGTTATCCACACCTTTTCCTCCTTGCACATTCCCTTAGTGAATGGAGGAAGAAGTGGTGATTGTGATCTTGGTATACACCCATCTGTGTCATTGGGCAGTAGTGGATACACCCCCATTGCCAGGACTGCTTACATGTGTTTTCAAAGCGATATTGAATAGGATCAGTCCACAATGACTTTTTAGTTGAAAAATGAAACAATTGTCTCAAGAAGTGCTTCTTAGAGGCAAAAAAATATGCAGCAGATCTAAATTATGTGTGGACTATTTTACAAATACAGTGGTGCCTCGCAAGACGAAATTAATCCGTTCCGTGAGAGTCTTCGTCTAGCGGTTTTTTCGTCTTGCGAAGCAAGCCCATTGACGGATTAGCGCTATTAGCGCTATTAGCGGTTTAGCGGCTATTAAAGGCTAAAAGGCTATTAAAGGCTATTAAAGGCTTAGCAGATTAGATAAAGGGGGGGGAGCGAGAAAAAAATCTCAAGACTCGCAAGGTATTTTCGTCTTGCGAAGCAAGCCCATAGGGGAATTCGTCCTGCGAAGCAACTTCAAAACAGAAAACCCTTTCGTCTAGCGGTTTTTCCGTCTTGCGAGGCATTCGTCTTGCGGGGCACCACTGTATTGTTTCTACTTATTCTAGAATAGACCTAGGCTACAGAACTACACACATTTTGGACTGCGCTGAACAGACACTTATTTCTGAGTAAAGACATGCAATTGTAAAGCTGGCTATTTTAAAAAGAGATACTAAGTTTGAAAAAGAAACTGATCTACAACATGGAATAGATAACCCTCTGGGTCCCTTCCAACTCTACAATTCTGTAGGTTTTAATTCATTCATGCACTCTCCAAGTTGGTCAATATAGACTTCGTGTATTTCTACACAGTCTTTTTTCAGACATTATAAAATTGTCATTCTTCTGAAGCAGCAGCAGCAGTTGGCCATAGGCAGCTAGAGGCTGCTTTGGATCAGAATTTGACCTCATAGTTATCTATTTATATGACTGAAGTCTATGGGTCAACATTTCTTTGTGACATATTTGTATTTTGAAAATCAATCACTACACCCTAGTGCAGCAAATATTCACTCTATGTAACAGCCATTTAGGAGCTGAACAAAATATAAACAGATCTATAAACTCTTGTATATTGTAGAGTTCAGTAATCTATTGACCTATTTTTTATGTGTAACTGCTTTATGAATACTTTGTAAGTGTTGAAAGTAATAATTTTCCATCATTCTTGCATAGCCCAAATTACAGAAGAGGTTAAAGATCAAATATTATTCTATAGGATTATTTGGACTGAGTAGCACCAAGATCAGATCAGTTGTTCCCCTGGTTGCTCATTGGTTAATGATTGTTTTATGCTGCACAGCAGTGCAGGTAAGAGTTGTGCTTTCACAGGTAATTTTTGGATAAGCTTATGTAAAGCTGACTTTCATGAGAGGTCTCTTGGTCCCATATGTTTGCTTCTTTTAAATGAACTCTGACTAGAACTCACCTTTCCCTGCAGATCTATGCCCTCAGAAATTATTAAAACTGATAGTAAAGCAGATGCTTTTTCAAGCAGTTAAGGTTACTTGTATGAATAAGCACCACACAACTGAGCACAGACCCATTATAATTAATCCCAAGTAATTCTTTAGCATTTTCAGCAGTTAAGAACAATGATAAATTTGGTAAGATCCATGAGACAGAGCATTAAAAAGGTTAGTAGGTTGTAGAAACAGTCAATTCAAGTCCACCATTGGTGATGACCTTAAGTAACTTAGTATCTCTCAGCTTAACTTCTGATATTTGATCTCATGGCTCCTTCACCAATGAAAATCACTAAGTAATGAACATGCATGTGTAAATCACCATCAAGTTTAGGTTAAAAAAACCTCAGTTAGTTATTTTTACCAAACACTGAGAACAAGCTTAGTTATTAAGCATTCCTCTCACTTGCTTTTATAAGCACACACTACATGTGAACACCATCTTAAATTGTTGTTAATGTTATATATAAAATGTGAATACTCAGAAGAGGCCCTGTTAACCATATGTGATAAATAGTATGTTGACTTCAAAGTTTAATCTCACAGCCCATTTAGATGTATGGTGTATAAATTATTTCTAATACACCTGCTTACTAAAATTTCAGTTTCTGAACTAAAACCATACCTTTCCTTCAGGGTAGCATGACAAGATGTATGGGATTACAGCATCTTGCATGAAATGTGTCACAATCTGCATTGTTGACCGAGAGCTTTTCAGCATATCTATCCCAAGAAAGCTGGGGGGAAAGTTCAAGGTCCCTCTTCCATTGATGTAAACATGTAAGAGACAAAATTGAGACTCCAGGGCTAGATCTAATCCAAAGAAAACACAGAGGATCTATGGAGAAACAGTCTGCCAATATGTGAAGCAGCCAGAGCGGCGAAGACAAGACAATGCACGAAGACCACCAAATATCAAAAGTTTAAATGTTTTAGAAACTGAATTGTAGAATTTAAGCGCACAAGTTGTTTCAAGCCAACATATTCACATCAAGCTTAATTTTGCCTGTGTTCATTTCCTTTCATATACAGCTGATATATGAAGGGGGAGAGAAAGCAGGCATCTCTAGACACAATGATGATTCTAATTGACCAGATAGTAGGCAGTGAATTATGAGGCTAAAAATAAAAGCACAGGGTTGAAATTTATTTCCACTTCACCAAGTTAATCACTCATTAGACCGACTGTTCAAACTCATGAGCAACTAAGCCTCCAGCCCTCATTTCAGCAACCCCCCCACTCTTATCTTTAAATGTGACATCTCAGTGAACATTAAAACAAGCAGGTTTCCAATTTTGTGATCCCACATATAAAACACAGGTTAAGGTAAACTACTACCATTATTAATCCATATCAGAATCTTGGGTCTCCAATACTGCACTCTTATGTAGGTATCAGTTACTGCAAAGGGGGTGGGATCAGAGTACTATAGTTGCTTCTTTCATCCAATGTATTCACTGTATCTGGCATGTGTATAATTAGAACCATGATGTAAAAAACACTATAGAATTTAGACAGCAGTTAGAAATTGCCCAAGATTGTTAACATACTGCACTTTAATTAGACCTAGACCTACATTACATGTATTGGAGCTTGGCACACAGCTTCTGTTCTTAAACTCTGCCAAGGGAAACTCAGTTGAACGGGGGGGGGGGGGGAGATGACACAAGATACACTGGTTTTAACAGAGCAGTACTAAACTGTAAAGTATTGGATCATTTCTACATTTCTCCATATACAGGAATGCTTTAGTTTCAGGACTCAGAAGTGCTGGTAGTCAACCTATTGAAATTGAAACTGGCCTCTTTTCTGCATCAGGCACTTTCAGCCTTCAGCTTTTACTGTTTACAACATATGGCACACTCTCTTACAGCAGATCACTTGAAAGTATTCAATGGCAGCTAAAGAAAACTTTATGGGCAGCATACACCCATTTTTATAACTGTTAACAAACAGTGGTATACCACCAGCATTTTCCTTTTAAGAGGAATATACATAATCATGCTGCAGCTTATAAACAATAACGCTTTAGTGCTAAAGACTAGACTACCAAAGTATTACACAAAGCAGCATGAAGGGACTAGCACCATATATAGTCACTACCAGAGATGTTACCACCACTAGTTTGGTATTCACTCCTGTAAGAGTCTGATCACAATATTCCCGATTATCAGATGCTGTATTATTGCATCAGGTACAGTTTTAATTCCTCTAGACATGCATACTCGAGCATTACTACCCAACTACTGAAAATATGGCTGGCAAAGGGAATCCAAAATGCCACCCCACTACATGTTGTGTTTGTAAAAGGCATTCCCAGTTCCTCATTGGATTGTTCTCACCTTTCATTCTTGGCATCTTCAGCATTTTCCTAATATTAAGTCCATAACTTACTAAGTTTTGGATGCCAACTTTTCTTTTAAGCCTTTAAAAAGCAGAGATCAGACCACCACAATTACAGACAGAAGCTATACAAAAAAGCTGTTCTAGGCGTTTTGTTGGAACACTCAGAGGTCAGCCCTCTCTGCGTGACCTTTCTTATCTTCCTTGTAAGGAATAAGAACAAAAAAAATTGAGAATACCTAATATTTTAAAAAGTGGAGCCCGTTTTGCTTTAAGGTGTCTTAGCCCATTTTTCTGAGACAGCATAACTGTTTCTAACTGCCTTTCAGAGGACTGAGGTTTTTGTGTGTTTTTTTTTCAAATAAAGAAAAACACACTGCTGTGAAAGACCTGCATACAGAACATGTAGTAATTGATTAAAAATATTATTCTGCTATAGGTGCATGAGCTATAAAGCCACAAATCACTTTTTTGTGTTTTCTGTGAAGGAAAAGCATTAACATGCTATAAAATGTTTAAGAACTGATGTCTCACTGCTTTTTAAGTTGGTAACTTAACACATGGTAACTGACCAGCTGTGTGCTTTTATGCATCTAAACCAAGAGTTATTAAGTCAAGCCAGTTTATTGTTGTACAGTCACTTGATGTAACTGTTTGTACTTCTAGAGCAAACTACATTAACTAATGGAATATGTTCTTTCAGATGTCTTCAACTGAATAAGTAGCCATGAACTTTCTCCAAGGCAATAACCAATGCAAACCTACTTCAACCACTATAAAAACCTAGTAGAAATTACTAACTCAAACCTGACTGAAAGCTTTTTTGACCAAATACCATCTAGCTTGTTTCAGGAGCTAAGTCCTATGTAAAAGTTTGAGCCAGCAGTTCAAAAGCAAAGTAGTTTAGAGAAGGCCATAAGACTTTGGTTGAAGTCTGAATATTTTTAAAACAGGAACATTTTAGCCATTTCATACATACTCACTGAAGCATGTGAAGAATTCAATTCTTTATTTGCAATAATCCATAACTAGTCTATATTTCTATTGAGGAAGGCAGTTTCTCTCTAGAACATTGCTAATAGAACAACAAACTTCAATTCTACTGTGTGAAAGGGCTACAAATACATCAAGCAGACTACAGAGATTTTGATTTACAACTGGCACCTAGGTTACTGGCTCATTTATCAATCACCTAGCACAAAATTTGAAGACTGGGCAATTTAATTATTTAATCAATAAATTTACTTATGGGTATGTCAGATGTATTTCTTTTCAGCCAATGTCCAGGATTTTTGTTGGCATGCAGATTTGACCTTTGCAATTTAAAGGACTAAGTGTCTATAGATTTGAGAGCAGTTTTGGTCTGTTGTAGTAAAAGCTTATAGCAATGGTCAACTATTCTGCCAGCAGGTGGTGCTCTACAAGATTCTTGGCTCCTTTAAATAAGAACAAGACAGAATTCAGTTGAAATGACTTCACTATGCAAACAAAGTACTTTTAACAGAAGAGAAAGCATCCTCCCCTATAATGGGTCGTTTACAGGCAAGCCAATAAATAACACAATGTGAAACTGAGCAATCTGAAAATTTGAACACTTATATGAAAAAGCACATGCTCTAAATGTGTCAGAACGACATATGTTGATGGAGAACAACCTGTACAAAAAACAGACTAACTGTGTCAGCAAGGCAACTGCCCAATTACAAAACAGTGGATGTACAATAAAGTATTTTAACTGATTACATCCACCCGTGGGCATTTCAAAAATTGGTGCATATCTCTTAAGTATTAAATCCAATCTAGTGGGGCAGCAAAAAAGTTGAGACCTTTACTAGAAACACATGTAGAAATCTGAGCAGAAATAACTTGTTCGACTAAAAAAGCCTTTGCTTGAACTGTATGGAATGAACCCTAGGAAAAAAGACATGTAAAGGTCAATGAACACAATGATTTATTTAAAAAATAAAAATGTAAAAACCATTTCTCTCCCCCCTCCCCCTTTACAGCCACGGGAGCAGAGCAGATTTTGTAGAAAAAAATGTGTAGGTATCCAAGTCCTTACAAAGTTAATTCCCCTCTCCCGCCCAACCCCAAATAAACCAAAATTAAAACGGTATCTTATTCCTAGTATAAAAACGACCAATGTCCAAGCAATAAAAAAATAGAGTCCATCAATGACTAACACAAAATCGTTGTGTGTGAGGCCCAGTCCATCTTCGGAAAGAAGTGAAACAGGCAGCAGAGCGACTCCAACAAGAATAATTCGAGAGCAGCTCCGCATCACGGAAGCCTTTTCGTACGGAGGTGCCCCCTTAGGGCGAAGAGTAGGGGAACTATTAAGAACCTGGCCCGGTACAACAGAGGGCATACTCCATGCAGACAAAACCGACACCCCCAGAACAGTAATGGGCATTTCCCGCTTAGAAGGAGCCGCCGTAACCTCCCCCGCCATAACCGCCTCTGTATGGTCCACTGTTACTGCGGGGGCCCCAGCCGCCGCCCCCTCCGCCCCCCGCGCCGCCGCTCTTCATGGGGCCGTAGGAAGACTGGTGCTGGCTGTAGCTGCCGAAGCCGCCGTACCCGTTGCCGTAATCGCCGCCGCCGGCACCTCCACCGTATGAGCCGCCTCCGTAGGATCCGTAGCCGCCGCCGCCGCCTCCTCCGCCATAGCCACCATAACTGTTATAGCCGCCGCCGCCTCCTCCTTTGGAGAGCCCGTTGTGGTCCCGGTTGCCTCCGCCTCCCCTTCCTCGCCCCCGTCCGCCCCAACTCGACCTGGAGGAGCCCCCGCCGCCGCCGCCGCCCTGGATGTCTTCCTTAGGCACGGCCTTCTTGACCTCCACGCGGTGGCCCTGGATGGGGTGGAACTTGACCACAGCGGCCTTGTCGGCGGCGTCGTGGTTCTGGAAGTAGACGAAGCCGAAGCCGCGCTTCTTGCCGCTCTGCTTGTTGGAGATGATCTCGGCTTTCTCCACGGGGCCGAACTGGCTGAAGTGCTCCACCAGGTCGTTCTCGCCCAGGTCCCCCTTGAGGCCTCCGACGAAGAGCTTCTTCACCTTCGCGTGCGCCCCCGGCCGGGCCGAGTCCTCGCGGGAGACGGCCCGCTTCAGCTCCACGGCGTTGCCGTCCACCGCGTGCGGAGAAGCTGCCATGGCGGCGTCGGCCTCCTCGACCGCCGAGTACGTGACGAAGCCGAAGCATCGGGAGCGCTTGGTCTGCGGGTTCAGCACCACCACGCAGTCAGTCAGGGTCCCGTAGGCCGCGAAGTGCTCCCGCAGCCCGGCCTCCGTCGTCTGCACGTTCAGCCCGCCAATGAACAGCTTACATAGCTGGGAGTTCTCCATGCCGGAGCCGCAGCCCGCCACACGCCGCCGCCTCCTCGCCGCTGCCGCCGGTAGGGGGCAGCTGCAGCCTACCAGTACACCGGCGGGTGCGCTACGAGCTCCGTTCGGAGGGCCACCCGAAGGCCTAGGCTTCCACCGGTAGAGAACGGGGAAAAAAGGGGGTGGGGAAAAGGAAAACGCACAAAATGGCGGCTTCCACTCCTCCTTAGGCGCGCTCGCAGCCGGCGACTGAGGCCCACACACAAAGGAAACGGCGGGTAGCCACGCCCACCTTGGAAGCGCGAGGCACGCCCCCACCCCTCCGTTTCCCCTTGTGCCAAATGAGGCAAATAAGAACTGTCGCCGTCTTTTGCGTCACTTTGTTGAATGACAGCTCTGAGAGCCAATCGGGAGGGGTTCTTTGTTTTGGGGTTTTTTTTTTACCACCACAAGGTTTTGCCGGGGAAGGGGGAGCTTTTTAAAAGTAAGCTGCTGAAAAGGCCCGTGAGTGACGTCCCAAAGCACCTATCGCGTTCCGATCTTAAGACGTCCTCGTGCCGAAGGGGAAGCAGGGAAGAGAGAGAAGCCGCGCGCTAATACGACGGCGTTCAAAGCCAACAGCCAATGGGCATTCCCGCTTGCTAGCGCGCGCTTTCCCTCTGGGGCCTCTGCCGGTTGGGGGCGGGTTGAGAGCGCAGAACTGGTTTGAAAAGCCGAGCGAGTGCAACCAACGACGCCTTGTTCTCGGCAGCATCGAAGAGGCGAGGTTATAACGGTGCCGTTGAAGCGAATGCACCGGGTTCCGAATAATAGCTTCCTCCACCACACGCAACCACAGAGGGAGGCACAAAGGTCGTGCCGGGTACAGGTTTCCACGTGGAAATCTGTTCACCATGCTCTTCGTTTCTGACGGCGCTTCTGCTAGCTGCTGGCGTATGTCTATGCGTGTCCTCACACGTACGCACACCGCGTGTGCGGTGCAAACAGGTTTTCGCTGGAACTTAAGTTAATAAAGAAGAGCCTGCTAGGTCAGGCCCACCCGGTCCAGCAAACTGTTCTCAACAGTGGCTAAACCAGTTGCCCGTGGGAAACCTGCAGCAAGCAGGATTCGAGCACAAGAGCACTTGCCCCTCCTACTGTATTTCCAGCAACAAGCATTACTGCCTCCCGTCATGGAGACAAGAGCATAGGCACCGTAGCTAGTCACCATGGATAGCCTTCTAATCGCCTATTAAAGCCATTCAAGCTGCCTCCAACCTCTCCCTAGGAAATTAGAGAAGGAAGGCTGCCTTTGTACTGGAGCGTCTTAATATACTGTAATGCCTAAAGTTAGATGTGTCCAATCTGCCAGATAACTGCAAGTGCACAAACACAGCAGTAGGATTAAAACCTATGTGACTGCTCTGGGGATTTCAGAGCACTGAGGATGACAAAAAGCCTGCCTGGGTGTCAGTAAAATTTACGTAAACCTAAAGCATCCCTTTACACTGTATTACACCTTGCTGTTTAAAAGGATCCTGGGATGTCATGGATTGATTGATTGATTGTTTGATCGCTTACATCCTCCCAACCAATTCCATCCCTAGAGTTTAGACTCTAGGGCTGAAAGGAAGCCAGCAGCAGTCTTACTTGGTTCCTGGCAGCTTAACTCCCAGTTACAGCTGTTGCAACAGCGAAGCTTGTGCAAAGCTCTCTGCAGTCAACATTCCATGGTAGCATGATGATAGTGTTCATTTGCAGCCTTCAGCTGCTTTGGGGTGGATCTGGAGTGTATTTTTAAAAAACTCCCCTCCCCCATGCCCTGGATTCCCCCACTCTACAGGAATGCAAGGAGAACCTGTCCTCATTTGGGTGCCCAGTGGATCACTAAACACATCCCACTGTATGAGAGGAGTAATCTTTCAGCTCTGTCCAAAATGATAAAAACAGCCCGTGACAATATAATGCTAATGACTGAACAATTTAGCATCATCAGCAAACTTGGCCACCTCACTGCTGCTCACTCTACCCCTAGATCATTTATGAACAAGTTAAAAAGTACAGTTCTCAATACCGATCCTTGAGGGACTCCACTTTTTACTCTCCATTCAGAGAACTATCCATTTATTCCTATTCTTCTTGCATCCTAACTAATTCCTGATCCACAAGAGGACCACTCTTATTCTTTGACTCCTAAACTTACTTAGGAGTCTTTGGTGAGTCTTCTACAGTTTGGCACACCTTATGGAAACACCACATCCTGTAAATGCACAAATATTTGAAAAACATTTTTCATAAGTTCGTTATAAGAAAATGTTCAGAAGTATATATGGTATTTTGATGTTTATCTCTCACTGATTTACTGGTTAGCCATAGATCTCATGAAAATGTCTTCCTGACTGAGGTTTAGAGTTTGTAAGTTTGAACCATTGATGTTAAGTTGTGGGCTGATTTTATACACAAACACACACACATACAACTTTAATTGCTGGGGGTTTGGGGGTGGGGGAAAGAAACCTTTAAAAATAAATGTACGTAGGTTTGCAATACTACCATCTTTTCTTTTTCTTTTCTTTTTTTAAAGAAGAGCCTGTCAGACATTTAAAAAAGCATCAATACCATTTTGCAGCCACATGGTGGCAGAGCAGTATAAAATATTAGTATGATCAGTATGCGTTCATGAAGATGGATCAAAGATGTAACCAGCTTTTAGTAGTAGAACTGGAACACTTCACTTTTTAAATTCCCGCTTGTGCCAGGGGTATGTCAGAAAGAATTTCTAACAGTATTTTATGTCACACACATAAATGATTGCAACACAACTCTGCATCACAACTGGAATCCACCATACAATCTGGTACTATATTCCCAGCAATACCAGTGTTTTTGCACAGTCTCCAATGAGGCATTTGTGTGACAATATTTCTCAATAGAAATGGATAAACTGCATGGGTAAGTCGCTTGGAGACTATAGGTGACTATTGCTGAATTACGATTTATTACCAAACTGAAAACTATGGAGAGACCTGGTCTGAATAGAGATATTGGACTCTTGTCTCATTACACATGCTAAAGCTATTTTTGGTCATCTGCATACTATCCCTTGCTTTTTCCTGTAGGACTAATTGCAGTCGTTAACAGTCGTCAACAGGTTTACCATACCCATTGAGCCAATCACCCATCTCCTACTACCCTTCTGAGAAATACCCCACCCCACCCTCCCACTATATATAAGGGTCTGGTGACTTCTGCTTCAGTGTATCTGAAGAATTGTGCATGCACATGAAAGCTTATACCAGAACAAACTTACTTGGTCTATAAGGTGCCACTGGACAATTTTTTTTTATTTTTATTTTTATTTTGACCTCAGATTCCGCTTGTCAATTCAGGATGGCAAAGTTTCTGTATCAATAGGATTTCCTGCCTCGTTTTCCCAAAATGTCCTGGGGCAGGCACAAGGAAGTACAAGAAAAATGCAGGTACAAAACAGTACATTATAAATACTTCAAAAATGCTGTATCTTCATATTCCTGAGTAAAGTTAGATACACAAAATAACTGATAAATATGCATTTATTTTACCAAAAACAATAAACCCCACATAGAGATTGAATGGAATCTCAAACCAGCCTGTATGTGTGTGTGTGATGCTGAAGGATACCCCAAGGGACTAGGGTCACAGCTATAGGAGATAAGCCTTATCCAAAGTACTCACCAAAACAGGCAGGGTTTCGGAGGCAGCACAGTCCAAACAAACCCAGGTTAAGCACAGAGTATCAATCTAAGTCCATACATGAGCCAGAGACAGATATAGGCAACACTCCAAGATCAATATCACAGGGAGTTCAGACAAGGCACACCAAAAGAAAAGCAACTAAGAACCAAATATCGTATGATGCTTTCAAGACTCAAGAATGAGGTCTTACATATTCTGACCTCCTAAACCACACCCTAAGCACACTGAAGGCACATCAGAGGTTGCTTACTCATGAGCAAGCCCCACCTCACCCTCACTCACAATTAGACTGACAACTCTGGGTTTGGATCCAAAGCATTTGGTGCCGGCCACCTTCCATCCTGACAACTCCAGGAGTTCTTCATCAGGTTTCAACCCAGAGGACTCCTCAAGGGGATCTTCAACACTGGGTTATGGGAGGGGGTTGCCTGCTCTTCAGGGGCCTTTACCTGTGATGTATCTTGTTCATCGTCTGAGGACTCAGTGTCTGGTACTAGGTCAGGGCTAGGCATGACAATGAGCATGTTGGCCCATATAGTCTGCCTTCAACCTTCATAAGCATTTAGTCAATGAGCTGTAATTGAGTTGTTTGGATAGTCTTTAAACTACTTTGAAGAGAAGGCACAAATTGTTGTTGCTGCTGCTGCTGTTCTTCAGGCAATTATATCTAAATGGAAAATAAATTCATCCTAATCTGAGGTGTAGTAGGAGACAGTCAGATCTGCATTGTTGCACCACGAGACAAGAACACTGTCGGCCCTACCATTTGGTCGAGTGAGGCAGTTGCTTCTGGTTGCAGATGCAGGGGGGCAGCAGGAAGTCCTACAGCCTCCTCCCCCAGCCATTCCCCGCTGTTGAAGATCAGAGCCTATCAGGCATCTCCTAAACTAGTCTGCTGCCCTCAGGTGCGCTTGAGGATACGGTCCTGTTGTTAGTGCTGAAGTAATATTCAACTGCCCATCCAGTCAGTTTCTGTACATGCCTGAGATGGAACAGTAAAAGAACCCCAGGCAAAGTACATAGCACACAAAGACTGAGGATTATTGATCTTTCTGTTTTTTTGGGAAATAGTAGGCAGAGGTAACCCTAAGGAACCTCTCATTTAGCAACTGTTTATGCTGAGAGGAGGGTGTCTGGGAAATGACACTAAATGAGGCCTGATCTTATCCAGGCCAGAGTCTAAGTGCTAGATAACCATCAATTGTTTTAATGGTGGCTGGTATGAATAAACTGAACATTAGATAAAAAGAGTCAAGAATAGATTTCTGTTGACAGAAGAAATCTCTAGCTGGCCCCTGAATGTTATT